ATCAACAACGTGATGAATGAATTAAAACTTGAAATTAATGATGAAATAAAATTAACTACTCGAGAAAAACTTGATGAATTAATCACTAAATATCGATGTGTGTTTGCAGCAACATCAAAAGAATTAGGCTTTTCCAATGTTTATTCTCATCAAATTGATACAGGGAATCATCCACCAATAGCCCAGAAACCGTATCGAATGTCAGATTTGAAAAGAAACATAGCAGAAAAGTCAATTGATGAATTAATAGATGATGGAATCGTCATACCTTCTTGTTCACCATGGGCCTCTCCAATAGTATTAGTATCAAAAAAGGGAACAACAGAAATGAGATTGTGTGTTGATTATCGAAAATTAAATGAGATTACAGTCAAAGATAAATTCCCTTTACCAAATATTCAAGATTATTTAGATAGTCTTAGGGAATGAAACTTACACATTATTAGACTTAAGATCAGGATATCATCAATGGCAATGGATCCAAGGATCAACCCAAAACAGCTTTTGTTACCCCAAGTTATACGAATACACTCGCCTTCCATTTGGCTTGGCCAATGGACCTTCTTCATTCATGAGAATGATGAGTGTGGTACTAAGCGGACTAATCTACAACACTTGTTTAGTATTCATTGACGATCTATTAATTTATTCTGAAACAGAAGAAGAGCATTTAAATAAATTAGAAAAGATATTCGTAAGACTTCAAAATGCAGGATTAACGCTGAAACCTAATAAATGTTCTTTCTTAAAAAGAAAAATTTTATTTTTAGGTCATGTTATCAGTGAAAGTGGTCAACAAGTTGATCCAGAAAAAATAATTAAAGTACAACAGTTTTCCACTCCAAAGACAGTGAGAGATATCAAATCATTTGTTGCTTTATGTTCTTATTACCGTAGGTTCATCAAGGACTTTGCTAATATCGCTAGACCCTTGACCAACTTAACTAGAAAAGATTTACCTTTCAATTGGGGTCCAGAGCAAGAAAACGCTTTTAATGAGTTAAAATTGAAACTAACCACTCCACCAGTCCTTGCTCATTATGATCCAAATAAGGAAACACAGTTACGAAAGGATGCTTCAGGTTACGGTTTAGGTGCAATTTTATTACAAAGAGATGAGAATGGTTTTCATCCAATTGGATTTGCCTCTCGAATATTGAGAGGAGCAGAATTACATTACCCAGTTTCCGATAAGGAATGCTTGGCCATTGTTTGGGCAGTACAGAAATTCCAAGTCTATTTAGAGGGAATTAAATTCGAAGTAGTTACTGACCATTGTGCATTATGTCATATTCATTCAAAAAAGGTTCTTCCCGCTCGATTACAACGTTATGCAATGATATCATTTGATTTTACAGTTAAATATAAATCAGGAAAGACTCATGCAGATGCTGATTGTTTATCACGATACCCAGTTGGTGATATTGTTTATGATGATCAAAAAGATAAATGTGAAGAGTTATTTACCTTATTAGTTACCCAAATCATTGAAGAGAAAATAGATCTTGTTGATGAGCAAAGAAGAGATCCAAAAATAATTAAAATAATTGAGCAATTAGAGAATTTCGCTTATTTAGAGCCAGAAGAGAGAAAAATAATTTCAAAATATAAAGTAAAAGACAATCTATTATATCGCTTGACCATTAATCATTATGGTGAGAGTTGGAATATAGTTATACCTAAAAGATTAATAAAACAAATTTTACATGAATATCATGATTCAACTTTGTCCGGTCACCCAGGGATCTTTTCAACTTACAATAAAATCAAACAACAATATTGGTGGCCTCAGATGAGTAGAGATATAACTAACTATGATAGGAGTTGCTTAACATGTCAATTAGATAAGAGAGGTAGTGGCACATTAGAAGCCCCTTTAAAATCAATTGTTAATCAGGCTTTCGATAAAATTGGTATTGATTTAGTTGGTCCATTCCCAACATCACATAAAAACAATTACATTATCGTATGTACTGATTATTTTACTAGATGGGTTGAAGTAAAAGCGATAAAGGATATGACCGCAGAATCAACAGCCCATTTTCTAATTGAATCTATTTTCCTTCGACACGGTTGTCCTCGAACAATTGTCTCAGATCAGGGTAGAAATTTTATTTCTTCAGTAGTTGAACAAGTTAAAATATTTTTTGAAAGTAAATGGTCATTTTCAACTGCATATCACCCAGCAACTAACGGTTTAACTGAAAAAGTAAATCAAACTCTTTGTTCAATGTTAACACATTATTGCAAAAAGGAAAATACTGAAAAATGGAACGAGTTAATCCCGGTGATGGGATTCGCTTACAATACAAGTATTAATCAATCTACAAAAGGATCACCTTTTTATTTACTATACGGTCGTCAACCGAAATTACCTATTGATATTATAATAAACACTCCAAAATTCAAGCAATTGCCTTCAGATTTAAGAGCAACAATCAAAAAATGGGATGAGATTTATGATCAAGCAAAGCTTTACTCTTTGAACTCAAAAGAAAATCAAAAATTACAACATGATCGAAAGAAATTACGAACTTATCAAGTAGGAGATGAAGTTATGTACAAACAATTTCAGGGACTAAAGAAACTGAAGCAAAAATTTAAAGGACCATATAAAGTGATAGAGAAACAAGGAGAAACCACTTATAAAATATTACGAACTGATAAAAAGGAAAAAATAAGACGAGCCCATAGTAATCAACTAAAGCAATACTTTCATAGAAATATAATTAATTTAGTAACAATCTTAAGCATACTTACACGAATTGAGATGTTAGAGATCTCTCCTTTTATCTCTGGTGAACCTATTCTATGGAGAAAAACTGACTATCACCCAAGAAAATCAGCTCAACAAGTCTCTGTCATATTAGCATTTTCAAACCCATGTAAAGAAATCCCAATTGTTCTAAAAACAGACAAGGAAAGAAATGAATCCATTACATGTGAGTATAATCCAGCCATGTGTAAATTAGTAAGGAAAATTCTGGACAAATTTGAAGAACATTGCTCATCATTTATTGATGAAAATTACATAAATCCTATTCGTAATATACCGAATGTAACAACTAAACCAGAAGAAAATATTATAAAAATAAGACGAGAAATAATCACTGCGGGAACTGTAGCCACCCCAATAATAGTTGGTGGAATAGTAATTAGTGGCGTTAACTATTTATATAAACACATTTTCAATCCCGAAATAGAAATACAACCAGTACTAACAGCCATCGCAGAGTCTAACCAAGAATATAAGAAGCTGATAAAAAAGCAGTTTGAACAATCACATAATGTAAGCCAACAACTGTTTTTAATTCATTTCAACGTGAATCAACTGCCTCAATATTTACCGTTAATAACATTTCAAGCCGCCGATACAGTAACGCAAGCAAATAACCAGCTTAATCGATTAAAACATTTTAATGAAACAATTAGAGAAGCTTAACCAAGGACTGATAAGAATTTCTTTAAATACTTCAGAATTGTTTTACCCTGCTCACCAGAATGTTCATTAGATGAAATTGAAAATGTTAATGTAAACGTATACAATAACGAAAGATTTCCAACATTAATGGTAAATTTTACAACATTTTTACGAGATACCACTAACCAAATATTTCAAGCAGATGCATTTACATTATATAATAAAAATAATACACACACTTGTAAAGTTACATATAAGGGTCCAGAATATGTATTAGTCAATATCATTCTGTGAGATTAGCGAGAAGGACTTGAAAGGTCATAATCCTATCTTTAAGAAAGTATCGAATTGTAAAGAAAGCGTGGACGGTGGCCTAATATGGAAAAATCATAATTTAATTAAATTCTATCATGAAAAAAAATCATCACATATGCAACAAACTAGTTGCAACCAGTTTTAAATGTAACATTACCAGGTACCACCTCTCACATGGTACCTGGTCTATCCTATTGGTTGTTTTGTTGATGATGAAGATGATGAGGCAAAGAGTAGAGAGAAAGAGACAGCACATAACAGAAAAACTATCAGGCAACATTTTTTTTGGTGTCGCGAGGTAGAGCCACTAGTAGATTTGAAAAGAAAGAGAGAAAGAAAGAGAAACATAGTAAACTCAATGCAGAACTCAAATCTCATTGTTTTTAATGATTTTAACAATTTTTATAAATTAATTAAGTTGATTCTTAATGGTTTTATGCTCATCGTCTACAATTTAAGGATACTGATCGGTTAATTGTTACTCGAGTCTTGGACAATAAAGTTTTTTTAAAATCGAATCGTCGAATATTGTTAGACCAATCAAACACGTTCAATGCCCATCGACTATTTCTTTATAAACCTAACCTAAGGGTAAAGTTGGGTCACTTCTCTAACGACTCTTGAGTTTAACTTTATCCTTACCTCCTGAGTTTTTTAGGTCATACATTGTAATTTAACAATAAACCACTTTTCCATTTACAACCCCATTGAGTTTTCGTTGGGTTAGTTTACCTTCAACCTTTATTTTACGATCGGTAACAAATCAGCCCGAAAGTCTTAAACGCACTTTTCTAGGAAATATCTGTTTCGTTTATGATTTAATTCAACTTAATCGAATTAATTAGGGAATTCTTAAACAAATCTTATAAATCAGACCTTTAAGATCACTTCAAATCAGAGCTAATATGTTCCGTTCAATTGATATATTATCTCAGTATAAATGTAGTGTATACTTAAGAATGAACAAAAGTAAATAAAACCACACATAACTTATGAAATTCGAGAAATTGCCTAACTGTAGAACTTATTAAGACTCAATTAATTTATAAAAATTGTTAAAATCATTAAAAACAATTAGATTTGAGTTCTGCATTGAGTTTACTATGTTTCTCTTTCTTTTCTCTCTTTCTTTTCAAATCTACTAGTGGCTCTACCTCGCGACACCAAAAAAAATGTTGCCTGATAGTTTTGCCTTCCTGTGCTCTCTCTTGGTTTTTACTCTTTGTGATGAGGCAAAATTTGAGAGAGAAGTTTTTCTCCCTCTTCAACAATAAAATGGTCGATTTTCGGTCATTTTGAGGACGCGGAAAAATGAAATAAAATAGTTTAATCTAATTGAATAAATGAACTTTCCGTCCACATAGAAGTGCAAACTAATTTTCCTACCTGATAGAATTGGCATCATGTTTGGGTATGAATTATCTGCGAGTTTATTCAATCCTCTGAGAATAAAGAAATTTGATAATTTGGATAAAGCAAATTCCGTTTTTGACATGAATCGTTTGTAATTAAGGTAAGACATCGATTCGATTATCAGAAACATCACTGAAGGTTTTGTCGATCGATTATTGATCAAATGACTTTCATTAATTAATGCAGAAGAGGAAGTATTTTTCTTATTCAAGTAACTTGCAACTCGACTTGGCCATGAATGAATATTTGTATAAACTAATTTAGAAGAGAGAAAACATTTGATTATAACAAATTCGATTCCAAGTTTTTCTAAATTTAATTTATGTCCAATTATCGGTTTCCAATCAAAATATTTTATCTTATTATCTGAATCACCATCTCGATCAAACTGCTGGTAAAGGCACTTTAACGATTTATCGTGCTCTCGAATACGAAAAATACGAACAATTCCATCTACATCATTCATATATGATAACGATTTTCCATGATAAAGATTGTACAACGAATCATATGCTCCATCATTTGATTTAAAGCATTTAATAAAATGATTTTCTTGTCGAATGAAAACTTTAATTATTGGATCATAAGGATCCATATTAAAGGGAAGATCACAGGAAGAAGAATTTGTTGATTCATACCATTCATCTTTCTCATCGTATGGATTAGATGAACTATCACCAGGGATTAGATTAATTTCTCCAAAAAAGAGAACTTCAAAAATCATATAAACCAAAAGTAAAACGAATACAAGAAACACTGGTCGCTTCGTTGGAAACCATGATTTGTATCCCATGGAATGAGAATTTAAATTAATTGCAGTTAATAAAACTCACAATTAAAACGTTTACTACCCAATTGTAATCATAAAAGACTTCTAATTTTCATTGTTTTCTATCAAAGTTTAATTGTTTTCTTTTTACAAGCAGAAGCTTTTCGATCGTATAATTCAATTATTTACTCACCTTTTCCAATGGAATAATCAATCCGATTCGTTGATCAACGTCAACAATTAATTTCATCTCGAAACTTTTTTTAATCGTTAAATTGAATTGGTGGACATAGTTATAAATTGTTCAATAGTTCACAACTTTGGTTTCAAATTAAATTTGAGATTCTTATTTGGAGTAATTTGATTTAGAAATTAAAGAAAAAGAATTGAGAAAAATAAAATAAAATAAAATAAATAGTATTTACATTAATTGTGACTTCCTATCATTTCATTGAATTAGAAGTAAAAAAAATTAGTGACTTTGGAAGATTGATCGTAAGTTGATTTGTTTTGATCAAATGATTAAATTAAAATGTGCATAGACTAAAGCTATTAATTGGATTGAATTGATTGTTATGTTATAACAATTTAGAATTGAACAAATTTGTGTAAATTGATTAATGCTATTTTAAATTTAAATATGATGAGCAAATGTATAAAGTGAAAGATTTTGGTTTGACCAGAAAGTTGAGTGAAGATTGAAAACATTTCTAATAAAAATTATAATACGATTAACGATTGTTCTTGATAGCTTTCGAGCTCTCTTGGTGCCCATGGCGGGAATGTGAGAATCCATTGGGACAATAGCAGTATTTCCTTAGGACTCGATCTTCAATACAAATTGATTGATTACCGTAAGAATTGAGCCTTGAAATATCTCCTTGCAAAAACCAATCATAATTGCCAATTTTATTGACTTCGTTTATTGAGCTACCAGTTTGGTATAATTGGGCTTGGAAAATGCCATTAGATGGATGCACAGATAAAATTATATCGACGCGGCCACGATTAGGATGATAATTAGCTGTTTCATTTACGTAAACATTCTGAAAGTAAATAATGAATTAAAAATCTGATTATAAGTAGATTAGGATATGATTCGGAGACAAATCTTACCTTGAGACTGTGAATCTCTTTAAGGGACAATGGGTGACAATTATTGCTGTCGATATAATTGGATAGAAGTTGATTGAGATGATCTATCACAATGGATGATAAATGTCGAGCGAACGCTGAATTGACTGGTACACTATGTTTTTTCGAGCATAAACAAAACTCCATTGGTATTAGAGCATCTTGACAAGTTCTATTCGATGGAACCTCTTCTCGCCAAATGGAATAAGCTTTTCTTTTAGAAGAAGATACAATTGGAGTATATTGACCAGCTACTATGTCTTTTAGTATTTCTCGAACATCCAACCAAGTGGTCAACTTTTTCTCGTTTTTCTTTAAATATTCGGACAAATGTTTATGTTCTGATAATAATTTAGGTGGAATATGAATACCAAAAAGAGGCATTCGAGTTTCTATTTGGCCATAACCAGTTTCTAATGAAGGACCATAACGATTACCATGATCTCCCATCAGAATAAAAACTGTATCATCAAGAATAGAGCGATATGAATCAATAAAATCGGCAATATATTCATCGACGGATTGAGCTTTGTTAAAATCTTTGTGAGTAACTTGGATATAAAATGACCAAAGGAAAAAAGATTGATTCGATTTCGTGGCTTTGTTGAGAAATTGTTTAACTTGTTTCAACCAATAAACGATTTTTGGCTTATTCTTATAGCAAAAACTCAGTGATTCGATTCCTTGATCTTTATCCATTTCTAACCAATAGGGTCTTGGGTACCAATCAACGGGTGACTTATGAAATCCTTCAGCCAGATAATTGAATAATCCAAATGCCGGGAAATCTTCAACATAACCAGTAGTGTAATTGGAGTTCTTGAAATCGTTCCAGATAAATGGTATTCCATCATATGGACCAGAATCCACACCCGAATTGTTAAAAGGCCATTCTCCGTAATAAGGGCGATAACCTAGAAAAGAAAAGCGTTAAAATATATAATCATAAAGTTGAAATTCAACTTAATAAATTTGAGTTTGATATTCGAGAGATGCATTCTAATTAATTTGGTACTATTCAGAGTTGGGAGGGTGACGTTAACTAATTAATTCTAATCGATTGATTAAGATAAAATTATCAAGGCAAAAGAGCTTAAATCTCAATATACTCTTAATTTGCAGCAGTAGGTTGATTTTGTTAATTGTGATAAAACTTATTGAGTAAGTGGTTTTTTAGCATATTCATGATTAATGCTGCTAGAGAGAGAAAATGATATTCTAGTGATAGGAAAAAGAGGAAGTTTAACTTGATTAATAAGTTTTAATCATCGAAAAGAGAGTGCAATCTAAATCAAAAAAGAAGAAATTAATTTCTTACCTGATAGAATTGGCATCATGTTTGGATATGAATTATCTGCGAGTTTATTCAATCCTCTGAGAATAAAGAAATTTGATAATTTGGATAAAGCGAATTCCGTTTTTGACATGAATCGTTTGTAATTAAGGTAAGACATCGATTCGATTATTAGAAACATCACTGAAGGTTTTGTCGATCGATTATTGATCAAATGACTTTCATTAATTAATGCAGAAGAGGAAGTATTCTTCTTATTCAAGTAACTTGCAACTCGACTTGGCCATGAATGAATATTAGTATAAACTAATTTAGAAGAGAGAAAACATTTGATTATAACAAATTCGATTCCAAGTTTTTCTAAATTTAATTTATGTCCAATTATCGGTTTCCAATCAAAATATTTTATCTTATTATCTGAATCACCATCTCGATCAAACTGCTGGTAAAGGCACTTTAACGATTTATCGTGCTCTCGAATACGAAAAATACGAACAATTCCATCTACATCATTCATATATGATAACGATTTTCCATGATAAAGATTATACAACGAATCATATGCTCCATCATTTGATTTAAAGCATTTAATAAAATGATTTTCTTGTCGAATGAAAACTTTAATTATTGGATCATAAGGATCCATATTAAAGGGAAGATCACAGGAAGAAGAATTTGTTGATTCATACCATTCATCTTTCTCATCGTATGGATTAGATGAACTATCACCAGGGATTAGATTAATTTCTCCAAAAAAGAGAACTTCAAAAATCATATAAACCAAAAGTAAAACGAATACAAGAAACACTGGTCGCTTCGTTGGAAACCATGATTTGTATCCCATTTGATAACAATTAACACAATTCAATTCAAATCAATCAACTAAATTCTCTCCTAGAAGAAATTAACCAATTAAAGCCAATAAAAAGATTGATAATAAAAATGAACTTCCAATTGTAACACTTTGCCAGGACATTGAATTGGTACCAATAAAAATGGTAGACACTCAGTAGCTTTTAACATTCACATCCAAATGACACCAACAAATGTAACCAAGCCAAGTGAGAATCATTATAATTAGCTAAACATGTTCACCGACCATGCGATTAACATTATTGCGATGTTCAGGATGAGCTACGATAGAAAAGAAAATCATATTAGAAGGAAAAAGGGGTTAACAAACAAAAGAGAAGATTTGATTTACATTAGAATAGAATTGGCGTCAAGTGAAGTAAAAGAAAAGAATAAGAAATGATTCTTTTTTTTATTCCATTGATTTTCGCTATGCAAGAGTGAAAATAAGTAATTCTACCAGCATAGAGAAAAGTTGTATTGACGTAATTAACAGACGACAGAGAAAAACATATTAAAAACAAACCTTAATCACAAGATTAATTAACAATGATGATTAAAGTGTAAAAAAAATTGGAGCTAAAAAACAACAGCCAATGAAGTCCAATGGAACAAAGGAAAAAACAATCATTAGATGTGAGGATTTAAAATAGAATAAGAATTGCAAACAGTTGAGATTTTTATGGTTATTATGGAAACATAATGAAGGAGAATTAAATTGTTCAATTAAATGGAAATTAACTAATTGTTAAAGTGATTAAATGGATAAACAAAGTGCGGAAGACGAAATGACAAATGAAATGAAAAGAAAAAGAAAATCAGTTACATTTCTTTTCTCTACACCAGAGGTCGTTCGAATCTCTTTTATGGAAAAACAAACAGCTGATTTTTGAGAATTTTTTTTTTCTTGAAAAACGTTTTGTTGTTGTTTCGATTATTAATCAATAATCTTTTTTTTTAATTGTTCTCTTTAAAAATGGCAACTCTTTTTGAAGATATTTTCGAGATTAAAGATATCGATCCAGAGGGTAAAAAGTTCAATCGAGGTAAGTGATGGAATTAGAAATTTTGTTTTTCTCTTGATAACTTTTCCAATTGATATTTTATTCATTTTCCTTTTGTTATTGTCTCTTGTTTTAAGTTAGTAGAATTCATTGTGACTCTGAATCTTTTAAAATGGAGCTTATTCTAGATGTTAATTCTCAAATCTATCCTGTTGAATTGGGTAAGTCATTATTGTCCCTTTGGAATCCTTGGAAACCATGAGGAAAAATCAATCAGTTTATCTTATAATTTGAATGAACAACTAATTGTAATTATCTTTGATTATTTTTGTTCTAGGTGATAAATTTCGTCTTATGATCACAATTACTTTACGGGAGGATGGTTTTCCTACAGACAATGAATGGTCATTGGAAGAAACTAAATCAGTGTTGGTAGATTCATTTGAATATGTGATGTTTGGTAAAGTCTATAGAATCGAGGGTGATGAAGGTCCTGGAGATGCATCTAGATTGTAAGTTACTAATCTTGTTGTCAATTTGTTAATCAATCGAAATTGTTAATTAATCATTTTTTATCCTTACGCCTTTTTCCTCCTTCCAATCTCAATTCACCCACTCTCTTTTACTCCTTGAAAACAGAGCAACTTATGTGTCATTTGGTGGATTATTGATGAGACTACAAGGCGATCCAAACAATTTACACGGTTTCAAATGGATCAAAATGTATATTTACTCATGAAAAGATTAGCTTTCTAAACATAATGACACAAAACACACACAGAGAGAGAGAAAAGATCATCAAACCCAAACAACAACAACAACAATTAATTGTTCACGATTCCTTCCCATTCCGAGGTCGCCTCTTTATCCATTAAATCATCTCATCCAATCAGTTCACCAACACACACACAATCTTTGTACTACCAACAAAAAGCAAAAGAAACCTAAATGAAAAAAAACAAAATTAATAAATCATATGTTTCAAGAGAATGAGCAATTAATCAAGCCGATGGAAAAAAAGAAAAAGTAAAAAATGAATCAATTGATTATCTTTAGTTGCGAAAATAAATGGCCACTAGATGGCGACTGTTTCGTTTTCGGAAAAAGAACAAAATTTTTTTCTTTTCCCTGTTAGTTGAAGTTCAACCTCTTACAAGGTGAATCTCGTTGAGAGTCGTTTTTGTTTCTATTTAGACGTTAGTCTTTTATTTATTTTCTTCTTTAAGACTTAAATTATTTACCGATCCCATTTACTTTCTTCTCATCTTTACCCTCTTCCTGTTCCTTGTAATCATCTTGAAAAACGAGCAAGAAAAACAAAATTCTCCATCTTATTGATTGTTGGTGAAGAAAAAATTTTCGTTCGTATGTTTGTTATTGTCCACAATCAATTGTTCCTTTTACGTCTGTTAATCCTGTTTTTCTCTTTTTAATTGTAACACTTCGTTCTCCAAAAAGAAATAAGCTTCATTTAAATTGTTTAATTTGTTTACTTGCAAGATAAATTGTCTACTATTAAATAGAAATTTAATAATCTTCTCTATCTTGGTGGTCCAAACCGGAGTCCATTCCAAGTGTTTTTTTCTATTCTCTTTCAGTGAAAAAATATTCTATTCTATTTGATTCTGTTTTTGTTTTTCTTCTTACCTCTGCCATATCTACTCGTTTTTTTTGCTTTCTCTCTCTGTGTGGGGTAAAAAGTATTAGTATCATTTACTTGAGAAGTGAAAGTACGAGGGAAAAAAAGAAATTACCTGACCTGTGAAAAAGAAAAGGTAAATCTCGTCAAAGTGATCCTTTCTTTTTTTCCTCTCTTTCTCTAAAAGAAGCTCTTCTTTTTCCCTCCAATGACCTCCAATCTACCATCTTGTTCAACTTTCACATGGGACTCATCCAATCATCATCCTCACACTGTTTCTCACCATCGTCATTTTCACCATCATTCACCTCAACATCATGATGCTAATTCATGGAAAACTTATGAGACTTATCAAAACACTGATGATAATCAAAGCTATAAAGATAATCTAAAAGATATCGACAATCAATCAAAGGGATCATCAACCATTTCCTTTAAAAATAAAAGTGATTCTCCTCAACTGTGTATACCCATGGACCCATCGATGGTAATCTCTATGCAACTATAACAAAACCTAAAGTAAGTGTTGTTGGTCAACAGCCTCATCTGTCTTCATTTAAACCACAATCCCCACCGCCACCAAAAACTCAAGGATCAGCTGATATGAATTATAACGAATCTCATGTTCGATCCAGTATTGATTCTGGAATCTCATCAGTTAATTCAAATAATAACAATTCACGTCCAATGACAAATGTTAGTACATTTCTACCGGTTTCATCTCCAACAATTAACGGTAAATCAAATACCCTTCGACAATCAAATGAAACAAATAACAATATCATCTTACCAAACGGATATAATAATAAATTAGGTTCCGTTGTAAATGTTGAGGCCATAGTTCACCATAAACCAGAATCGATGGTAGAAACAGATTATTCAACTAATCCGTCCTCAAACTATTCAAATGGTAAATTATTCAACAACAACAGTAATAATAATAATAATTTCTCATCATCTAGTACTAGTAATACTATTTCCGGTATAAGTGAAGCTGAACAGGCAGCTTTAGATGAATTATTGTCTGGTATGTTAAGAGAAGTTGAAAATTTCCCAGATTATCCATTAAATTCAACTTCATCAACAATTAAACGGTCAACAGAAAAACAAACAGACAATTACAGCAATAACAATAATAATAATGATAATCATTATGCTTCGATCAACAATAATCAAGTAAATTATAATTATGAGAGTAAAAGTATCTCAAAACAAATAGAAAGACCAGAATCACCGCCAATTGATATTGTTGATTGTTACCCACCTTCAGAAGAAATCGTTATACCCGGTGAACCTGTTCGAGTCTCTTCACCTCAACTACCCCCATTAACCGATCATTTTGGTAAAATTGAACCATTGCCAGTTCGTTTCCTAACGAAAGCCCCTCCGACCAGCCCTGAAGACGAAAGAGGCCGCCCTTATCACGCTCGACCTGGAAGTCAACCTTTCAGTTATGGTGTCACTAAATCGTCTCCAGCTCTCCAACGACGCAGAGTTGTATCTGAATCTACTGCTTATATTTGTGAAAGTCGCCCCAAGCCTGATCCATCATCACCTCAACCAGTCTCCTTACCTCCTTTCAACAGTGAAACTAAACCCTCTTCGCCCGTGCCAGTGCCAGTGGCAGAGCAACAGGCTGAACCCGAGAGAGTAGTTACCACACAATCACCACCGAAACTAAATACAACAGTAAATAGTTTAGATGAAACTATTGACGAGCATTCAATCCCTACCAATGGACACCCTCATAAATATTTAGGTGAGGATGTTGATATCGGTAGTTTGACTTGGCTTCAGAAACAACAATTAAAATTGAAAAATCGTCACGAAGGTAAAGATTTGAGAAGCAAAGATTTGGTTCTAGCTGAACTTCGAGGAACCATTTCACGAGTTGATTATAATGAACCCTCTGAATCTAGATCATCATCACCGTTACCAAATCAAATAATCTCTGCTACTTCATCTTCACCAATATCTCGATCACCTTTGGCACTACCTAATCTGAGTACTTCACCGATACCAAGATCACCTCAACCACTAAAATCTTCAATCAACTTAAACTCACCAACAACCCCACCACCTCTACCATTACAAACATCGACTCCATCAAAAGTATCCAATCAAATCAATTCAACGTTGTCCAATCTAACGATCGACAAACCTTGTCAATCTCCATCCATAGCATCAAGTCCAACGTCTCCAACGTATTCACGACCTTTACACGTAAACACATATGAAACACGTACCTCATCTGTATCCACCAGTGGTATTACAACAACCAACAACTCCCCAAGTACACCAAACATGTATCTTGGTACCAAAGCTCCTTTAAACTTTATCGCTCGACAAAATAGCATTCCTTCAACACCGCCTCACCATCGATATGCTAGTGCTAGTGGATCAACATCACCTTTAACATATTCACAAATTAAAGATAATTATGGTCGAACATTAAGTTCACCCGAACCAGGCCGTGATTCTCCCTCCGTTTATTTCGGTCAATCTCAACGATCTAGTTTATTATCGCTAAACGAATCCGACATAATCTCTCAACATCCAACATTCATCAAAGATACCTCTAAATTCTGGTACAAACCAACAATCCCCCGAGAAGATGGTAAGACCCAACAATTAACAAAATTTCCTCTAACAATCCAACCATTAACTCCTTAAAACTATTATTACACACTAAACATAAACAAACCATTGATTTTAAACCGAAAAACTTTTGAGTTAATTTACTAAAACAAAAAGTTATCTCTTCTTTCTGGTAACTTTTGCTTCATTTATTTTCACAAATACTATTTATTTCATCAGTCTAATTAATTGATTTGTAAAAAAAATTATTAATTATTTGCCTTTACAATCAATAAGTGTCAGTATAGCAACAAAGTAGCAATGAAGCAATAAAAGCAATGTAACATTAATAAACTAATCTTAAAGTGACATTTTTGCTTCGGCATTAACTTACAATCTAATCTAATCGTTGCCTCTAATACATTCACATTTTGTGACACATTAACTCAAAGTCATTAAGTAATTTGATCACTAACATTATCTTTTATATATTAATACCTTTTCAATTTTCTTTTTGTTCATTAATTGTTAGCAATCAAAATCTTATTGGATAAGCCTCCAGGTACTTTTATAATTCGAGATAGTAACTCGTTTCCTGGTGCATTTGGTCTTGCTCTGAAAGTCGCTCAGCCTCCGCCTGATGTTCAAACTAAATCAGGTAAACAAACACAAACACTCACACATATGTTATATATTAATACTCTCAATTTTTTAATCAAATAATTAATAAATAGTATAATCTAATCTCTCTCTCTACCCTCGTAATCTGAATAATCAGAAAAAAAGTTATGAGTAAGGAAGTTAGCAAGAGCTTTATCATCTTTCACTCTCTCAATGTGTTACTACAACCTACGTAAAGAGGTAAAAATATTGCTAAAGTGATTTTTATCATCAACTTTTCCTCTTCCTATGGTTATTTATATTTATCCTCTTTTTCGTGTTTCTTTTTTTCTACCATCGGCCTGACAGATGCCTAGATTTTGGCGTGAAATTTGGCTTCTAAACTCATAACATCTTAGGTCTTCCTTCCTTCCTTCCTTCTCATCCTCCTCCTCATCTTCATCTTCATCTTCATCCTCATCCTCCTCCTCATCTTCATCTTCATCCTCATCCTCCTCCTCTTTATCCTCAATCTTCATCTCTTGTTTCTCTAGTCAAGAGAATATATTAATGGCTTAGATCCAAAATTACTCGAAATTTGTTTGTTATTTTATTCGTCTCACTCTACAATTTGAAATTCCTCTTGTTTCTATTACTTTTTAAAGGTGATGCATCTCATGAGCTTGTTCGTCACTTTCTTATCGAACCAACCTCGAAAGGAGTTCGAATCAAGGGTTGTCCAAATGAACCTGTTTTCGCAAGTCTTCCAGCTCTAGTTTATCAGCATTCGATAACTCCTCTAGCATTATCATGTAAATTAATAATCCCTGATTGTGATTTAACCCTTTCAAGAGGACACTCAGGGTCACTTCTCAATTCTGGATTGACTGGAACTCTTTCCAGAGCCGCTGTTGCTTCCGAAGCTGCTGAAATACTAGCCCAAGGAGCTGCTTGCAATGTTTTATACCTGCTGACCGTTGGAACCGAATCACTGACCGGTCCATTAGCGGTTCGTAATGCAGTTACTGAATTATTATCTCGAACATCGTTACTCGATGAAATTATTGTACATTTCAAGGTTTCCAATGCCGGGATCACATTAACGGATAATAGTCATCGGTTAGTATGAGAAAAAAAAGTTTTCATAGAAAATATCATATAATAGATTCTCAAACAATGATGAGTTCATCAATGAGTATTTCTAATTGTAATCTAATTGTAAAACTTTATTACAATTACTACATTTATTACATTTGTTGAAAGTTAAACCCTTTTTTATTATTATTAATATAACTCGATCTTTTTTTTCATTCTTTAACCCAATTTGACGATTTTCATTGTGTCAATGATGCTAATTGTTGTTAGAATCTTATGTTTACAATTAGTGGAGCTAAATATTATTATTAATACACAAAAAGACACAAGGTTATCCAGTCTAAAAAACACTACATCTTCAATACAATTATCTAAATTATTGCAAAGAATAATCAAAATTAATTCGATTATTTTTTTTCATTATCATTTTCATAGAAACTTTTTCCGACGACATTATCCATTATCAACGATAAGTCACTTTGACGTTGACCCTGAAGGAAGATGCTACAAACCGAAAACAAGTAACACCCGAACCAGGTTAGTATCATGATGATAATAATCATTGATTGAATTGTAAAATTGTATTAATAATGAGCAGTTTACACACCGGTATTACTACTAATGATATTACTTTATTAATATAAATTGATACCAAACAGTAATATCATATTACAATGGATGTTATTGTTACTATCGTCACGATTAGAATAGAAAAGAATAATTTTCTTTCTCATCTTGTTGTTGCAGTTTTATCGTTAACTTATTATATTATTATCATTATTTTTGCGCTTTCAGCTTAAAATGCAGCATTTGTAATACTTTTACAAGTCGATTGTTGATAATCAACCGTGATTCGTAGTCGCCTTAAAAGCTAATGTTGACATAATCTCTTTTCTTTTTCTCTTTTATTCTTTTGTTTTTTTCCTCCTTGTCCTTCATCATCTTCATCATCTTTCATTTATCTTCTTGCCTCCTCCTTTTTTGGCCTTTTTTTACTTTCTTTTTATTCTTATATTACATTATTATTATTTTGTTTCTCTCTCTCTACTTTACAGTCAACTATTTGGTTTCGTGGCTCGAGCTAGAGGTCTTAATCAACCAAGCAATAATAACGAGTGCCATTTATTTGCCGAGTTTGATGAAGACCAGGCGACCTCGGCGATAGTCAATTTCGCAAACAAAGTCATTCTATCAGCTAACAAATAATTATGACCCTACAATCAATTACAATATGACTTTGTAAACTTTCTGTGACGATCCAAATATGCGACAAGAAGCATATTGTATTTACAACATTACAGAGAAATACCGAAAACTAAACGAAACTTGTTTCGCTGTATGTACAATGTACCTTCATCCGTTTGTTTTTTTGCCCTGTTTGGCAGTTTGACTGATGGATAGAAAATATTATCAATTGTCCTGCATCCTCTTTCCTTAATAATTATCATCATCATCATCATCTTCATCATTGTAAGTTTCCTTTGATACTCACAAGATACTTACATTTATGTGAGATGAAAGTTATCATACTTGGTGTTTAATTTCATTACACGAGCCCATCGATGTAACGAGTTCAACTGATTAACATTAACCATTCTCGTTAGTTAATCAAGTAATTTGAGAGCTCACAACACTCGATTAATTTTGAAAGATATTATAATACTATTAATAATAATATAATGATATCTTTTTCTGCCCTTTTATGGGTACAATATACACACACAAACATATTATAAATATTACACTCATATGCTATTTAAGCGCATGTTAATCTGGTTTTGTTGATTGATTCTGTTGATTCTGTTTCTCATGATTCTGGTTTACTTATTTACTATTATATTTTAGGGTAACACCATTGAAAACATTCAACAGTCTTTGTTACTGTTAACCTTTTTTTTCTTGTTTATGTTATCATGTTAACAATAAGATTATATATCATTGCCGTTGATGTTTAATGATTGTTGATTTGGTAGCTGAACGCACACACCAATTACATATTCAGATCAATTGAATGGTAATCAATTGTTTTCTCCATCAATTCAACAACAATTAACCTTGGAAACCTGATTAATACAATTTAAAAACAGAAACAAATATTATTATTAATACATTGAACGTCAACAGTTTCATTCATTATGGATTCACAATTAAACCCTAATTTGTTGAACAAATTAATTGCCGTTTAACTTTGATGATGTTAATTGTAATAAATGATCATTGATGGTCGTTTCTCTTTATTAATTGGATCAAATGATGATCATCAATTATTTAATCATCTATTTACGTTTGCGTAATTGTCAACAATCAACTTAATCCAAAACAATCACCTTAATTTCTTGGATTGAGATTTGTCTCTTTACTTTAATCATTTTCATTTTGTTGATGCTCCATCTTCATCCATCCAATCCCACTCTCTCTCTCATCATCATCTTTAAATTGTCATCAATTGTATCCCTTGACAAAAAACAATTAACTCAAGTTAACTGAACAATCAAATTCAGACCAATTCAATGTTTCAGACAATCAAGAGAAACAATTTATAAATTGTCTCAATTAACTTTGTTTCTACTCAAATTTAAATTGTATCATAACAATGTTGACCAAACAATTCATATTATCCTCTAAAGATTGACAAATCCTTAAATTAATAATTAATCACAGAATCAAATCAACTAATTAACCAATCAATAATTGAAAGTTACAAAAAAAAAATTACTAAAATCCAATCAAATGTAATATATTGATCATGAGTATATCCTGTTAAAATAGTTAATCAATTTAGTGACGACAATTAATGGAAAGTATTTTATTTAATTGTAATAACATTAACGAAGTAAGAAAAAAAAAGTTAATCAAAATTAACAACAATCAAGAAGTAAATTGAGTAAGAAAAAAATGAAGCAATAATTATTTCCTTATCCGTTTCCTTGGTGTTGTCAAAATTAATCAATCAATTGAAATGAAGAAACAGAAACACAATCACAATTAACTTTTAAAATGAATTAAAAGTGAAATTGTTACAAATACAAGTAATTAACACAATCATCAAGTTTTAATTGTAATTAAAATGAAAACAAAAATCTCTTCCATCCAATGAAACCAAAATCTATCACAAATAAAGACAAAAAGTATATAATAACTGATTGAAATTGTTTCCAATTTAATTTCTCAACAATTAATCATTCATTTTAATGATGACATTGGATAAATTTTCTGACGACAATTAAAACATTGATGATCATTCAACTGTTAATTGTTACCTTGAAAGTGAAAACGTTGAATCGTTTCACTGAATTTAAGATTATGATGGTTTCCAATGATGATAATAGTTGGAGAGGTGAGTATTTCGTAATTAAAGGATTGATTCAGTTGACAATTTAAACCCAATTCTAATTATTATCATGACAAGATCATTGTCCCGCTCAACAATCAATTCACCATGAAATGAGCAAATTCAACCATGAGAATGAATTTTTTTCCCTGTTTGATTGTTACACTTTTATTGCTTTCAATTGATTGCTGGTTGTTGTTGATGTGTCTCACCATTGAATTAACTTTCTCACAATTTAGTCTCTCAATTGTCAACAATTAAATCAACCAACCGAGTAATTTACAGAGTGTATATTATTAAACACCAGTTAATCAATAAGCAATTGATTCATTGTGTTTGATCAGTATAACAATTTGTTAATCAACAGCTTTTTGATAAACATTTCATCTCGATCAATTCTGTTTCTTTTTAAATATTACTTGACAATTAACTTGTTTGGAGTAACAATCAAGCATTTTCACTCTCAATTAAATCAATAGTAATCATTATCGTCAAGACAATCTCATGTAAATCAAGTCATTAGCAATTAATTACTCTCAGATCACATTCAGTTTGCTGTTATTCAGCTGATTAGCTTCATTTAAATTAACACAATTATGGACAATCAAACTTAGATTTTGATTGAATAATTTTATTTAAATTGTTTTTTCTGTTAAGCTTAATAAGCTTATTGTCATTCTGATGATGATTTATCTTATTCCGATAATTCATTTGAACAATAAATGTCACGATTAAGAAGCGGATTAGACATGAAAGATCAGGTTCACTTCCTGTCCACTTATGTAAAGGATTAACTTGAGCGATTATCTTGAAGACGATGTGGTCAGTGTTGAATTTCATCATCTTTGACCTTCCATTATCATTGAAATGGTGAAGTTGACATGAAATATGAAGGTTGTTAAGGGTTGAGACGATTGAGAGGATTAAGAGGATTAAGAGTTTCAGATTTGAAAGATCATCATTTTCATGAATTAAACTTTCATTTGATTTTGATTCTAATTTAAAGTTGAGTCTCCAAATTGTGTCTTGTGTTGATCAATGAAACCAAATTGAACTTTGTGATTACCTAATTGTTGTTGTAGTAATTAAATATTGAGAACAAGTTTTCTCAATTCATCCCAAAAAGGTAACTTCTCAATTATCAACAATCAACTAATCATCGCGCTCAATCAATAGTAATTGATTTAGATCGTTAACAAGATTATTTATTAACTAATCAAATGAAACCACCAACAATTTGCAATCAATATTCAACAATTAGAAAGTAAAAAAGTCTAATGGACAAATAATTTGTCGATTCGTTGATTATAATTAGTTAGCCAGTTGATTCCAATCAAAATATTAACAATTATGTTTCTTTTGGGTAACAATCAAGAGATTGATTTTCAATCTCTGTTAATAAACATATTTAATTATCGTTAAACTGTCAACTCTAAATCACTGATTATACTCAAGTTAATCATTAATCAATCAATCTGATTGACTGAAATCTTATCCAAGTTAATCATATCATCAGGTAGTCATTTCCAATGTAATTTAAAACAATTTAAACGTCATTGGGAGTTAATTGTTGATCGTCAACTTAATTGTTGTTAACCTTAAATGTCAGCTTATAATTAATAAAATGTAATTAGTTTAATCAGATTAGTCGTAATTAGTTTGTTTTCTGAATCGCAATTGAAAAGTTATTAAAATTAAGGATTTAAATTGCTGATTCAATTTAACCATCATCATCAGGATTAACTGGATTAACCATAATTTTAATCATTAATCAACATTACAATGAGCCAATATTAAAGTAATTTATTCATCATTTAATTACTAATTTGGAAACAATTTACTGTTAATCTATTGAGCAATTAAATCTGATTAAGTAAACTGGATTAACACATTTGATTGTCTGACAATCAACTTAACAATTGAATGAATTTGTAATGATAACCAAAAGCTGGTTAACAATTAAGTTTTATCATCAATCAATGTTGGCACCTTTTAATTGTTAAATGATCACAATTAAGAAAGTTAATTTGTTTACCTAAATTTGTTATCGATATTTGTAATCATTGATTTAATCAACAATTAGAAAACAATTTACAATTAAAAATTTATTCATGATTAACAAATTATTCTTGATTCAATTGTTAATTTATTTTTTTCTGTTACAAAATTTAAAACTAAATCTAATTAACTTTAATTGTTTGCTAAGTTAATACTTCCTGACAATTTAAAATAATTAATTAATCAATTGAAATTGATATATATTGTATTCAAATATGATACATTAAGGATATTCAAGATAATTTAAATTGTTAATTTAATTGTAAATTTGTGAAACCAATTTTTTGTGGGTTTGTCTGTCACAATTAAATTCAATTGAATCGGTGATCAAATTGATTAGCAATTGATTTGCCTGAATGATTAACAAATTGTTATGACAATTAGTTATCAACAAACAAGCAAAAAAAAAGTAAAAACAAACTGTCATCTTCAGTCAATCAGTTTAAATGATAATCATAATGACAACAATTAAGTAAACAAATTCACAACAATTTAAATCACTCAACATGATAACAATTATATACTCACAACAATTAGCAATTAATAATAAAAAAAAATTGAATAATAAACAAAGAAAACCAATCGGTTTGTTTATATTAATAATTTTCTGGTTAAAATGATTGAAAACCAAAACTTGAACAATCAGTAAATTGTTGACATAATGAAGATGATGATTGAATGAACTCCAATCGATTAAAGTTAATTGTTGTACATTAAATTAACTAATTAAACAAACAGAAAACTGAACCAAAATGAAACCAATCATATGAATTAACTTTTCCCTCTGATAGTTGCGTGTTGTCCAATATTAGATCCTGATGGTTTATTGATTAACCTTTAAACATTTTATTTCACCTTGATTATGATTCAAGTCTCTCATCATCATCATCATCATGATTATCATGAAATTCATGATGATGAACCTTAACTATTATCATCGAAACCACTGCCAAGTTAAATATACACATCGATGAATAAATTAACTGAATGGAAATCGTTGAGTTGGTGAATTGTTTTGTTTTTTTCACTTCCAAACCAAATCATCACTTTTTGTTGTATTTTAATTGTTACAATTTGATTCTAAATCAACGTCAACCGAGTTGCAACATTTCAAGGTGTTCCCTCAGTTGAGTTAATCGGATTTAGTTCCAACAATTAAATGGTAAGACATTAATTCAAATCAATTTAATCCACTCACGAATCACTTTTCAAATCTCTTGTCCAGTCAATTCATTTAATCATTTAATCATCTCGTTCCTTGTTTAATTGTGATCATTTCCTGTTTTAATTAACCCAAGAAAATTAATTGAAAATACTACTCAAGGTTAGAAGGTAGATTATCAGGTGATTGATTGGATTTACAATTTTTTCTCTCTCGATTGTTTAATTATCATTATTTAATTTCTGCGGTTAATTAACAATATCTTTTTTCCTTGATTTTTTTTTCTGTGAGTTTAGAGCCTCTCATTTGCCTCTCTGTCTATTTGACTGTCTTCTAATTTTTTCCTCTTAATTTGATTTAGAGAGAGAGAGAGAAAAAAAATACGTTAATTGTTGAGGGTTAATTGTTTACGATTTTCGGGTTTAATTGTTGATTAACTGATAGCTCACGTATTTACTATTCGTTAGCCAAGTGTCTGTCTTTAAGTTGCTTTTTTCGTGTTCAACTGAAACCGTTTAATTTAATTACCATTTCTAATCATCATGTTGATTAAGTGAGTATATGGATTATCCCATGTGGTGGGTTATCCGTTTTTGTCTTAATCTTTTCTCTTTAATATTTGTTCATTCAGATTGTGAACCCCCTGAGGCCATCAAATTATACAACAATCACTGAGATTATGGTTAGTAAATTGTTTCCTTCAATCGGTTGAGGTTAATCAATGTGATTTGACTCTTAATTGTTTCTAATTCTCTGATTGTTATTATTTTTTCTTGCTCTTTCTTTAGCCCTATTCAATGATATCTAATCTCTTGTACTCTCTTAATTTGTGTACTGTTGATATGCTGCTCAATCATCATTCTAATTACCATAATCATCATTAAAGTGTAATGTAGCTCTAAATTGATTGGTTAAATGTTGTATTACTTTAATCAAAAACAATCAAGGAATGTCAGTCAATTTTGATCCAGTTGATTCAAATTTACCACCAGCACACAGTTTGGTTCAATCATCTTCATCTTCATCTTCGTCCTCATCATGTTCATCACCGAAAAAATTAACATCAGTCTGCAAGTTAATTGCTTTTCCAAATAATCATAATAATGATTCTGCTTCATCCTCATCCTTGTCTGTCAACGATTCTTATTATAACAAGAAACATCATCAACTTAATGATCAACGGGAATATTTAGATAACTGTACATTTAAACACTGTAGAGTTTCATCATTATCATCATCATCATCCTCTCCATCATCTTCAGTTGATTCCATGGGTGAAAATAGCCGGAAATCATTGGATAAAAGTTACTCAACAATCAACGATACAACGGATAACAGATTAGACCAAGAATGGTGTTCAGCCCGAAAAAGGCAATTAGATGAGATTCTAATTAAATTACAGCAACTTCGTAAAGTAAATCTTGATGATCGTGAAAACATTGAAGGGATGAAAAAGAAGACAATTAAATTAATCGCAACTTATTCTAGTATCACCATGAAAACAAATAATTTTCTAACTCGTTGGGAACGGAAATATGGATCTAAACTCAAGGCAATTCAAGCAATTAAACCATCGTCATCATCATCATCATCTCCTTCTTGCTCTTCCCCTTCACCAACTTCTCCATTCTCTCCTAATATTTATGATGAAAATTCGAGCCTAATTACCTGTTCAATTCAACACCAATTTGGTAGAAAACAAGCAAACTAATCATTAGGAAAATCTCTCAGAAACTATTGTCATCAAATGATTTAATTGTTACCCATTAATCCATTTCCAGAGCTCAAACTAATCATCACAATTTTCACAATCAAAGTTAGAAGTCAACAGTCAAGTAAATTTGATTTCGACAAGTATTAATTACCTCATGAAGAAGAAAAATTTACCAGTAACAACACAAAACCATCATTTTCTCATAAGGAACTTTCTTGTCCAATGAGAAATTGATATGATACCAGTCGAACCCAAATATAACCATGGTGAGAGTATTATTAGATTCTCATGTTAACAATTCTCACACTGTTACTATGATTATAATATCCTGAACTCGGTCAAGGAGCATCAACTCATTTGTATCTAACATTCTCTTTCTTTTTTTATCATTATCATCACTCTCTCTCTCTCTCTCTCTCTCTTCTAGATTACTCTTGCTACTCCCAAAATATTGATCCTGAGATGAAAACGAATATGACCTTGGCCTTATAAAGAAAAAAGCATAGAAAAGGGAAGAGAGAGAGAGCCAATTATTTGTTCCTCTCCAATGAGAAGTGTGTTACTTTACCCATAAAGACCTCCAAGGACAAGTTGTTCATCGATTATTTTTCATCATCATCTTCTTCATCATCTTCATCTTCTTTTCATCTTCTACCTCTACTGATATATTTACCTTATCACCATGATTTCCATCATTAATATGTTGAAACATTTTTCGATCCAAGGAAAGATTTTACAAATTAATATATACACTTTATCATAGAAACACATAAATATAATTTTATGCATAAGAAGAGGGATGAAGATGAGTAGGGATGGATAATCAACAGAGGAACAAGTAAACCTCATTATGGATACAAAGAGCCCTTAAAACCCAAAGGAAAAGCCAATTGAAGCCAAAGGAGGAGTGAAAAAAGAAAGAAAAGAAAGAGAAAAGAGAAGATAAAACTCCAAACTTGTTTGTCTTTTATTTGCCATAATTTTCATCCCAATGTTTTCACTTTTCATCTCTTCTTCATCCTCATCAGTTTCTATTTCTAATTTTCTTACCGATTCCTCATCTCTCTCCCTCTCTCCCTCTCTTCCTCTCTCGCTCTTTTATTTTCTTTTCATCATCTTCTTCACATAATATAACTTGTGAATAGTGCTAAAGGGCGATCGGCCGACCTGCCTCTTTCTTTATCTCTCTCATCATCAATTAATGATCTCGTAAATTGTAACTGTCAAGTACTAAACTTATTGTTGAAATTTTCGCTTCTTCAAATTGGTTAACAATCTTACCTTCATCTTTTCATCTTCTTAGCTAACAAACATTCTTGAGGAAAAGTTGAGACCCTGTAAACAACTAAACCCTCGCTGAAAATTATATTCACCTTTATCTTCCTCATCATCATCATCCCAATCATCATCTTCTTCTTCGTTATCCTCCTTTACCTTTGACCCTTCTCTCCATCTTCTTAATAGTTTCCACTTTATTATCTCAATACTTTTGCTAAAAAACTCCTAACCTTTTGTGTTGACTTTTGTATCTTGAGATTTTTTTAAAACTTTACTCAATTAATTTAATTGTTGTCAATCAAAAGGTTTAATTGTATTTGGCTTTTGATGCTTTTCAATCATCAATATCTATCATTGCCAAAAAAGGTTAACTGTTCAACAATAATCAATGATAACTTTCAACCAAAAGGCTTATTGTTAATTGTAATTAAAAAATTCACTTTAAACAAGTTCACCTCTTGTTATACACTTGATTGTAATAATTAAAATTGATTATCATTGAAATTTCAGCTTCTTGTCTATGGCCATTTCATTTAGTCAATTAGTCAAAGCTGTTAACAGTTAAGATCACATCAGATCACTTAATCGTCAATCAAAATTAAAGTTGATCCATTCATCTGGAAAACATTTACATGATTAATTGTGATTAATTGTGTTGGCAAATGGATAAACTTTTTTTTGCGAATAAAAAATTGAAATTCAACAATTTGTCAATTTAGTTGTTAATTGTTAATTTAATTCTCATTTATGGTTAGCAAAAAGTTGTTTAAACTTGTTGATATTCAATCGCTACAATTGAAACGTTATGATAATCTAATTGTTGTCATTGATTAATTGGTATAAATCAATTTGTAGTTTGGAAAATTATTAACTTGTAAGATTTTGTTTCCACCATGGTTTCACATGAAGCTTTTTTAATTGTGTATCAAAAGGCAGTTAAATGACTATTTACACAATGGACAATTTTTGATGACAATAGATTATGATTTAGCCTCAGGGCTGATCAATTGGGTGATTATTTGTAATTGTTATAAAATTTTGGCACCGCAATGGTTATGGTTAAGCAGTTGATAGTTTAATCAATCCTTTAATTGATCTATTGATTATATTGTTTCCCTGTTTTCTTTGTGAAATTTGTCAATCTCGATGTTTAATTTAATTTAATCGTTGGCTTAATGGGGATAATTGTTGATTCCGTTGGTTTTCAAGTAAGTTTAAGGTTAATCAATGAAAGCATCTGAAAATGCTAAGGCAGTGATTGGTCCTTGATGGCCGACATACTCTTTCTTGACCTCTCCAGTGTTTATACTCCATAATCGAGCATTATTATCGGATGAAGCGGTGATTATGTATTGTGAATCGGCTGAAAAGGCTAAATCCCAGACCCAACGTTGATTAGCCGTTTGAAGTTCAACCACGGGCGACATGTTATCAAATGTGTGCCAAATCGAGTTACTTGAACGACTGTAGCCTCCGTCTTCTGATCCATGGGTTGAAAGAGGTAATAGATCAGCGGTTCTCCAAACTTTGCACGTTTGATCGGCACTTGTGGTCGCGAGAAGAGTTGAATCAGGACTGAAACTGCACCTTAATCCATACCGTTTATGAGCATTGAATTTAAGTCGAGGCTGTAATGGTGAACATTGTAACCGAACGTAATTCAATGTAAACGAAAACATGTAACAATTTCCTTTATTATCAACAGCCGCAAGGCAAGTGCCTTCTGGATCAATGTTTATGTGCTGAATGGAAACATCATCATCAACCGAGATCGTTTGTTTCAATGAACCTCGTAAATCCCAGACATAAATGTTACCATTTTGATCACCAAAACAAATCTCCGTTTGATTGGGATGCAGTTTACAGGTATTAATTGGACTGCCCACTTGGTGGGTTCGCTGAGCGTGAAAATTTCGAGCTCTAAAATCCCAAATACGACAGAAACCATCCTCTCCACCTGAGTACATCCATTTGGTATCTTCTTGGAATCCAATTGCCGTCACTCCTTTACTTATACTGTCACAGGTAATCACCGGATTAGGATTAGAATTGTCTCGAATATCGTACAAGCGGATATGCTGAAAACCAGCGGCTGCCAAGAATTCACGATCAGGTGTAATTTCCATATCATTAACCTGAGAATCGGTGTGTTGAACTACCCGAAGACATTGACCATTGTGAGGTGACCAGAATCGTATTGTTTGATCATAACTACCAGTTGCCAGAATAACTTGATCACTGGAAATATCGGATTTCATGGTTCCTCTTCAATTCAGATTAAATGATTACCAATTATTTACAAACAAAGATAAACAAAAAGATAAACAAAGAGAAGAAAAAAAAAAACAAAACAATAACAACAAACTATTTGTTGTTGTCAACAAGAAAATAAAACCTCACATATGTTTGGAAACTGGGGCAAGATTAACAATCAACATGAGACACTTTTGATTAACAATTGGCTGCTTTTAATCAGTTAGTCTATTGATTACTTTACAGTTGACAACAATTTAGGAGATCAACTTTCTCAATGGTGATTAGTTGGTTAACTAAATTGTGCCTTGGACTCAGTTTCACTTTACTCTTTCAAGAATTTAAAATTCAATTACATTGCCATCTAGCGCTTTTTACATATCATCATTTCATTTGATTCGCAATCATTTTAACAATCAAGTTAATCACGTTGTTTAGAATTGGGGAGATTTGATTGGAGATTTGGGGGACAATTGATTCTGAGGTGGAGAAAGTGTAATGGGTTAAGGGGCAGAGGGAATTTTTCATTTTAGTTGTTGATTTGATTGTTTGATGAAATTCTTGATTTGGTTTTTTTCTCGGGCTCCTTTTGGGTGTAAATAAATTTAGATTTTAGTCTAGAAAATTGGATTAGGATTTACATTTTCAATTTTGAAGATAATCAATTGGTGAGTTCATGAGATGGATTTGAAAAGGTTTACAGTTAAACTGTTTACCTTATATTTATATTGAATTTATTTTAACTAGTTAACTCAGATTAAAACTATTAACAGGTATTTTTTTTTGGACTATTTCTTTTGCTCTTTGTCTTCAAGTGGATTCTTTTCAGAATCAAAAGTTAGTGAAGGAGTTACAGTAAATCTTTCACCGATTCGGGAAATATAGTATTCGTAATAACCAAGAGTAAGAGTGGATGCAAATCCTAACCATAATAGTGAATAATAGAGAAACCAAACAGATTCAACTTCATCAAAATTATCTGGTTCGGTACCAACATATCTGAAATGTGAAGATCGACGAAGAACAGCAGGGGTTGTAGAAATTAATCTAATTGTTGGAGGTAAATTAGGCCTTGATTTTGTTAATCCAACTAAACGTTGGAGTCGCAAGAGTCTGGTTAACATTTTGATCAACTGAATGAGAAGTGGAAACAAGAAAAAGGTTTAAAGTAAATAAATAGAATAAAGGAACATAACAATTAACCGAATACAAATAATAAAAAATATAATTACCTTTGAAATTAGATCCAAATAATCAATTAATTAATTGTAAACAAAATTGTAATCATTGACTTTGAGAACAATTTATTTATCTCTGAGTTTTAATTCAATTGACACCAGATGGCGCTGTTTGTAGAATTGAGCGCGAAAAACAAATCAAATTATTTAGAAAATTGTTTTTCTTTGTCAATGGAAAATTGTAAATAATTGATCAATTTTGGTTGTTTTTTTTATGACAATACAAAGGAAAGTTAAAGGATTGAAAATATAATGGAATAATTTACAGGGAAATCTTTGGAAATTTTGATGAAATGATTTTAACTTCGTTTGACCATTTGAGGAGCAAATTCAGGATTAGGATCACTCAAATTTGGAACTTCTGAAAATGGTAAACAGAATTCACCGATTTTCTGAATTTCTCCTCCTTTTCCAGTGTAAAGAGTTAAACATCCCTTCCAAACTGAAGCATACCTTTAATGTTTACAAATGAAAGATGAACAAGTTAACAAGAGAAGAAGAAAAATTAGTAAAATGGTAAATCAAACCAAGAGTTAAATGAAAATATCACTGACCCTTTGCTGAGCTTACAAATATCTCCCGGATTTAAAAAATTTCCTGGCTCATCCCAAACAGATAGATTGATAGAACCTGTTTTATCAGCAATCTTACATGTCCTCACCTTGTGTCCATCTTTAGTTATACTTCCTTGACCTTAGAAAACAAAAACAAAAACAAATTAAGAAAACAAAACCTAAATATTGGAAAAAGAATCAAACAAACAAAAAAATTCTCACTTATCACTAAATCGGACATGAGAATCTAACTACTCACCAACATCTAATACAATAAATTGTAAATTAATATTCTTAAGACCAGGCTTAATATCACGAACAACAGTATGCTCCATGTTAAAGGAGATCAACAATTAACAGATCAAACTAAAAATCAACACAACAATTAATAGATGAGCTTTTATTTTGATTGAAAGATTCAAGTTGAGTCTCTGATTTTGTAACACAAATTAAACGTAAAGAAAAGCTTTTTATCACTAAACAAAAGCCTCAGGTCAAATACTAACTTAAAAGAATTATTAATTAGTTAAATTCTCCCAATTAAATAGATTAATTTAGATATTTAATTCTCAACAAGATTAAGAGTCTTGTCAAAATGAAAAGAGAAAAATTTTCCACCGAAAATAATTTCTCAACGGTCCCTCAAAACAAAAGAAAAGAAAAAAAAATCAAAACAAAAAGAATTCATTTCAAATTCTTGTTTTGATAATTGTCTCAACTCTTTTTATTTAATTTATAATTTAATTTCAATTAAATTGTGTCAATCAATTATATACTTTGGACATTCTTCTTGTTATCAAAGTTATAAAAATAGTAGTTTAATCTGTGTGATTGGTGTTTAAACTATGGCTAAAAAGAAAAGTAAACGAAAAGCTGCAACCCGAAGGAAAGCAATTGAACCATTGGATATACAATTTAATTGTCCATTTTGTAATCACGAGAAAAGCTGTGAGGTAAAAATGGATCGTAATCGGAATATTGGAAGAATTACCTGTCGAATTTGTTCAGAAGATTTTCAAACGGCCATTAATTACCTTTCAGAGGCAATCGATGTTTACTCCGAATGGATTGATGCCTGTGAAACTGTCAACTCTTAAATCTATTACGACAATGGACAAAATAATGGACTTAAATTGATCCATCACGAGTAAATAAGAAAGAAAAATCAACACAAAAAAAGCTTAATCATTAATGGTTCACACTTTCATCATGTTCTTTTCGTCATTTTCAATAAATAGTATTCATTTTTATTAATATATCAACAATTGTACATAATAATTTTTTTTTCTCACAGGTTTTTGTAAATGTTACAATTCATTTAAATGAATATGGATTAATTCAAGTGGTTTTTATGCAAGAAACGGTGCCAAGTTATCAAAAGTGATTATGATTAGTAACTGGATTGAAATTGTCGCCTAAAAAATATACAAATTATTGATTTTCCAGATTATTTCCTCCTAATTGCGGTGGAATGAGCTGGTTAATTATTTATGCCAATTATTCTTGATACAAGAAAAAAAGAGAGAAAAAGGAAAATAACAAATGATTGGCTTATTTTGATGGCGGAATTATGATGAAACATGATTGATTAATTCTTCGGATCTGTGAATCTGCTGGAACATCAATTACTTTTAGATTGGTCGATTTACTATTATTTCGTTTACCATTTTCATCGCAATTGTCATTTATTGTCGTTTTAAGTTGATTTCCGTTTGAAGATTCGATTGTTTCAATTGACTGGTCACAGTTTTGTTTAAGATTAACATTGCAACAATCTGACGATGGTTTTGGTAAAATTTTTCGCAATTTGGGTGATGATGAGACAGTTGTTGATTCGTTGTTTGATGATTTAGACTGTTCAGTTTGAACAATTCGACGACCACATCGAGTAATAGGAACTCCCATATCGACAACATATTTACTTTTATGTTTAGCATTTTCGATAAGTTCTTTGATATTATTTAGGGTTTCGATGGGAATCTCATTGTCCAAATTTTTCATTATATTGTCGACAAGCTTTTGACGATCTTCTGATTGTTCACTGTTGTTGTTATCATCGAATAATATTGATCCATCTTCTTCCATTTGAATTTCACCATCAATTTGAACATTGAATTCATTCAGATTATCAGCTGTTACTATTTCATCATTAGATGAATCAATCTCGTTGGTGGTTTCGTCTAAAAGCAATTGTTGACCTTGTTCACTTTCTTCCCTTGATTTGATACATTTATCTTTTATATTCCTTAAATCTTTCACTGTAATCATGTGTAGACGCTGAGGACTAGTTGATGAAAGTGATTCACGTATTTTGGATAGTAATTGATTCCTATCAGCTCCCATTTCTAATTTTTTAGCGATTTTAATCCGATCTTCTTTATGTAGGTTAAGATGTTTCAAATCGGTTTCATGGCCTACATGAGTTGGAATAAAATAGACCGATAGTTGTCCAGATGAATTGTTTTTCGTCACAATTAATTTAGCTGGACAAGTGCGATTAATTTTACGACTTCCTTGAGCTCTTAATCGCCGTTTCCTCTCTTGTTTTGGTAAATAATTTCCAGATCGATTACAAGTAAAGTACATGGTCTTTTGTTTACTATCCTTCTTAGAACGGTCTTTCCGATAATAACTGGCTGTTGATTTTTCCATTAAAATTTTCCATTTATAAAACTCTGAAACAAACAAATAAAGAAAAAAGTTCAAAATCAATCAATAGTAAAAAAAAAATGAAACATAGAGCAAAAAATAAATTGAAAAGGCACAAATGAAACAACAATTGTCCCAAATTAGCCAATCTCATTCAAAGCAACAATTAGCTCACCATCTTCTGTGTTGAAGAACAATTGTCTTTCATCAATGGTTAAATCATGATTATGCCTTAGATGATCAAGAAAATATTTCTCACGAGTTAAATTGTCATCACAAAGAGGACAAACCAATGAATGTAAGTGTTTAGGTGGTTCCCCATGAATTTGTCTTAAATGTCGACTTAAATTTGATTGAGCGGTGAATTCTTTGAGACACTTTTCACAAATTACCATTTTTCACCAACAAAAAGAATTAAAATTAAAAAGTTAACCAATTAAAGATGAAACATTTAACCAAGAAAAAGGCCCAATCAATTTTGTAAACAATTCGGAGATTCTGGTAACCATGGAAACGAACCCAAGAGAAAAGGCGCCAATTCAAAAAAGAGAAAATGAATTTTCAAAGTTCACTTCAATTCTTTTCTCTCAAAAATTGAACGTTTCATTAATTTCTCAACAATTAACTGATCAATTGATCGTTTCAAAATCGTTACGAAAGTTTAACTATTGAATAGCATTTTCTTTTCATCGACAAATTGGTTCATTTCCTTTCAACGATCTAACAATTAAATTGTGTTTCTCTCTTTCTCTCAATGGGTAAACATGATTAACCAACTTTTAGTTTGATTCCTTTTTTTAATTAGTCAACTCAATTTAACTAAATTGTTACTCTTTTTTCATACTATCTCCATCTATGAGATTCAAGTGAATGTTTTATCACCATGACGACGATTGATTGTTGTTGTTTTTAGATATTCAGGATTCAGATAAAAATAATTTTATGTGTCAGTTTTTTTCTCATCTTGTCAGTGACAAGTTAATCATAGTTTGCCTTTCAATTTTTACTTTGAAAATCATTCACCTTTCAGCAATTTGTTAATTTTTTAAAGGGAATTGAATTTAAATACAACAAAAAGTATAATCATGAATCCCAATTCAACCGGTGACATGGACATAATTAATGCTTCCAGAGGTGTTTGGTTAGTTAAAGTACCAAAATATATGGCAAACGAATGGGAAACAGCTCCGGCCCGAAGTGAACTTGGTCGACTTAAGATTAGCAAGTGAGTATTTAGAATAATTGATAAATCATTACAATCAGTTGATCAATTAAATCACAAGTTGACTAATTCAATTCCATTTTCCATGAACTTGCCAATGGTTGTTTTCTCTTTCAGGCCTAATGGAGTTTTGCTTGTTCTTTGCTTATTTGTTTCTCTTTAAGGTTTTCTTTTCTTTCTCCTTCATTCCTTGTTGTTGTTGTTGTTTTCTCTTTAAATCTCATTCATATATTATTTTCATTTTCATTTTCATTTTCGTTTATATCATTTGCCTCTTCGTCCTTTTCACTCTCTCACTCTCTTTCTCTCTTAACTCTCAACTAGAGGTAACACTGGAAGACCAGAAATTCTATTCGATTTATCTGGTGAAGTATTCGAACAAGCCAATTCACATAGAGCTGCTAGCGATCCAAAGATTCCTAAAGAGCATCGATTCATAATTAGTGACATTTCTCATCAACATTTAGCTGTATTTTCTTGTCCCAAAGAAGATAAATCCGGAACTAGTAGTAAACTTGTTTTAGAAGGGAATGTTGTCCAAAAAGGTGAATGTCGACCCAAAGCTGATACCAATTATATGAGATTGAAAGCCAAACAAATGGAAATCGCCCGAAGGCCCAATAAGATGGTCCTCAAATTAGATCAAACACCAATTAGTTATTTACCAGTTAATACTCGTCGAATTGAGGTAAATTACACTTACACTTTTAATCTAAATTCCACGTCATTACAATTCAATTTAGATTATTTATTCTCATTTTCCCTTCAATCGTTTTCTTATTGGACTCGTTTTTTCTTCTACCTGTTGCCTTACATCTTAATCTTCATTTGTCTCCTCCTTTCCAATCTTCTTGGTGTCGATTCAATTGAATTTCGAACTTTTTTTTTCTCCATTTTTACCATCAGGTTGACGCTGATTCTAAACGTAAAGGAGATAATAAAAAATCACGAGATGAGAAGGACAAAGTTCTTGATATGTTATTCAAAGCATTTGAAAAGCATCAATACTACACTAGTAAAGATCTTGAGAAAATTACTAAACAACCAAGCGTAAGTTTAACATTTTCACATAATTTGGTCAATCGATTAATTTTCATTAACTAATTTTCCAATAGACTTATTTGAAGACCATATTAAAGGAGATTTGTGTCTACAACACTAAGAATCCACATAAAAATAAATGGGAATTGAAACCAGAGTATAGACATTACGATGAAGAAAAAGGAACCAAAAAGTGATATTGTTTTAGAGACTTAAATTGAATTAACATTAAACAAATTCTATATACTATTATGATTAACTAACATGATATTAATGTTAGATATCATGATAACTCTGTTAAATACCTGATATTTATTTCTTGTTGAATCAATAGCAATTAATATAACATCTCACCTGTTTTCATGAGAACCATTTTCTCAACTTCAATGTTTCAAATTTCAATTTAAAGAGTTGAATTTAAAACGAAAGTCAAAATGGACAACACAATTAATTTGTCTCTTTAGAATTGTTCTTACAATGATCACTGTTGGTGGAAAGAGGAAAATGAACTGACTTAATGAACATTAATTGACTGGGATAATTAAGTTAATTGAGTTAAAGTTTTTGAGAAAATGATTCAAAGGACTCAAGTGGTTGTTGCCAAGGAAACAGGAACATTAGAAAAGCGCCAATTCAAATGAGCTGATTCATTTTAATCGATTTTCGATAAGATTTTCGATGGATATCGGGATAATTTGAAGTACAACACAAGTGGGTACACTACTGTATTTTGGAACATGATTAATAATTTGAGTTTGAATTGTTTGAATAATATGATGAGAAAAGTGAAAGAATAATTTTGCGTCTTGCCTTGATATGGAAAGAATTTTAGGCTGCTGACAATGCGGCAATTTGTGCGCGTATTTCGGCTATTTCATCGTCTAGTTCTTCTAATTCCGAATCAGAGTCAGAGTCAGCGTCTTTTAGAGATTCTTTATCGAAATTTCGTTGAGCTTCCAACATGGAGATTTTTATTCCAGCCTCAACATTGGATACTTTTAGTTGTTCGATTGTTTCTCTGGCTTGTTTATCATCGAAATCAGCTCTCTGGATATTTTCACTTAGATATTCGTCCAAATCATTTAACCGCTTCATCTCTGCATGATATGCATTTTCTCTGGTCTCGAATTCTATTTTCGCCATATCTTCTTGATGTTCGATTTGACTTAAATCTTCAGATACAGCTTTTAGCTCCGCTGCTGCTTCGTCAATAGGTCCATCCAAATTCTCACAGGCTAAGTCAGCATCGTCAATCATGAATTTGAGTTTCATGTAGTAATCAAATGCACTGAAGGTTTCTTGATTCTTTTTCTCTCTAGCTGCGATTAATTCATCCATGAGACTGGATTGTAAGGAGATGGCGTTTAAGATTTCTTTAGATTTTTCCGGATCTTGTATGAGATTCAAATCACTTTGTTCATCTGGTTCGGTCTTTAGCAATTCTTTTTTGGCTTCTAAGACGGCAGTATCTTTCAAAAATTTACTCTCATAAGCGACGTATTCAGCCAGTCGAGCATTGAAGGTATCTTTCAAGTCCTGCTTTTCTTCAGCTCTTTCTTGTAAGAAAATGGCGGCATTTTTTATGGCAGTTTGGACCTTTTTTTGGCACTTATTTCTGATTTCCTGGCGGTTAAGATGTTTACCAAGAAGATTTTTCCGCTTGGCATTGGAATGTTTATCCAATATAACAAGAATATAATGAACTGGGAAATAACACCAAGCTCTTTCACAACACGAGATAAATCTTCAAAAATCCTGGTATAGAAACCAACATCATTGGTATCATTTTTACTTTCAACATTTTTCTCGAGTTCTTTTAACATGATTTTGATTTTAACACAAGTAGAAAGGTTGAGATCCATTAAACTGGCAACTCTAGCTCGTTTAGCCAAAACCTCGGACTCATTTACATGACGTTTTAATGATGTTGAACTCATAGTTGTTGAAAAAAAAGTAAGAAAATCGGCCCAACGGAAAAGTCAAAAGCGATTAACCTTTAACAGAAAAAAAGAAAAGAGTTAATTAAAACACATGATAAACCATAGACTCAACAAAACTCTGAACCTTCAAGAAATACAAAGAATTAGAATAAAAAACTCACCTCGAAATAAAAGAAAACACTAAAAACAATTAACAGAAATGAAATGAAATAACGAAATCAATTAAATCGAACAATTGAAAAGAGAATAAAAAAATTCTCCAGAGCAACAGTTAATTCGTCAGTTACCATGACAACGAAGAGAAAAAGCGGTCAATTCAAAAAGTGAATTCGAAATTTCTCAAAATTCAACTTATATCAATTCTATTATCAACTGTGGGAATAAGAGAACATGGAATGAAAAAAAAAGAATTTAAACTAAAATGAGAATACGAATGAAGAACTAGTTTATTCAAATCCAGTGATAGAGAATTTAAAAGTTCACGAAAAGTTCTAAAGAAAAAAAAATGAACAAAACCCTGAAATCGAAGATAAAAAACTTTTCTTTCTTGACCATTGGTAATCGAAGAAATAAAAAATTACCTTTCCAAATTGATATTAGAATTAAGTGATTGGTGATGAAGATGATTTAGATCATTGGCAACTATTGTAAACACAGAATTCGGATTCACCCAAAGTAACGAGAAGAGAGAAAAAGAAGAAGAAAATGTTAAAAAGAAAGAGAACATTAATTTTCTATAAAAATCGATAGAAAGAGAGAATAAATGAAAAGAAAGAGAATGAGAGAGAAGATGAAAACTAATCACGTTAAAATGCTTTTACTCAAATCACTTTTCTACTCATAAACATGAACAGAATTGATCCAAACTGAATAAACTTTGTAACCTTCCCCTGTAAGTCAGTCAATCAAGTTACACAAACACATAGACACACACAGAGAACTCCATCCACACCCTTTAGCAGAGCACAAACTCCCACCTCGAGTCTCCACCCAAAAGTGTATCAATACGAAACAGAGAGAGAGAGAGAGAGAGAGAGAGAGAGAGAGAGAGAGAAGAAGAGAAGAAAACTCACCCACCGAATAAAAGTTCAGAAAGAGAGAGAGAGAGAAAACTCACCCACCGAATAAAAGTTCAGAAAGAGAGAGAGAGAAAACAAAAGAAACCAGAGAACAGAAAAGTCGAAAAAAAGTCGAAAATTTTTTTCATTCGAATTTCAATCAAAATGATGAAACAACTTGGAATAATTAACTGACCAGCAATTTAATTTTTCTCATGAAAAATAATAAAATGGTCACAATAATAAAGATCTCATTTTATATCATCTCAAGTTTAATCATCTGCTGATGGATAACAGTTAATTGTTAACCATTAAAAATGTGACCATAAATTGTAACCAAATTGTAATCAAATAATAACTCGATGGATAAATTTACCTTTGGCTATTTTTAATGACCACATGGAAGATAATATGATGATGAGAGACAATAACACATCCCAAATGTTAAATATATGGTTGAATGAGTAACACTTTTTTCATATCATCATCATCATCCACTTCATGGAGTAATGAACATCATCATCATCATAATCATTATCATCATCATTATACTCATTCTGTCCAGTATAACAAAAAAAACCTCGATTGATATTAATACATGAATGTTAACATTATCATTTGATGGATCCATCAAGAGGGTGGGAGTTTGAAGTTAACTTTTATTGTTACAAAAAGTGAGTCTAAAGTCAAACAACTCCCTTTTATCATCATCATCTTCTTCCTCATCTTCCTAAACAAGGAGTGAGAAATATCTGTTTCCAGTATCAGGATGTATACTAAATAAACGAGTGGTAAAAGTTTCCTTGTATTGGAAACACTGCCAATGGATGTTGAGGTTACTAGGGACCATTTGAACATCCAAATGGATACTCATAAAAACTCATCTTCCATCAATAATAATGATATAAGATCAATGGAAAGAGTGAAAGAGAAAGTGTAAGAGGGAGAGAAAGAGAGACAGAGAGACAGAGAGAGGGAGAGGGAGAGAGTGAAAGAGGAGTAAAAGTCATGGAATTATATTAATTTGATAGAAAAGCAGAAGGTCGTGTTTCGAGGTAACTATGAAGATGAGTCGCTATTTCATCTTTTTGTTGTTCGTTACTCTCGATTTGGTTAGTCTCTCTCTCTCTCTCTCTCTCTCTCTCTCTCTCTCTCTCTCTCTCTCTCTCTCTCTCACCTTCCATTGTCGAGATCAAATATTTGCCATCTTCCATTAAAATCTCAACATTATACACAAAATATTCATCAACGAGAAACCAGAAAGAGAATATGATGATCATTTGGTTGTATATCTTCATTAGAAAATAGATTGTATCAATTTCTAATAGAATTAAATTACTGATATATTCAAATGAATCTCGATGAATATTAAGTCAATAGAAAAGATAATTGAAAAATTTCTTTACAGTTCATGGTAATAACAATGGACCTGCGAGTAACATCATTCCATGTATTATATAAATATATGTTTCCTCGAAATAATAAACAGAATAAAAAAAAACTCCAACCATGATAATCATGATAAGTTTCATGACAAAGAGAATGAGAGAGAGAGAGAAAAAAATTCCCAATGATAAATATCAGTAAAATATAAGATAAAACTCTTGAATCTTTTAGCATGATGATGATAATACTCATCTAATATTCAATGATATAAAAGGTTGTTGTGAATGCGCTCGGTGGATAACAAGGAAACATCGTGACCCATTGAGAGAGAGAAGAGATAGAGAGAGATAAAGGAGAGAGAGAGAGTGGAAGATAAAAAAGCATCATCACCCTGAGAAGAGTCAACATCCATATCTACCCACTCTTGTTCAGAGTGGGAGACGAGGGAGTGACTCCAAGTGAGAGATCAGTTTACCTATAATAATACTCGAGAAGAGTGAGAGAGAGAGGAAACATTTTCATTGGAAGATTTTCCTTATTCTAACCATATTATATATTATATATTTTTGGATTCACTTTTTTATACATGTAATATTATCAGAGAACCGATATAATAATAATAATAATTGTTGCTGTTTGTTTACAATCAACGGAAAAGGAAAAGGATTTTTGTTTCTTCTCTCGTGTCCATCATACTAATTATCCTCATCTTAATCATCTATGTACAATGTGTTTCTCTCTGTGTATTTATTTTCATCACAATTAAAATCAATTGTAAGATTTTAAACTCCATCAACAATATCATGTCTACATCTTTACTTGGCTTTAATCCAACAAGTTTACCCAAATGTCATGGATGTTCAGACGTTATCCAAGATCGGATTATACTTAAATTAGGATATAACAATGAGAGACATACCTGTTGGCATTCCCGTATGTTCAATTAATCACCATGATAACAATTAAAAAAAAGCTAATTAGTCTAATTGTTTCTTTTTTCATTCATTCTCTTCGAAACTTTATTTACCTAATTTCATTTCCATAACGTGCTTGCAATACCTTACATGTATTTGTTTACCTTTCGATTGATTTTTCTTTTCATTCATTCATTTTGGAATTAATTTATTTCTCATTTATAATTATCTTTCTTTTCATTGTGATTTACTAATTATACTTTAACTATATTACCTGTGTTCCTGTGACCTTTTCGTTTACAGGGTGTCTCTTTTGTCGTGAATGTAAAACAATGCTCTCAATTAAATGTTATCTTCGTAATGGATTACCTTATTGTAAAGAACACTTTTATAAAAATTTTGCCAAAACGAGATGTGCTAATTGCGAACAGGGTAAGTGTTAATTAACCTCCTAATTAAACTTCTGAAAGGTTAAATTGTCACTAATCAAATGATATATATTGATAAATTGTTAACCCTTTCCAATAATAAGCCGTTCTCAATGTTTTCATTTACTTACATGATGATCATGAGAGGAAAAGTTTTCCTCTTTCTAAATCATAATAATTAATTGTTAACAGTTAATTTAATTGGATAAAAATGATATTATCAAATGAACAAGAATCATCTTTAAATTGAGCAATGGTAAATCAATGAAAGATTGACCTTAAATCAATCAAATGATCAATCTAATGATTAACACTTTGATTAATAGTGAACAAAATAACAATCTCAATTTGTGTGTGTGTGTAAAAGTCAAGAAAAGTTATGAATGAATTAGTTGATTAAATTAATGTTAATCTAATTATAATGATAACATTTGTAAAAGATGATTAAACCCATTCTCCTAAGACTCTGATCATTAACCATCGGCTTAATTGTTTAAACTTATCCACTGTTAACGATTTTTGCTGAGCATCTCATTGATAATCAAATTGCCACTCAGATATTACTACTACTACTATGATAATCTAAGTGATAATTTTAATAATAATAACAATAAATGGATAGAAAAAAAAAGATAAATGTTAATTCGTAAATGGATTTGAGGATAGAAAGTAATTCAAGTTGATTAGCAAGTAAAATCTCAAAGGGATTGGAGTTTATATCTTACAATCGGCTAACCTGAACATCCAAGTTAACAGATTAACTTGTGTAATAAACATCCTCCTTCATCCGATTTCCCCATCAAAATATTATCCTAGAAAACTAGGAAACCATTAAAATAGATGATCGAAATCATTATCATCACAAATGATATAATATCAACAATAACAATATCTAAAAGTGTTACATTTACTTTCACTCCATCGGTACCATTAATGTATCACCAAAGTGCCAAGCAAAATATATAAACCCTAAGGTCCCAGCGGAGGTTAAATTTAATTTGCTGACAGACTATTAACCATTAATAGATCAGGTTAAAGGTCAATTGGTCTGTCGCTGAATTAAGTGAAACATTCAGTTGACAATAATATGGATTAGTTAATAGTCTTTTTTATTTCAATTTCTTTGTTTTTTTTTTGCTTTGAATTTGTGATCATTATTATTATTATTACATTTTCCTTGGCCGATTCTCTGATAACTTTTTCTGTCCAGAATTTTATATGAAATTCAGCGTTTTTTTTACTCTTATTTGGTGATTGACATTCTCTAGGATGATAATAATTCTGTCGAACTTTTTTTTTCTCTTTCTCTTGTTTGTCATCATTATGTTGTTGCTTTCTTTTTCTGTCACTTCCTTCCTGTCTACTTCCTGTTACTTTTGATTTGTTCATATTGAAAATGATACCATAGGAATAGGAAATATATGTTTACAAGTTTTCACTTTGCACTTCCCGTTGATTGTTGTTGATTGTTAACAATTTGACGAACCTCAAAGTTAATTGATGTTGATTTGGAAACCATTTAACGGTTTAACATTGGGGCTAATTGAAGTTGACACTCGAAGTTATTTATAAGTATAAATAAATATATACATCAAAATATTATATTTATACGATTCCCTGATTCTATCGACTATTTGTCCATTAGAACTTTTCTTTTTTCTTCTTCTTCTTTCTCTCTTCTTCCCCACAATTTTCCTCCTCTTCATGGTGGACACAATATTAATGTAAAGACCAGAAGAAGAGAAAAAAAAACTTTTTTTCCTCTCCCTTTAGTTGCCCATTCCCTTTGATTATGATGACCATCATCCAGTAAATGACCAGTAAGCCAGAAAGTCAGAGATGATAAGCCTCCCTTTTGCCTTAATGGTAACTTCATTTATGATCATGATAACATTGAGTTTAATTCAATAAGCTAAGGGATGATAATGATGATGATGATAATGAAAAAACCATATCGCCACTCATGTTCACTTATCTTCAAAATACTGACCAATTCATCAAGACATTTATCCTCCTTAGACTCTCATCAGCATCACATCAAGTTGACACTTATCATCCTTTTAATTCATCAATGACTTTGTCTTAAAAAAACATCAACAAAAAAAACAACACAGAAAACGAGACTCACCTCATCTCTCTGGACTAATCCACTAGCAAGAGAAACTGTTAACACCTCAGAATTTAAATAAGAGATCAATTCAATTTCTACCAATAAGTTTGAATGTTTGCCACATTTATGATGATCGATTCTCTATCTTCATCTTCATCATCATCATCATCCTATTTCTCATCAGCTGATAGAGGAAAAACACTCACCAATTATGATGAGATACTAAAGTAAACACACTCGAGATTAACTTTAGCTTTTCATTGTTTTATCTTCCATAGGTATTGATGATATTGTTGATATAACAATCTACTCTTATTCTGGCTCAGAATCGCATGATATTTATGTTATAAATTCACCATGTTTACCGATTAATGTTTCCATGTTTACATCTTGTCCTTTTGTCCATTGGATTCATGAGTCCATTTCACCTTTGATGAGTTGGTTGCATGAAAACATGTTATTATCTCACTCTTATCTTCATCATCATCATAATTATCATCATTAGCTTAGATTATCATTGGATAAAATTAAAACATTGATACAATTTACTTACAAAATTAGATGTAAACTTTAACTGTCCTTTATGATGATGATGGTGATAAGTTTAATTGAGATGAACCAAAGGACAATCAATTAGATGAAAGAGGAAGATGAATTGAATCAATTTACTTTTATATTTTTCTCTAGTTTTAATTCATTAGAATCTATGGTTAAATATCACTAATTATCAAGCAAAATTAATTTGTTATCATTAAAATGACATAAAATTAAGATTCTAATTCGTAACCATAGCAACCGAAACCAAATTGATATTATGATTAACCTAATAAAGTTAATACGTTTATATTTGATGATGATATTGATGATCATCACTCGCTCTGTCCATTGAGACTTTCTTATCATCATCATCATCATCATTATCATCTCAAGTCTTTACTACAATTTAATGTTATCTTTAAGTGTTATCAACTAAATTGGCTTCTTTGACTAAAAGGGATCATCAATTTTATAACAATCATGATAATATATGAGAACCAGAATCGATAATAATTTAGCTCCAGCAATTTAAAAATTGTAACAATCAAAGTGATCAACATGAAAATAATCAAAATCAAATGAATATCAATTGACGAAAAGTAAACCAATCAAATTAATCTCACAATCAATAAATCAACATGTAAGGATATAAAGATCTTGATTCTATCACAATCAATATAAATTGTCAGCTAATTTTATCAGAATAACAATAATTGTCTTAATTTAAAACAATTTAACATTGAGACAATACTTTAATTGTCTCTAATTATCATCACCTTGATTTACATGGTGAAAATTAATGAAAAATTTAGCTGAAAACTTTTCATTAATTGTTGTTGTAATTACAAGATGAAAGTTTCATCATGATGATTAGTTAAACATTTTGATCAACAGACAGCAATTAAAAGTTTATCATGTTAATCATTAATTTAGCCAATTTAAGTTTTGTAAGAAAAAAAATTGTAATCAAAACAAAAACAAGGTTACAAAAAATAAACTTTTGAAATTGTAATTAACCTTAAGCTGAACCTCAAGTTAATTAGTGATGTTAATGAATGAGGATCATAACAGTAATCAAGTTAATCATCATCACCATTAACTTGATATTAATACCTCAAGTCAAAATATGTCAACATAATCAGAAACAAATGATATTATTTAATTTCATCTATCCTTTTGATAATCATTAACAATTTAAGATTAAAAGTTAATCTCATTCATCAAATCAGCAACATAATCAGTTAACAGATTAAATGATTTTCAATTTAAATCATAACCCAAAGGTATAATCATAATATTGTTGAATTAAAAAAAAAGAGGTACAACAATTTAACCTACTAATTAAGTCTTGTAATAATAACAGCAACAATTAATATCATTTGATGTGTGGCAAATTTTGTTAAAATTTATATAATAATCTTAATCATGTTTTATATATATACGAATCAGTTGATTGATATTTAATTCAATTAATCAAAGTATCTAAATTGTTTCATCTTAATCAACAGGAATCTCACCAACCGCCTTGGTAAGAAGAGCTCAAGAAAATGTATATCACCTTGAATGTTTCACTTGTATCTTATGTAAAAGGCCATTAAATACAGGTAATTACCGTTACAATTTACTAATTGTTACCAACGATCAATTGATTTACCGCAATTATCCGGAAAATTGTTCTTACAAGTAAACAAATAACTGATCATGTAGCATTGATCTTACTATTAATAGTGTTTCAATCAATCAGAATCCATGGTGATAATGAGATTAATTCATATTTAAATTTTGATGATAAACAATTGGATTAAAATAAAAGGTTAATAACCTTCCTTTACATTGATGAGAACATGATAATCACTAATAATCTGAATAATCTCATGTTTATCGTCTGAATATATGATAATCATTTTTTTCCATGAGGAAAAGTTGAAATTTTGTCGTGATAATAGTGATATGATTTCAATTGCTTCTGGTTAACGAGCATGCTCATGATTCTGGCGGTGAAAATGTTACCATGTTCAGAGATATTCAGATCCTATATTTCTGTATTATTATTACCATGGGAGTGGAACAGTTTCTTCAGAATTTTTTTTCTCACTCTTCATCTGTCTGGTGAATTCGAGGAAAACTTTTATCCCTCTTTCTTTTTCAATCCAACCGATTCATGATGAATATAATGATGATAATTTACTCATTGAGAAGACAAAAAACTCTTTTCTCTTTCTCAGAATTTCTAAGAATTCAGGTTGTTCAATAGAAAAACATCATGTGTATACCATGAGAGATGAAAATCTTTTCTCAAAACATGATAAATATGAAAATTTCCGTCAGAAAAATGATTAAGTCTTAATCTTCATCAACTATTCTCGATTTGAAACTTTAAGATAATTCAATTGCATTTGAAACCTTAATCTTGAATTTAATCAGTTCAACATCTATATTAATGTTATAACAATTGTTCACCAATGTCAATAGCCTCGAGCTATATTCCCAATTATTGTTAATCTTTATTAGTATTATTGTTATTTAGTGAAAATTAAACAGTATGGTTCAAATTGCTTAAGGTTATTTGCTGATTTACTCATTCAATTGCTTGTAATTATCTGAATCACCATGAAATTGATTAACAGTTGTTAACATATTGTAAGATTATCAACTCAATTAGTGATTTATCAATAAAAATCATCGATTGATGAGAAAAAACAGATCGAAACTAATCCAGAACGAATCTCGAAAAGTCGATAACTTTTATGGTCAGAATTTTTTTCTCGAAAAAAGTTATACATTGAATCTACAGAATAGAGAGAGAGAAAATAATGGACAAAAAGAGATTAATTTGATTGATGATGAAATTAGATGTTCACTTGAGTTGCAAACACGTGCCAATACGAGTAGCGTGAAAAAGGAGGCGCGTTCTGAGGGTAAAAAGAGAAGGAGAAAAAAATTCAAGGTGAAAAACTGAATAAACATAAATAGAGAGTAAATGATAAGCCATTACCCTCCCCACCACCAGCCACCCACTCCAATGATAAGATAATATCAATAACAAGCGAATAACGGTAAAAAATGTTGATATCACTTCGATATGGTTTGCATCATGGATCCTAAATCAATTTACCATTCGTAATGAATATAAATGTAACTCCCAGAAAATTTTCAAGGAGTCAATACATTTATACACAGAGAAGAAGCAAAAAAAGTTGGCCACGTGACTTATCCTCCCTTATCATCATATCCACTGATTATTATCAATTTGCATGTGTATCATAATGGATTCTGAAGAAAATAAAAACACATCACTTCAAGTTCACAGTCAACAATTTGTTAGCAACCAATTTGCAGCCTTAAACAATTTTCCTCTTCGAATATTGAACATTTACAATTCGAATCTGCTGTTAGATCAAAGATAGATTGTTCGTTCGTTTTCATCTCTATTTACTTTTCCTCTGTCTTTTTTTTGTGTCTTTTCGCCTTTTTTTCCTCTCTCATCATAGACAAAACCTCAGTACACTTTGTAATACTTTCTGCTTGCGTATTTACCTTTGGGATCACTCAATATTTACCATAGACTCTCTCACTCTCTCGCTCTCTCCATCATTCCCTCCCTTCCTCCTCCACCCATCACCAGCTACCTCACTTGTATTCCCAATGAACGCGTGTTATTGTTAATGTAACACTGGTGGAAATCTCATTGAAACCATTTCCATCATCTGAAGAAATAAAAAAAAATCTCTAATCATATTAAGCCATTTTTTTACCGTTATCGTAATCATTACAATCTCATCATGATTTAAATGTTTATTTACTTTCCATTTCCATCTCTGTTTATTTAGTAATCAACATTTCCATTGACAATCAAATTGTCACTTGATTCAATTCATGTGAACTGGATTAACATGTGAAGATAAAAAAACACATCAAAACTTTTATCAAAAACCTTAATTGTTGCATAGATTTGATTAGATTTTCAATGATCTATTATTAGATTGATCTTTTCACACTCTGATCAATAAACTATCGAGTCAACATTTTAATTAGTAACTTTTGTAACATTTTTATAGCAATTTATTGATTGGAAAGGGGAGAGAAAAAAGTTCTAAGACTTTTCGTCAGAAATTTTTACAATAAAAGTAAATCGATAAATCAGAATCTTTAATATTCGATAATAAAGAGAGAAAAATATTAGACCATAACTCCCACAAACTAACTCACTCTCTTCTGTAATAATGTAACCATTTGATTCTGTGGGTGGAAAAGGAAAACTAGTAACCACCTCATCTCTCCCTGAATCTTGATGAACTTCCTGTTCCTATGAATTCATATTTCATCTTTTAATCAAATTAAAATGTATCATCTTTATCATCCACTTTGTACTTTCCATGATGATGGATGCTAAGTAAGAGATGATGATGATGGAACAGCAAAAAAAAGAATAAAAAAATTATTCTTTTCTCTTCTTTAATCTTACTTTTTTTTATCCTTCAATAATTTTCTATCTCATGAGGAGGAAAAAAAGAAACAACAACAAGATGAAGACAAACTTAATCCACCTTTTATCTTCTCCCCTCTTTAACCCTCTCTTAAATCCTTCTTCTGTCTCTCTTCCACCCTGCATGATAAATCTCATGGTTGAGGTGTGGATTAGTTTGGATTACGTGAGATCAATGGGGTTTTAGTAACAGGGAGATACAAAGAGATTTGATAAAGAAAGAGAATGAAACATCTTAAGCTAATCCTTTAATCCAGTGGTATGCAAGATCCCAAATACTAATACAAATACTAAATATTAGGTGAACCTGATAAACAAAGATGAAAAGTATTATAAATATTATGGATTATATAGAGAGAGAGAGAGAGAGAGAGAGAGAGAGAGAGAGATATGAAAGAAAGACATGAGGATAAAGATGAAGATGATAATCATAAAGACAGAATATAATATAGAACAATATTTGAACCTATAAGAGTCTATGAGAATGCTGATAACATACTCACAGAACTGAATAAACACCAATGAACAGAATTCATCAACTTTATTTTCTTCTTCCTCATTTTTATCATCATTCTCTCTCTCTCTCTCTTTAGTCTCTCTCTTTTTTCTGTCATTTCTATTGTATCTTTTAGTCTATTTTTCCAAAGAAAAAAGTTTTCTATGGATTTACCGTTATTCTTGTCTGAATGATCGGTTTAGTCAAAATCCTCGAAAGCAAGTGAACTGTACTCATGAATAGGATTCAAGTGACACATAAAATCATCACCATTATCATCCTCTGAATACCCTTGTTATAAATATATACATGATATTTATATTTAGATATATTTTTTTATATCAAATTGTAACAAAAGAGGACAAAGATTAGGACATAAGGAAAGATTTTCGAACTTCTTTTCAATGGATAAAAAATAACTTTTCCATTGACGAAATCATTCATTAGAATGGAGAACATGATAGAGAATCTTTTTATTCTCTTCATTATTTAATAGAAAATTCTTAAATCTCTTCCAAAGAGACAGATTAGTAAGAGTTACGAATGATCTTTCGAGTTCTAATGAGATGAAAAAAAAAAGTTCTGATACTTTTTTTCAGAGAAAAATTTTTTCTCCCAAGTTAATTAGCTGTTATAATTAGAGATGAACTTTTTTACAAAACTTTTCATGCTCTAATGATGAGCTTACCATTATCACACAATTCTGGTTGGTGATATATTGTTCAACTAAATCAGCTTAACATGTTAAATCCTCTTGTTAATCCGATATCTTGTTAATCTGATTTTCACCAGTAAATAGGGTTTACACCAAAATGGATTAAATTGAAATGAAGCAAATAAAGTTTTCAACTAACACAATTAAAAGGAAACATTGATACTAAAATCAATTGCGAAGAGACATTAAAAAATAGCTACAATTAAGTCTAATTGTGACCAAAAAGTTTCACCTAAATATCAGCTGATTGAAACAAATTGCGCTCTAAAAGATTGATTGACCTCAGGTAGTAATTAATTTACAGAAATTTACTAATTATAACTGATTTTACATTAAAGGTGATGAGTTTTATTTAATGGAAGACAATAAATTGGTTTGTAAACCTGATTACGAGGCAGCCAAACAAAGAGGTAAATCAAATCAATTTGAACAATTAAACACTGACCAGTGTAATGATTAATCAATTTCTTATTATTTCTCAATTAATTGTGATAATATAATTTTCACTAATCACAACTTTAGAAGCATCAAATAAACGACCTCGAACCACAATAACAGCTAAACAATTAGATGTACTGAAAAGCGCTTACAACAATTCACCGAAACCCGCTCGACATGTACGAGAGCAATTAAGTCATGATACCGGATTAGATATGAGGGTTGTCCAGGTAGGAAAAGGAAAATTAGTAAATTATTATAATAATTTCCAATGTAAATTAACTAATTAATTGTTTTTCCATCAAATGAAAGGTTTGGTTTCAGAATAGACGAGCCAAGGAAAAGAGATTAAAAAAGGATGCGAACTCTGGTCAACTCGGTAAGTGGTCATTCTCATGTTTATTCATTTCAATTCATTCCCTTCATGTGGTCAACCTTTAATCTACTTATTTGTCATTCTGTTGTCAGGTCATCTATTGATAATGATAACAAATAATGTTTATTTTTTTTTCTTCTTCATCTACTAAACAAATCTAATATCTAATAGCTTGAGGGTTATCACAATTAATATCAATGAGAAAAACATTAATATCAACTAACAGTAAAAGTAACATTATTTTTGTAAACAATTACAATATTATAATCAGCAGAGCCAATGATGAATATCATCATCTACATGTTGATGAAATATTATCAACATAAAATATGAAAATGTCAAGATACAAAGAGAAATATATTATTCACATAGAGAAGAGAAAAAAAAACTTTTTTCTTCCTTTTTCCAAATGGATTGAGGTTGATTTAGTTATCGTGATTATCTGAGTGTCAAAATGTACTCTCAAAGCCTCAATATCCAACATGGTTTACATATGATAACATTGCGTGATATTATTATATCGAAAACCTTTGGAATAAAAATATTCCTCTGACCTCCGTCTGTCTTTTTCACCTAATAACAATAATAGAACAAAAAAGTTGATGATAACACACGCAAAGTAGCATCTTCGAGGCTTATCCATCTCATCATCATCATCATCATTCACCCACTCCCAATATTCCCTTTCTTTTTTTACTGTTATTTTACTTGGAGAAGATTGTGAAAGTGTATTGAGAGAGAGAGAGAGAGAGAGAGAGACAAGGGTGGAGTGGAAAATATATTTACATCATTCTTGAAACATTGATCATGATGGACCATTGGACTAGCAGAGGGATTTGATAGAGCGAGAAGAGAGTGAGAGTGAGTGTGAGAGAGAGAGACAAGGAAGATGAATGGGGTGGAGTGGGAGGACAAATTGTCCTTATGGCTCATCACTATGGTTACAATTGATGTTTATCATCCAGTGGTGATGGTGGTGAGGGAGTTGAGCTGTAAAGAGGGACAGAGGATAAATACATTCAAGTTTCACTTTCACTTATTATTTTTGTCATCATCATCATCATTTCTCTCTCTTTTATCTTCTTGCATATAAGTTAATGGATTCAAATTTTTTTCTTTCCCTCTTTTTTTTTGTTCTTCTCTTGTCTCATCATCCTTTACATTAGCTTTTCCTTTTGCCCTGCACTTTGTAAGGTTAATTCAAGCTAGTGGGTTACTCTATCATCATCTTCCCTTATCATCATTCATCCTCATATTATTATTATTACAGAATCAAAATCATCATCTTCCCTTACACTCTGTTGTCTCAAGTCAACTGTAAATGTCTTTCGGGTTTTTCAGTCAACTAAACCTTTTTATCACTTATTATCATCATAAATTGTTACTGTTGCCTACAAGCAGAAAATATAAACATAAAATCATCAATAATATTCAATTAATCAGATTAAATCATGAGCGTAAATTATATTTTCCACTATTTAGTTTCAATGAAAAAAAAGTTCAGGTCATCTGATTATCTGTATCCATTTTTATGCTCGAAAATATCGTGAAAAAAAATGACCGCTCATTTAGATCAATCTTTTTCTCTCTCAGCTCATCATCATCATTTAGTCATGTGATCTTCTCCATCCTCATCTTGTTTTCATCTTCCTCCTTCTTAGTTGAATTAACTTATCATTTCTCACCTTATTCTCTCTCTCTCTCTCTCTAATCTTCAACATGATCTTTTTCTCTCTCATTTTCTTGTTACCTTTTCAGTCTTACATTTTCTTTATTTATCATCATCATCATCTCCTTTTTCATCCTCCTTTTCCCTGTAAACTCTTATTCTTGAAAAAAAGGATAAAACTTTTTTTTCTATTCGTTTTTCTTTCTTTTTACATCTTCACTCTTTCTTCATCTTCTTCTTTCTCTTTTCTCAGATAAAACCTCAGGGAATTTATATATAGAGCTGACTTGATTCTGACAGCCTCTGAATTTCATCTTTCCACCCTCATCATCATCCTCATCTTTCCTCATCTTCATCTCTCCCTTTACATTAGTTGTTGTTTCTATTTGAATACATCTTAACACATCGTTTTTCTGCTGCATCAAACTTTTTACTTTTATGCCTTTTATATCATTCATCTTCTTTTGTTACTTTCCTTTCTTTATCTTCCTCCTCTTCCCCATCATCATCATCATCATCATCATCACAATCTCTCTCTCATTCCTCTGACAAAAATTGCATGAATCCCTTGATGGATGGATGATGTAAAAAAGGCTTCTCTATACAAAGAAACATCTCATTCTAGTCTAAATAAAGTCACTTTAGAAGTCAAATGATGATAACAATGAGAAAGAGTGATGATGAAAATGATGATAGAAGATAAAAAGAGATGATGATGATGATGAAGGTGGTAAGAGAGGGTGGAAAATGGATCAATTTCATTTATAACTTTAACAAGATGAAGACAAAGATGATGAAGGTTTGATCATCAAGCTGATTGTCATTAACCCAACAAGATACAAGATAAAATTTACACTTGAGATTAAATCACTTGTAATAATTGTCCATGTTATTTATTAGTACAAGTGACAATTTAATCAACTATAACAATTAGTAAATCTCAATTTGATGCTGTTAATTGTTTCAACACATATTCACACAGATTTAGATTCATTTGATTTGACATTGACACATAATCTTGTGTTAATCTCAACAAGGATCAGGATTATAAGATGATGATGACAATTGATACAACTTTTTATCCTCATCTTTTTGTAATAACATTTTCGTTATCAAATCAAGCAACAGGCTTATCATTATTACATAACATGATTTGACATATTAGACGTTGATTGTTGGGTATTAACTAGATAATCAAATTGAATCAAGTTGCATTATTATCATGATTAATGCCTCAAGGGCATAAGATCAACAACCTTGTAGTTGTTTATTTTTTTGTTGTTGTTAATCATCAACAATCAACTGATGGTATTATCATAAAAAACAAACTTGATTACGAAAAAAAAAATTGAAAAGATTAAGTTTAATCCTCGAAAACTAGAATTGAATTATCCTAATAGATTAACAATTGAATTGCAAATAATCAACCAGTAAACAATTAACTGTCAAATAATCAAGATTAACCATTTGCAGGTTTAATTGTGATGGTAAACAAACAAGAAAAAAAAACAACAAGAAATCAAATTAAATCAAATTAAGGTTATCAAACAATCAACCTTTATCCAATTCTCATTTCTAAATCATCATCGTAATCAACAGTTAATCAATTTGATGATTTAATCATTTAGACAATAAACAAACACCAATACAAAAATGTTAATCCTTAATCCATCAAGAGACAAGTTAATACGGGTTGATTACTTTTTGATTAGTTAATCTTATCAATTAACGGGTTAGTTTAATTTTCTAGGTCAAATCATAATCACAAATTGTCAAGAAAAAAAATGAACAACAAACAGATAAGTTGATTAATAAATGACCAACACATAATCAAGGTTGATTGGATCATCCTTTAATCCAGTAAAATGGGATAATGATGGTGATGGTTACATGAAATTAACGGTGAAATTAATTTTCTCAATTTTAATTGTCACAGGTAATCAAAGATCATCAAATCGTAATAACCTTTGGCCATCTAATCAAAATCCGTCAACTCCAACCACGGACACGATGCCTCCTTCAAATGCTTCATCCACTTTACTTGCCAATGAAACGTCAACTTCCTGTTCCTCTTGGTTTGAAGATCCAATTCTTGATTCGGAAGATGATGAAGATGAGGAAGATGAAGATTCATTGATTTCCAATCAACATTATTAAAATTTTCATTCATCAAATCATGTTGATTGTGATAACCAGGCCATTGATTATTATTACAAATAATTAATTGATGTGTGCAATGTTTTTAAATTGTAAATTTGTTTTCTCACTCAAAATTCAAGATGATTCACAAAAGTTTGACAATTAAATTTAATTGTCAATTGATTAGCTCTCTCTCCCTCTCTCTCTCTTGGTCTATCAATGATTTAATTTATTTTGCATTTTTATAAACCAAATGATCACAATTAATCTGATAATCAAATTGATCTCAAACAATTAACCCTTCATTTCATTTTTTCTCAATCAATTGGTTAATCTTAATCTTGATTTAACTGCGAGAAAAATTAATTGTTACTATCATTGTATTTACATTCATCTAAGTTAATTTACTTTTTTGGTAAATTAAATTAACAATTAACTAAATTGTAACCTATTTCTTTCTGTTAATTTGCTCATTGTTAACTTAATCATCAGGGAAAAAGTTAATTAACTTTTTTTTTCTCTAATATTTTCTCCCAATTAGATGAATATTCATTTTTTTTTCTTGCTTCTTTACTTAATTGTTTTGATGTTTTCTTTTAATTGTTTACCAAACAATTTAAAAGTATATTTTAATTTCTCAATTATAAGTTGGTAATGATTTCCTATCATCAATTTTGATTAGACCTTAATTGTGGATCAACAATCAACTCTCAATCTTTAAATCATCTTCATCATTGTTTTTTTGTCTTGAATCATCAACTTGTATTTTTAACCATTAAGTTAATTGTGAATAATTAAAAACAAGATACAACAAAAAATCATCTTCTCGCTTAATCATTATCATCATAATCATATCTTTAACAAATTGTAATTAACATTATTCAATCATTAAGCTAATCAATCATTAATCAATTAACCATACCAAGTATGATAATGATCAAATATAATTATATAATTTGAAAACAATTAAATAAACCAACATCTTTAAACAATTTGTAATTTACAATTTAACAATTAAAAAAACAAAATTGCCAACAACAAAACTTTAAGGTTAAATTGTTTACTTTTCTGATCATTTGGATACATAATAGTTAATTAATTAACCATCAACGATGAATGAATTTTTAATCATTTCTGAATAAAGATAAACGATTATTAACTAATTAACTTTTGTATTCAGTTAATTATATTCAATTGGTTGGCAATTATCAGATAATTAAATGAGATTGTTAATTGTTGGGATCAATAAGAAATAACTTTTTTCATTGTTACGATTTTGTTACAATCAAGGTTAATCATCTTAAATTGTTCAGTTAATTATGATTACTGTGTCAACACAATCACGATTGATTAAGATTAGATGATTCAATTAGGATTTGATTGTTTTTATACCTCCAAATGATTAACTATCACAATCAAGGATTTGATTTAAAATCAGTTGATTGTTGTTTTTTTTTTCATAAATGATCAACAAGTTTCATCCAATAATAATAATAATCAAGGTTTAATTGTGGTTAATTATCATTGGTGGCAATCAGATGATCACCAACAATGATTGTCAATCAAATATTCAATCACAATCAATTAGATATCTAAATTAAATTTAATTGCTTGACTATTATTAGTTTTGTTGATGATTAAAATAATCGTGAAAATAAAAAGTTGTTAACTGTCATCATTTGATTGATTAGTTAAACTATTAATTTCTCCAATTATGATTAAGATGAAAACTGGTCATTTCTTAATTGTGAGCTTGATTATGTCTAATAAATAATAATAATAATAATCAGTTGATTGTTGCAATCAAATTTCCTCAAGGTTAAACTATTAAAAAGATTCAGATAAAAGTTAAATCATCTCCATCAAAATAACCAATCAATCAAGTTTTAAATGTTAATACATCTTTAGATTATAATTGCGAAAATTGATTTAATATTATTCACAAATCTGATTATCTACAATTTACTAATTGTTGTTATATTCAAATTGTCATTAATTTCTAATCATCATTTCAAGTCTCAATTCTGTCTGGTGACAGTTTCTACTGATTAACTAACAATCATCATTTTCTGCTAATTATTTAATTCCTATTCCTCTTAAATAGTAATAAATCAATTCTGTAATCATAATAGTTAAACAATTAACATCATTAATAACATTTAATGGTTTCTGATTAAATGTTTAATTGTGAAAACTTTTTTTTCTCGTCTCACAATTTGCCTTAAGCTTTTTTTCATATTTAATTTTCTTATATTATATACTTAATTAAGTTGACTTTTAATGATACATTCCCGGGTAAAGGTTAATGTCTTTAATGTCAAACAATTTAATTGTCATTTAAATTGATTTTAATTCCTTGAAAAAAAATGAATCACTTTTAATTGTTATCAATTTAGTTTCAATTGATTCATTCATATTCTTTCCCTTAGATGGCACCACAGTCGAAAATTAATTCTCACAATTAGTAAATTGTTGTTTCTTGTGTTTTAATTAATTTTATTTCTCGTAATTAACTGATTAATGAGGTAACCCAAGTGGGTATGTTCAGAAATTGTAATGATTCAACCAAATTGTTACTTTGTCTCCTCTTAATTGTTTTGCTGTTTGACTCATTTGATTCATTTTCATGTTCAATTAGTTGATTATCATTATTACCTGAGTTTAATTGTTGGAATGATAAATTGTTTATCAATTTACTGATTCTCCTTGTGATTAAAAAACTGATGCGGATTTAATTTAATCGTCGGATGGGTTTGGCTATTTTTCATTATATTTGTTTGTTTGTTTTTTTTTGTATGTTCAGTAATTGCTGAATCCAAATGATGATCAGTTAATTACTTGGGTTGAGCTAATTGCGAAAACAGATCAATAATTTGATTGTAAACAATTCAAGTGTACAAATTGTAAGTTAAACTAAATGGTCCAATTTTACTTTTGATTACACAAGAAGAAAGATCTTAATTATTCAAAAGGTATCAAGGTAACAATTAAATTGTTAGATTTTCATTTTTGATTAAAACACAAAATTGAAAACAAACCAATTAAGTTAATCAATGAGACAAACAATTAATCACATAAAATTAAATCCAATCTTTTCAACATGATCTAAATCAATCCATTAACATAATACCAATTTGTTTGATCAACAAATTATCCAAATAGTGATTAAGCCTAACGGTAAATATCGGGTGTTCATAAGACCACAATTGACCACAATTTCTGTTGATATTGTTGGATGATTAATCTCACAAGATGATGATGTAAATGTTTGTGTAAACAATTTAATCTCAAATAGGTATTAATATTAATCAATTGATTCATTTGCATCGACGAATCAAGGATTAGCCTTAATTTTCCGTCTTTTTTGTATCTTTTCAAGGTAAACCTAACGATTGACCAGTTCGATGGTAACGGAAAGTAAAATAGTGGACAGAAAGATGGACTCTCGATTTTGGAAAGAAAAAGCAAAAAGTTTCTTTATTAATTTATTCAGTTGATTAGGTGAATGAGTGAGTGTGTATGAGAAGATCAAGATGATGAGATGATGATGAGGATAAAGGAAAATGTTGGGAAGACAATGAAATTGACTTAGATAAAAAGGAATACGAATGAGAAAGTGTTGACCAAACGGAGCCCAAAGTGTGAAAACTGGACGTTAGGTACTAATTGGGTAAGATTGTTTTTCTCACACGCAACTGACCAGCTCAGTAGGAAGAAAACAACAAAGTTCATCTTGAAAACAATATTCTGATTCAGGATAAGAATACATGATGAATAATGAACAGGACCAACAGAAAAAAAAATCAAATTGTTATTAACAACAAAAGGATGACCACTTTTATTATGTATCTATGCTGATGGTTCATGATACGAGTTCGTGATGATGAGTATGAAATGTTTAGTGTTGGTTGGTGAATATACAAATCAGATAAATTGTTGACCATCATCAACAAAACCGATTGTGTATTCGGTCAGTTTGTTTGGTTTTTCCATTAACATTTAAATTAAAGGTGAGTACCTGGAATTGGAGATGATTTAATGAATATGGCATCGTTGGATCTTTGGAAAGGTGATTGTTGATTATTCTGAGTTGATTGTTGTTGTTCTTGTCGAGCTGCGGTGAACCGACCGAAATTGGATAAAGAAATTGCTCTTTTACCATGAATAAGTTCAGTGCTAATTTCATCGGTTTGATTTTCACCGGTTGAAGATGATGTTGATTCGGAGGCACTTAAAGTTGCCGATGATGTTGATGGAGATGCTGAAGATGCGGAAGATGATGATTGGAGACTGTTCTTCTTGACACTTTTACCTGTAAGAATATTGTTCTTGTTACCATCTTCATGATCAAATGCTTCATTATCTTGACCTTGTTTCTCAATGATTGCTCGTGTTGTTGAGACAATTAGATTACTATTATTGTTGGTATGAGCTCGAGTAACTGGATAAGATTCAGTTGTACAAACAGAAGCATTACTTTTTGCTTTGATAGTGGAGATTTGATTGGAATTGATAGATTTGATTTACAAGATGTCGATGAACAAGATTGTAATTTAGGTGGACAATTACCTGGACGTAGATTTGTATTGTGGTTACCACAACAAGTTGATTCGGTTGATGAACTATTGGTCATTGATGCAATCTGATGATGACCATTACTTTGTGAATGAAGACACGTACCAGTGTTGATACAATTGTTTGCTAATCCACCAAAAAGATGAGCATCATTACCAACAAAGTATCTATAAGGTGTATCATAATCAACCTCTAAAATGGTTGAAAATTTATTAGGAAACAAAATGTCAATCAAAACGATTATCGATCCTATTGTGAGCGCTGATAAACCAGCACCCAACACTAACCAATAGGACCAACCGTAGCTGAAACTCAGAGTTCCCCCTGGAAATTGAATCTTCAGAGGACTAGGAGGTATAAGCAGTGAATAGATGGCATTGGTACACAACATAAGCGCTCCCGTTGATTGTAAAGCGTAAATTCCGTATCTTGGAACAGCACAAAGTAACACAATCATTAAAAGCCACAAACAAAAGGCCATATTAAGCAGTGTCGAACCATAATAACCCGCTAGCCGATACTTTCTCCCCCAACAGAAACCTTCGTCTCCCTTTGATAAATATTCTAATATCGTTAAAATAGGATACGGAAGTCCCTTTTCCAGAGCACTTCGATATTCTTGTTTCATCTCGGTAGCACCGATCCAATAGAAACGCTCATTGTAATCAATATTTTCAGCGTCCTTATGATATGTTGACTTAGCTTTCAATGTTATATTGACACTTTTCAGTCCGATGTAAACACCAACATCGGCAAATATTTTCTCCTTGGAAAATGCCTTATAAGCGCTAGAAATTGACGTCTCGGCGATATGCCAACTCGAACCACAATGAGCAACGGTAATTGTACATCCAATGAACAACGATAAACTCACTATGATAAATGTTGAAATTTTCTGCCAAAAGAAACAGATAAAAGTTTAATATGAAAGAAAATGGGAAAATATTTAAATATTAATAATAGAAAAGTTTTCTTTACTTTTGAATGTTCAATATTCATTGATATTCATGTAGAGTATTGGAAACAATTAGCTTGTATATTAAGTTAATCAGTTGGTAAAACTTTTTAGCTCGAGAAAAATTATCTAGACTATTGAACTGGAACACAATTAACTGTTGATTATTTACAAGATAGAAAAATGTAATTTAATTAGCCAATTATAGTGAAATAGATTTCGCTTTGAAAGTTAATCGGGAAGGTTAAAGGAAATTGTTTAGTATTATGATTTAGCTAATGATTGTAATGTTACAACGATTGATTAACTAACTGTTCATTTATTGATTGTTGAAAGTAAAAAAAAAATTAAAGTAAATTAAGAGAAAACAATTTGCATAAATTGTTGACAACATTGATTTCTCATTAAATTAAAAGTGTTAGGATTTACCTAAAGTGTTAATTGTGAACTTGACAATTTGTTTATTTGTTGATGGACAAAAGTTAATTGTAAATCGTTTGAGAGTAATCAAATTTTTTAGTATTTCAATCAATTGATGAAATTAAAACAAAATTAACCGTTAATGAAGATTCACTTTCAAGGTCAAGGTAAATTATAAACACTAATTACATGACGATTATTCAATAATTAATAGTAATTCAATATCAGCATGAATTGTTAATCTGAATTAATCATTTGGGGATGATTTGGTAAATGTGATAATTGTTTCATTGGAAAAGAAATTAATAAAAATTTTTATCATGTAACAATTAACGATAATCAAAGGTTTCCTGGTGGTTAATTAATTTAATTCAATTAACAGATATTTGAACCTTTTTTTCACTTGATTTATATTAGTTAAGTAAATTGTTGGAAATTTAATATTAATGTAATAATTTAATAATCATGCGAATGCGAAAATATTAACTGATAATAAAATAATCAACACAAAAATTAGTGAAATTTGTGTTAATTAGAATTGCAAGTTCGAAGGGAGAAAGAAATTAATTTGTAAACAAACATTTGAACACAATTAACTGTAGAAAATTAAATTAACAAGCCTAAATATTATTCCTCTATTCTTATTGTAATTAATAAATTACTTTTTTCCACAATAATGATCACAATATGATAGTAAAAGCAACAATACAATCATCACGAGTCTTTGAATAACTTAATGGATTCAATTTGTAATTAGAATTTTTTTTTTCTTCTCGATTTTCGATTTAATCTTGATTAGTTTTCTCAATTAATGTGGACTCACCTCTTTACGTATTCCAGGTAATACTAGTAGGAATGCAATTTCTGCAGTAGTGAATGTTAATAAGATGAACAGAATTCGAGAATCAATCAAAGATGGAGTTCGATTGGAATCGAGATACAAAGGTGAACCTCCAGTGGGTCGAAAAGCATCAAACCAATTTCCGTCCGATGTCATGGCTTATTGATTTAGAGAGATTTAGATTAATCACAGAGGAACAATAGAAGTTAATTGTTGTAATCCAAAGGTAAAAGATTTATAATCAAATCAAGTTGATCGTTTTTCTGGTTAAACCCAAAAACCAGAGAGAGAGAGAGAGAGAGACAAAGAAGGAGAGAGAGAGAGAGAGTTGATTGAGAAAACTACTTTTTCTGGTTCTTAACCAGAGGAAACAAAGAGAGAGAGAGAGAGACGAGAAAATCAGTGAAATTAACAATTACACAGAAATTTAATTGAATCTAAATTAATCCGAATCAAGGACACAATCACAATTGTGAAAACAATTGATTATCACGAGAAAAGTTTTCAGGACAAAATGATGAACCAAATTGTGGAAACAAAAAATTTCAAAAGGATTAGTAAAAGTAAAACCAATTGATCTTGGAAAATGTTGATTGTTGATAGTAATTGATTAGCACAAATTAAAAGGAAACAATTGATTGTGATAAATTTGATTAATTAGATGTTGATTGATTGATGGACGAGTTGTGATTGATTTGATCAAACAAATCAAATTGAAACGTAATCAAGATAAAAATGGTTAACCCAATTTGTTTACACGGTCAGAGATAAATGTTAACTAATCACAGCTGATTAAATTTAATCATTACTATAAGAGTAACAATAGTAACGATGATAAATCATAATATAAATAGTGTTAATGATAATCGATAGTAAAAACTTAAATAAGAATTAAGTTAATTGTAAGAAAGTTAAAAAGTAACTGACAATGAAAAGATAAACAAGTTACTTCGTAACGAGAAAACTTTTTTTTTGTCTTCAAAAGTTACAACCAAACGAAAGGCGCGAAATTTGAAATTGTCGAAATTTTTTTTTCTTCTCATTTAATTTGAACAAAATTAACTTTGATTATTAGAAATTAAGTCAACAATTAGGGTACTTGTTATTATAGTAAATTGTTGTTGTTATTGATCAAAAACAAGGTTGATAAGTTAATCTAATATGATTAACTTTTTAATAATAATAATGATAATAATTTAATGATAACAATTTGAAAAGTTTAACTATTGTCAATTGTGTAAATCAAATTAAATTGTTCAACATTAAAGATCAAGTAATGAACTCAAACAACAACAATAATAATAATCAATGAATCAAAAATTAATCATCAAGTAAACCAATTTAGTTAATCGCAAATAATTTAGCTTGATAAGGTCACAATTAAGCTTGCATTTAATATTAATCAAGATAATCAATAAATTTTTATCATTTTAATATTGTTTTCATCAACAATTAATCAATATTAAAGGATTGAGTTACGTTTATTAATTTTGTTTTTCTTGGTTGACAATTAGCTTAATTTAGTTTAGCTTAAAGATTACCTTTGATTTCCTTTTAATTGTTGATGTGTTAATTGTTACCTTTTTCCTGTTACTATTGATAAATAAATCATCATTAAAAGTAAACTTGAAAAGTTAATTGTTTTCATTTGTTATTTATAAACATTTATATTGTATTAACATTGATAGTCCCTTTGATTGGTTAAATTGTGAGCACAATTTAATCAATCAGCTCAAACAATTGAATTTAATCCAACAATCAACAACAATCAACGACAATTAATTTACTCATTTCCTCTTGCTCCTGTTGATTAAAGGTTAATGTAACCTTTCAACAATCAAATTGTAACTTAAATTGTAACCATTTGAAGATCAAACAATTAAATGGAAACAATCAATGGGGAATTTAATGAAAAAAAAGGACAAAAATAAATCATTGATTAAACTGATTGTAAACAATTAACGTAACGATTTAAAACAAAACAATCAACACAAACTCAATGTTAATCATTTAATAACTTTTTTTTATGATATCTAAATTGTTAGAGGTAAAAATTGTTAACTATTAAGATGAGCTAACAATTAGCATTTTATTTTACTACCATCGTTGTATAATTAAAAGTAATCAAAAGTAATTATATCAAGGTAGATGATGTCGACCTTAACAATTAAAAGATTATCTTAATTAACTGATATTATTGACAAGAAAGATGAAACTTAATCACATTGACGTTACAATGTCACTTGAAATTTACGATGATTAAGATTAAATTGTTAATCGCAAGGTATCATCATCATCCTAATCAACTTAATCACCTTAATTATCATTATAATCGATAATAAAATTAACTAATTGTCCAAGAAAAAGAGGAAGAAAATTAAGATTAACAAGGTTAACATTAGATTCGCGTCAACTGAATTAAATTGTTAACAAGGATGAGTATGATTAGAAATGAGCTGATTGTGATAATGATGATCAAACGAGTTAATTATAATTAACTGTGAGAATTAATTGTAATTATAACAATAAATTCGCCTCATTAATTATTTCATCATCTGATTTGTTTATCATTTGAATTGATTTTATTTCAAAATCTCAAAATTATCTGACAACTTTTCATGGTTAATTGTGAATATTTTCTTGTTGATTGTTGTAACAATTTAAACTTGCAAACAACAACAACAATATAATCAAAACATGCTCATCATCAACACAATCATCTTAATCATGATGATGATTTCGTTGTAACCAAATTAACGTTTGAAAAAAATTTCTCAAAAGTTGGACTGAAACGATAATGATGAAGGTTCTGGTTCCGTCCTTCAGATTAACTTGATTCTGATTATCACTAACTACTGAATCATGAGACAATCATGATGATTCCTGGATTGATGCTTGATTATCATCATGATTGTGGACACAATGTAAAAAGATTCAGACAATAATCAGTTGATTAATGACTCCGTGACGTTTTTATCATCCATAATCATAATTGTGATTGTTAACATTCAGAATCCATGAAGATTATCATCATAATCATCACAATCATCATCGTCATATTCATGATTGAGATGAAAAAGTTACGAAGAAAAAAAAAGTTTTTTTTTTATTATTCTTTTCCAATTCAAATGAATCAAATTTCCATCTTCCTATTCAGATTTCCAACAATCAATCAATGATTAATTTAATCACAATCACAAGGTTGTGTTTAGTTAACTGTTCACCAAATTTCCATCACAGCAATTAACTAACAATTTACTATCATCATAGGTTTAGTAGTAAATTTAATTCACTTACTAATAATAGTAATGGGGTAGTAACAATCAAAATCAATTGCAATTGTATTAACTAAATCAAGTTGAACAAAATTTCAATTCTACAATTAAAATGGAAAATTAAAACTTATAATTAACTGTTATTATTATTATTAACATTATGATTGGGTGCTAATGATTAGTAATTTAGATTTGTAAACTTAATTTAAATGCTAAAAATAGTAATTATAACAATTTCATTTTAATTAAAAGAAACTCACTAATTACATAGATTTAGTTTATCAGCAGTGAATAATAATTTTAATTGTAATCGTAATTATATTAAATAGTAATTAAATTTAAAAACAGAAACAGGTAACAACCTTGATGTCCAATAATGGACTCGATTTTAATATAATATTCAACGGGAATATTCAATAGTTTCACCGTAAGGCGGTCAAATGGCCTCAGGCTATTTCCTCGTGGATATTAATGTATATTCATGTTTAATATTAACTCTGAGGCGCCATTGGAGTTGTGTAAACTTCACCCTGGGGGCAAATCAACATGAATCAACTCTTGGGTGGGTAATGATGTTGACAACAATCAACTAATTGTAATGGTTGTTAAACTTTTTTTCTTCTTCTTCTCCTTAACAACTAAATTGACATGAGATCAGAAAAAAGCGTTTAAATTAATTAGTTAAATCATCATTTTGATTATCACTGATTGGATTTTATTAATGATGAGATTTAATTGTTTTACTGATCGTGTGATTATTTTTGATTGTATTTCTTGTTTTCAACAACATGATTAGTAAATTTGATTAGACTGAGAAATTAAATTGTTGCCTAATTGTGTTTCCATTGTGTTTAGTTATCATTAAAATTACTAATGATTAAGTTACATGATTTTGATTAGGATTATATTTATTAACTAATTGCTTGTCATCTCATTAAATTGTTTAATAAAGCTTTTTACTTTTTAATTGTTAACCTTCATCATGATTATAAAATTAACTCAATCAAGTTTGACAATTGTTTTCGTCAACTTGATTAACTTGATTAACCTGATGAAATATTAGATTAAGACAACAATCAATGGTCACAATAAGTTACAATGTATTAGATTTTGATTGATGAGAAATTGTGAGATAATTGTAAGTTAATTGTTGATGATAAAATCTAAAGACAATAAGAATCTTAAATTGCCGTTGATAGCTAATGATTAGTTGATTTGGTTTACCTTGATTATTAAATCATTCAGAGCTAGTTAACTTAAAATTCATGTAATTGTTAAGCCGATATAAAAATCTGAGGATACAAATTGTTGGGAAAAACATGAAAATGATCAAGATTAACTAATTGTAAATTTAATTGATAGTTTATTAGACAATCATTGTTACTATCATGAGAGATTATCATATTTTGAAAGCTGAGAATTAGTTGATTGTTACAAGTATGATATTAAATGAGCGATAAACCTTGAAAAATTGTTAATCCTTAATGATAATCCAAAAATAAAACCAAACTGTTTATCAATAGCATTCAATGAACCCCTTCTGGTCAGTTAATTGTTGATAAAACAACGAGATAGTTAACTATTATAATGAAAACAGGATGAAAATTTGATTGCGATACTATTAATAAATTTCATGGTCAAAATATTAACACAATCAATAGGAAACAAAGGTAAGAAATAAAACCCAACGAATCAAAATTTTCCTAACGAATCTAAACTAACGAAGCAACAATTTTCATAACGAAAAGAAGAAGAAAAAAAATTCTGGTCTCTCCCTGAATTTCCCCTGAAATTTTTTTCTCTTCTCGAATAATATTAACAGAGAAAATCGACGAACAAGAGAGAGAGAGAGAGAGAGAGAGAGAGAGAGAGAGAGAGAGTCAGTGAGTATCAACAGGGGTGGGGAAAGAGATGAATTAAAAATAGTAAATTGATTAGAAGTTAATTTGATTAAATGAAGGTTACAATTAAACGGACAAAAGCTTAACCATAAAAAATTGTTCCCAGCTCAAGGTGGAGGATTTAAATGCGATGATAACAAATTATGATGAAGATGAAGATGATGATAATCATGATGATGATATGAGAAAAGTGGGTGGGAGATGATGATAAATACAGATTAGATTAAGAACTTACATAGAACTTTTTGTTCAGACATTCGATCGAAAATGAATTTTCTCTCTTTCTCTTTCTCTTTCTTTTATCGAGTTAAGACCTTGATGGAGAAATAAAAGAAAAGAAAAAGTTTCTTGGAATCAACGCCAACGCCTCAAGGCTAAATTACTATTGAATTGTTAATTTTTTTCTCTCTCTCTCAAGATAGAAACAAAAACAACGTTGATTATTACAATTGGAGAAAAATGTTGATTAGTTGATTAACAATCGAGTTAAATTGGTTAAGGAAATAGCGATGTTTTAAATTGTAGGGTTAGAAAAGAGAAAGAGAGAGAAATTAAGTTAATTGTTTCTCTTATTGATTAAGGAGGAAGAATATTAATTCTTATCGTAATTAGAGCTCATATTGTTCAGATGGCAATGAGTAAATTGTATTACGATCAGTTGATCGTTACAATGTTAACTAATAACGTTTCCTCTTCCTGTCTCAATTAAACTTAATCAATAGCAATCAAAATATTTGATAAATGAGCAAAATGAAAAAAAAGGAAGTTAAACTTTTTTTTTATCGATTAATTGTTTATATCGTAACCTTGATTGTAGATCATTTAACTCACTGTTTACAAGTTAATTGTCTAAATGAATCTCTCAATACAATTTGATCAATCAGATTAACTTAATAAATGATTACGATTATTAAATATTCAAAATTTGATCAATTAGATCAACTTAATTTTTACTAGTCTTCAGATTATTAATTGGTTACCAATAACTAGACATCAATTAATTGTAATTTTAAAATTGAATTAGAAACAATTAACTAATCAATTGTTAATTGTTTTCCAAAATTAAAACGATTCAAATTGTTAATTGGGAAAAATTTTCGCTCCAAAAGTAAAGCGCTCGTAACTCCATCTATCGACCAAATGGAATAAAAAAATTCTATTCTCCCTTATGCTCACAATTCTCTTTCTTTTTCTCTTTCTTTTTTTTCTTGTTTCGCTTTTGAGATCAACTAGTGTTACTTAATCTTCTTGATTGTTGACGTTGTTTCAATCATTTAAACTGGTTAAACTTTTAAATTATCGTAATGCTAATTGTTACATAAATATCCAAGACAATTAAGTTATCTAATTGTTTAGTTAATCAGTGATTCTATTTAATTTATTAATCAACCAGAAAAAAGTGTCATCCTCTTCAGGCCAAAAACAACAAAATCTTGGATCCAAATCCAATTGGTTTTGTTTTTCTTCAACAACATTGATCTCATTTAATTTGTTTTTTTTTCTTTCATTTAATTTTGATTATTTTCAATTTAACCGAAAATCAATTAGTTAATCAGTTGATTGGTAATTTTTCCGTGTCTCTATTAAGTTAACTTTGGGTGTATTTCTTTCATCTTGTGATCTACACAAATTCATCTTCTTTTTTGTTTTGTTTTATATTCTCTTGGAAGAGAATAGAAAATGAAAATTTTCTTCTCAACAACAACTATAGTTATTGATTATCATTATAGAAATATTAATGAGTCAATCTGAAACCTTTATGTGTTTACCAAAATGGACTATTTACCGTTATTAACCGTGATTCAATCTGTGAATAACATTCTGACCGGTTCTTCATCATTTAAGTTATCGTCATCTTCTTGCCCAACATCATACTGGTTGCCATTAACATCTACATTAATAAGATCATCAACAGTCTTAAATTTGCCATCATCATCATCATCATTATCTACATTAACAAGATCAACAATTAAGTTAACTTAAAATTGGATTGACCCTCTAGAAGACAAAACAAAAGCACAACAAACATCCAAACTGTGATTATCTTTTAATCCCTGAGAGGCCAAACCCTTTTCCCTGTCAACTTAACGGATAATTGTCATGTTTCATTCAACCATTTTTATTTGTATGTCACCTTGATTTGATAATCTACAGTCAACAATTGGTGCTAATCAAAACTGGATATTTACTCTTCTTTATTTTTCTTCATGGATTAATTGAAGAATCTGATAACATATTATATAAGTATAATTTTCTTGAAATTCTCAATCCTAAAATTGGATTAAGTGATTTATGGACACACACATTGAGACGACTTTTTAACGAATAACGAAACTTTTTATATATTTAAATTGTTGATTAATTTGATTCTGTGATTCTTAATGTAATGTCATCAGAATCTGGTTGGTTCGATGCATTCCGACCTTCTGGAGGTCCACCTTTATACCTTGACCCCAATAGGACATCTTCGTCAATTGATTCAAAAATATTTTTCATCTTATTAACATTCACCACAGCAGAAATAGCATTCCTATTAGTATTACCTGGAATACGTAAAGAGGTATAATAATAATAACATTTATTAATACAATTAATACAATTGTCTTGATTGTTCCCAACACAACAATAGTAATAATAATCATTATTATTATTGTATCATGACAATAAGATGAACTCGTGCTTACCTACAAAATCAAGCCTCAACATTTTTTTTAGAGTTGTTGGTCATTCCGTTAATTAGTGTTGATTAAAATTCATTTTCCTTGACCATCATCATCACCATCATCTTTTAACAACAACAATCATCAAACCAACATAATTAACACACTTGATTACAATTTCGCCTCTTCCTTAAAACTGAAACTTTTCCTCACATACTTGAAAAAATGAATATACAATAATTATAATAAGCGAGAGGTTAATAAGCCTACACAAAGCATTTGTTTCTCTCTCTCTCTCTCTCTCTCTCTCTCTCTATTCTGTTACATGAAGAGAGAGAGATAATGAAAAATATTACCTGAGTTTGAGTGAGTGTATTTGAAATAATTAGCGTTTCATCAGGAACAATCTGAATTCAGCTGACTCGGAAGATAAGCTTGTATAGAAAAGAGGGAGAGAGAAGATAAAAAATCTCAAATGTTAATCATTTTCCAGGTAATTTAAAGGTTAACTAATAATTTAAACGCATCAATCAAGTTCATCATTTTTTTTCACTTCATCCTTAATAATGATCTAAACTTGTTGTTATTACTCAACTATTGGAAGCTGAAACTATCACGTTAACATGGAAAATAGTTGAGAAATTAAATTGAACGATTATCTAATTTACTGTTTACCTTTTTATTATCAATCTTAGTTGATAATCATGAATAAATCATGATTATCACTGATTTTCATTGATTCACAATTGAGTCTACTCTTGAAATGGATTAACTTTCATTTCTATCTGAAACTTTCTTGTTCCGTTTTTAAATATATTTAATCTCTTAAATCTTATACATCAAATAAGATCAATTGGTTTCTCGCCAAATTTAATCAATTGAGTTATAACATTGTTGTTGTTGTTATAACGAACACAATTAACTAAATCATCGAATCCTTGACCCTAAAAGAAAGTTGAATCTTCTCTATTCCTTTAATATCTTCCACTTATCATCATCTTTAATTAAGCTACTTTTTTTTAATGGAATCACCATCAGATTAACTTATCCTCCTTTAGCCTTGGTCGAAGCTTTATTTTTATCTTAATATAAATCGTAATCTTCAATAATGATAATCATTATTCTGACCATTTTAATTATCTGATAAATGGTCAACTTATACTAATCAAATCAATATGTCACAATAATAATTAACTCACCTGATCAAGTAATGAATTTTGTTTGTTGCCTGATCAATGTTGCTCTTAATTTGTTATTCATTAATTGTTGTTTGTTGTTGTTGTTGTTATTGAACTAAATGAATTAATTGTGAGACATTTTCAGTAATTAAAATGTTGCTACAAAGGTCAATGATGATGATGATGATGATGATGATCATTTAAGGAATAACAATTAAACTACAATTGCAATTGAACAATAATTTTTGAAACAATCATGTTGTTCCTGGTGAGAGTAATGTTGAGAGACGATCTAATTTTTCATGATTATACAATATTGATTCAAGTACAATTGTATCATTATAATTAAAACAATGAATGGAGAAAAAAAAATTAACCAGCAATTAATTTTAATTCTTTTGTTTTCTTCTCTTTTTCTTTTGGCAGAAAATTTCAACATTTATCATAGTGAGTTTATCGTTGTTCATTGGATGTACAATTACCGTTGCTCATTGTGGTTCGAGTTGGCATATCGCCGAGACGTCAATTTCTAGCGCTTATAAAGCATTCACAAAGGATAAAATATTTGCCGATGTTGGTGTTTACATTGGACTGAAAAGTGTCAATATAACATTGAAAGCTAAAAAATTGTATCACAAAAATGCTGAAAATATTGATTACAATGAGCGTTTCTATTGGATCGGTGCTACTGAGATGAAACAAGAATATCGAAGTGCTCTGGAAAAGGGACTTCCGTATCCTATTTTAACGATATTAGAATATTTATCAAAGGGAGACGAAGGTTTCTGTTGGGGGAGAAAGTATCGGCTAGCGGGTTATTATGGTTCGACACTGCTTAATATGGCCTTTTGTTTGTGGCTTTTAATGATTGTGTTACTTTGTGCTGTTCCAAGATACGGAATTTACGCTTTACAATCAACGGGAGCGCTTATGTTGTGTACCAATGCCATCTACTCACTACTATTACCTCCTAATCCGTTGCAGATCAAATTTCCCGAAGATGTCACCTTACACTTTAGCTACGGTTGGTCCTATTGGTTAGTGTTGGGCGCTGGTTTATCGGCGCTCACAATAGGATCGATAATCGTTTTGATTGACATTTTGTTTCCTAATAAATTTTCAACCATTTTAGAGGTTGATTATGATACACCTTATAGATACTTTGTTGGTAATGATGCTCATCTATTTGGTGGATTAGCAAATAACAATGGCACTAGTCATTCACATAATAATGGTCACAATCATCAGGTTGCATCAATGACCAATAGTGCATCAACAGAATCAACTTGTTGTGGTAATAATACAACAATTCGTGCTGGTACTAACATTTTACCGTTACAATCACAACCGTGTTCATCTTCTGGTTCATCAGTTAGAGGTAAATTATCATCATCATCTATATCATCAATTTCTATTAAATCTCCTGTGTCAAAACAAAAAAGTGATGCCTCTGTTTGTACAACTGAATCTTATCCAGTAACGCGAACTCATACCAATAATAGTAGTTTAATTGTGTCAACAACACGAGCAATTATCGAGAAACAAGGTCAAGACAATAAAGCCTTTGATCATGAAGATAATAATAAAAATATCAAATGTGATGATAATAGTGTTAAAAAATCTAATCTCCATCAATCATCATCATCAACAACAACATCAACAGCATCAACATCCTCCACATCAGCAGGAAATCATGATGAGATTAGCACTGAGCTGGTCCATGGTAAAAGAGCCGTTTCTTTATCTAACTTTGGCCGTTTCACTGCTCGACAACAACAGCAACAACAACAACAACAAAAAGCATCATCAAAATCACGAGCAAATTGTACAAAATCAAACAACACTTTCCCAAGTACCCACCTTTAAATTGTAAACAAACAAACACCAATTACACATTAACACTAATCTTGATCACCGTTTTAATCTCACAAGAACAACGTATATACAAAGCTGAAGGATAATAATCTCGTTACATAATAACTTATCATCATCAAATTAAGCTTAATTATCAAGCATCGCCATCATAATAATACATCATGTAAATCAACGTTTTGCTGTTTACTAACTAAATCAACTCGTTCTGCTTTCTCATCAACTCAGCTCATTTTTTTTTCTTGCTCTGTCTGTAATCAACAAACCAATTCATTTAGTTTCTCATCATCATCATCATCATCATCATTATCATCATCTTTACCATACAGAATCCAACAACAAATAACAACAATTAACATCAAGTGAAAAAAAGATTAGCAGAAAAAAATTCAAGGTTTTTTTTTCTGTAAATTTCATTTGGATTAGATTTTTATTGTATTATTATTAGCTTACGATTTGTTGTTCCCTGTATTTGCCAAATCCATTGAGCATAAAGCAACAAAATGATGCTGATTATGATGATGATTGTGATTGTCAAAAAGCAACAGAATACATGATAATCATCACCATCAACAAGTCGATCAACACCAATCATTTTTCATGGATCATCATACTCATCAACATTATCGTCAACATTGAACTTTTTTGTTTGTCACTTCTTCAATCACAGAAATCAACTTTCTAATGGTTTGTTAATTGTTGATTGGAAACTTTTTATATAACTAAAAATATTTTGTTAATTGTCTATTCTGCAAGCTAAGTCATTTTCAGAAATCATATTTACAATACCCATTGAAACAATTAATGAGAATCAATGTTTCAAGTGATTAACTAATTTTTGTTTCTAATTTAGAATAAAATTAACAATTAAAATTGACAAAAATGAGAAACATTCCAATTGCAATAAATATATTAAATTGTTGCAATTAACATTTTCCACAATCAACTAACTATGCTATTAATATACATTTAGGAAAATTTAATTTAATAAATAATTGCACATTAATTATAAACCAACAATTAACTACTCATCTAAACATGATGAAGGAGTGGATTAGTTAATGGTGAACAATTAAAGAGTATCAAAGTTAGTAAATTTAAATTATTTAAATTTACAAATCGATTGATAATTTTAATTGTTTAACTTTTAATTTCTTTTTCCATCCTCGGGAATCACAATTTTAAACTGTACAATTAAATTTAATTCAAAAGGAGTAACAATTTAATTTGCCTGTTTAAACAAACGTTAAACAATTAAGACTAAAAAAATTGTGTTTGATTACAATTAACCAGATGAAAGTTAAAGGGTTTGACTTGATTAAATTGTTAATTATCAAAGTTAAATCAGTAAATTAATAAAACAATTGCTCTTGATTAACATGATTAAATAGATTTCGTTTAACTTTAGTTAATCTTGTTAAAAGTTAATCCATTTTCATGTGTCCGTGAGTTGATAATTAGTTAAATTATCAACAACAATTAAGATAAATTTAATTTTTCTCCACACAATTGAACATTAATCAACGTTTAATGAACAATTTTCAACGGTAACAATCAGTAGCAATCACAATTAACAATCAGAGAGAGTTAATATCAAGGATGAAACATTCAATACAATCAAAGAAATCAAATTAACAATTGTGATGATTTACTTTGATTGTAATGATGTATTTAAGTTAACTGTTAGAAAATTTTCTCTAAATTGTTGCAAGTTGATTAAAGTACCAGACAATTTAAACATTAATTTTTACCTAAACTTTGATTTAAAAGGAATCAAATTTAATCACGCAATTTACACTTGATTGTTGAATGAAAGTTAATTGAACAGTTTGAAGAGAAAAAATCGTTTTTTCTTCAACTATTTCATTTGATTTGATTATTACAATTAGAAAGTTAATTTCTCTTGATTAACTTTTAACTCATTAGTTTCCATTGTAACCCTTTCTTGTATTGAAGCTTAAATCATTTAAACAATTTAAATCATTCATCATAATCATCAAGTTAATTTTGTTTTCTTATTACAACTTAACCTGAAAATGAAAAAACAAATTGGCGTAATTATCAATAGTTAGTTTTGATTGTTGGTGAATTATTATTACCTTAATCAACAGAATTAACTGTTTGATTGTCACTTTAATGTTATAACACAGAATAAATTGTTCAAACAAGATGATGATTAAAAGTGATTATCATTAAAATCTATTGTTGTCTGAAACAATTTGTTAAATTGTTGCGGTTATTGTTCAGAATCAGAAGCTCAAAGCTTAATCATATACGGGCTTTTGATTGTTTACAATTAATGGGCACAATTGAATTAAAAGGTGAAATCAACAACAATTTAAGACATTGATGATTATATGTATTCAGAACTTGAAGCAAAAAATTAGAATCCTCAACTGATTAACAATTAGATTTTCCGTTCAAATGATTAGAACCAAATTAGTAAATTGCTTCTAATTAGTTGGACAAGTAATCTAAACCTTTGAGCTTATTAAGAGAATCCAAATTAACTGATTATACTTAACCATGATTAACTTTTGATTAGTCTCTTCTTCATAATAATTTAAACTGGATTAACTTTATATTATCTGAAAAGTTTGTGGACTCGATTTTTTTGTTCATCAGAACTTTTTTTTTTCTTCTAACTTGATTATTGATTAAGGAAATAAATTAACAAAAAATGATGAATTATTAGCATTTAATCATCAACTACGATAATCATTAATATTAATAGATGATTATAATAAGATGAATTCGTTGGTTATCAATTGATTATCATTGCAATCAACATTTTCTGATGATTAAGATTAAGTTATAAGCTCTCATTTTGTTTATTGATTAACTTGATAACAGGTCATCAACTATAAACATGGATTGAATTTTTTGCTAACTGAATTAACTTAATTGTGAGTTGATTATCATTATTTTTAGAGGTGAGTTGGTTTTAATTATCATAATATAATAAAATAAATATAAATGTAAATTGTTTAGCTTTAATTTTGGGTATCGTTGATTGTTGTTGTTGCTTTTTTTGTTCTTGTGATACTTTAAGTGATTAAAGTAAAACAAATTAAGTTAAATTGTTGAGCTAAATTGTTTTGATAGTTAAGCGAAAAAATCAAATTAAATGTAAACAAAAAGGCATCATGATCATCAATCCATTTAATCATAATAATGTTGATGTTTAATTTTTTTCATTGATTGAGGCAAAAATTGATTATAATCAACTGGAACTGTTTTAAATGTTTTAAATACAATCAAGTTGGGTTAAGGCCAAAGTAATAATAATCAACCAAAAAATTAATATTGATTAATATCAATTAATTATTTTGTAAATAACGTAATCACAAACTAATCATGTTGACATCACTTTGATACAGATAAATCAATCAGCTAAATCCATGGGGATTTGTATCATTTGTTTCATCCAAATTACAATTACAAGAGGTTAATTGTTGGCAATAATTAATATTAGTAAAGGGAAAATCAATATTAATAATAACATCGGAATTGATTTTGTTGCTTTTTTTTTGTAAATTTTGAAACTTTTTTATTGTCATCATTTGGTTATCACTATTAATATCATGATGATTTTTACCAATCTTATGGTTTCAATTGAGTTTTCATTGAATTTTCATGGTAAAATCAGTTAATTGCTTTGGTTAATTGATAAATGAAGTAAGAAAAAAAGAGTAAAATAAATAAATGAAACAGAATCAGAAAAAAACATCATTCGATTTCATTTCTAACCTCAAGGTTTTATCATAAATTTTTTTCTCCAATCATTTTTTTACGTTCCTCCACCATCTCAACACCAACATTATCATTTTGCTCATCATCATCATCATCATCGTTATCTTATTACTACTCTTTATCATCTTTCCTCTTCATGTAAAAAAGTATCAGCACGTTAGTTCCTTCTGAAAGATTCTAGCTCAGCCTGAGGCGTGGAACTGAATGGTGACATTCAAACGGCAAGAACATTAGTTAAGACGTTTGAAGAAAATGAGGTCGAAAGAGAGCAAAAGAAAACTCAAGATGATGGCGAAAAAGAAGATGAGATGTAGATGATGCTCTTCTCTTCCCTAAAGCCATCATCATCATCATCATCATCATCATCATCTCCCTCTCTCTTTCATCCTAAGAATGAACATTTGACATATAGCTAAAAGAGACTCAACTTGTTTGCCCAAGATGAAAACAAGGAACTTAAAAGTATAACGACTTACGTACTAATATTATTACCTAAACACAATCGTTATTATCTTCATCTTCATCTTCTCATCATCCTCATCCTCATCCTCATCATTATCATCAATGATGTTAGATATCAAAATGAGAAGAGGAAATATTTATTTTCTTCAAATGTGTTTACCTGTGCTTAATTGCTGATGATTAAATGTTATCATTATCATGTATGTGAACGTGATAAGGTGTAAAATTGATTGTCTCAAGTTGATTAAATTGTTAACCCTCTGCAAATGTAAAAATTTGTTAATTGTTTTCATTATTATTAATATTTTGATCACTTATTGCTGATTAATATTAATTTTAATATTATTATCATTGATAATATTTATTATTTAATTGAATCCATGACAATTAAAATGTAATCAGTATCATCTTAATGTGTTTAACCATTAAAATGATTGCTCAAAATGATAAGATTGATTGTTAACCATACAATTAATTTTATTTTATTTACTATGATTAACAATTTAGTCTCATCAATTTTAATTGCAACAACATCATTCTGATTGTTATTATCAATAAGAATAATATTTTTCCATTTGATTAATCATCAGATTGTAACAACAATTTACCATTGATATTTTTAGTTAATTTCCTCTTAATTGTTTATCGATAATCAATCAATCTTATATCTTATACATATTAAAAAGTTATATTGATAAATTTAATCTTAACGTTGGCCTTTCAAGTTAATTGTTATAACGAATAAGTAATTAGGTAAATTAACTGTTAATTGATTGTTGTTTGTTTAATATTTTAATGGTTCAATTGTTCACGATTTGTTGATTATTAATGGTTGATTAATTGTTCCTAATGTGATGATTTTAGATTGTTAAAGTTAGATACATTTCTCCAACAATTAGAGTTTGAATTTTTTTTCTGATTACTTGATTAGTTGATTAGTGAGGTAAATTTATAATTAGCTAACAACGGAAAAAATCATTTACCTGATTATTTACATAATCAGGTTAAATCACTTTGACGACATCAGTTGATTGTTAACTATTGAACAAAGTACATTAGTTAATTAATGATGATAACCATCAATTTAATAGTATTAGTAGTTAATTGTTGATCGGACAAGAAAAAAAAACAACAACTTGAAAGCTACTTGATTAATATCACAATTAGTTGATCGGTAAAATTAATTAAATACCACAAATGAATACACAATGTTAACTTAATAATCAACTAATTGTTAGCGAGAGAGTAAAAAATTTACCACCAAGAAAATTAATTTCCAACTGATTGTGATAATATAAGAAAAAAAGTTGTAACAATCAAATCAAATCAATGAGACCACAAATCATCAAGTGAATCGTAATTTAAATCTGACAGAATCAATCAGAATTAATGGAAACCAATAATCAAAAGTAATCATTGTAGAAGATGAAAAAAAATATCTGTCAGTTGATTTAAATTAAATTCCAATCAACCATATATACGTTAATTCAGTTACCATTGATTGAGAGATTGAACTTTTTTTCTGCTAATTAGAAATCAGAGAAAAGTAAAAGAGAATAAAAAAAAAATTCGAAAAAAAAGTTTCTCAAAACTTCATGGTTACCATGATGATGGAGAGAGATGTTGATGATGAGGATGATTCCTGTTGAGCAAAAGTAATTATTAAAAGGATGATGATGATGATGATGATGGAGATGATTTTTGATTAACTTTGTTCACCGGAGTAATTTAATTAATGTAACAAGTTTCATATTATAATAATAATGTTGATTCCAAGGTCTGAATTTGTGATTTATGTTGAAATTTAACTTTTCATGAATCCGATAACATGATGATGATATTATGATAATAATCCAATGAAAAAGTTGTGAAGCACGCAATCATCATCATCATCATCATCTTCATCTCTCACTCACACTCTCACATAAGAAAAGGTCAGTAATTGAAATTAAAGAAATGATTATCATGCATCGCCAGTCGAATGAGGAAATTAACTGAACCCTAATGTTGATTTAAATTCATCTTCATCTTCATCTTTCGTTTCACTCTTTCATACACTTTATCATCATCCATCATCATCATCAGTCTCTCTCTCTCTCTCTCTCTCTCTCGATATTTCATCTTCTTCACTATTATGATTCTAATCAAATTAAATCTTCTATCACTTTGATCTCATTCAAAGACAATGATAACATTATTAACTTGATACTCGATATTATTAACCCGTTAATTACATTCTAATCAGTGGTCATCACTTAAAATTTGTTAATCTCTTAAATTTTACAATTAACTGCATCGCAATATTAGTCACTCTATTTACTTAATTACTTTATCGTGTTGATTGATGATTAACTTAATTCATTGTCGTCTACAAGTTTCCGGATTTATGTTGCTGTGGTTTTTCAATGTAATCAAAATTGGCCATTTGATTGGTTGGTTAGTTTTATGTTGATTTAAATCATTAATACACCTTGAATTGTATTTATAACAAAATAATCATAATCAACAATTAAGTCAACGCAATTTTTTTGTCCCCAATTGAAAAATCAAGCAGCCGGAAACTTTATTAACTTGATAATAATCAACGGTAACACTTAATCTTTACTTAATCAAGGTTGATTAATTAAAGTCCCAATTGTATTTCAACAAGTTGACAATTAAAATCAAACTCTTTTTCCCTTCATAAGAAAAATTTTCCAGTTAAATTGTTGATATTGTAAGCAAATAATTCACCGGTAGTTAATAAACTAAAAAGTTAATGGTTGGACAAGGACAGTTGATTGATGTTATTGGGGAAAGAAAAAATCTCAATTTCTTAGTTCAAGTAAATCACAAATTGTTTGTTTACCAATAATCAAAACTAATTCAGTTGCAAGTCATCAAGATTGATTAGTTTTGTGTTTGTATTACCTGAGTAATTAACACGTAATCATTTTGGGTGTTTAGTTGGTGGAATTTTTCTTATTCTGAATATGCAAATTTAATTTTTCTTTCGTTTGCAATTTAGAAAAAAAAAATTACAATTAGGAAGAAACTAATTGGAGGAAGATAGTTTCTCGTTCGTTTGATTATCCCAGTAAATTTGACAATTTGTATGGGGAAAACATTAAGATGGGAATGTTAAGTGTCAAATTATTTTAAATTTGTTGACGCAATTAAGCAAAACTTTTAACTGCTGCAATGATTGAATTAGCCCCGATTCCGTATTTTTCAATAAGAGCATCTGGAGGGCCACTTCGAGGAACCTCTCGAACAGCGAGATGTTTAATGGTGATTCCTGTTTCGCCAGAAAGAGCACCAGAAACAGCTTCGCCTAAACCTCCCTCTGGATAATGATCTTCAACGACAACAATTCGTCCCTTACAAGCTTTAGCGTTTTCCGAAATACCAGTAGCATCAATTGGTTTGATAGTGAATGGATCTAAGACTCGGCAATTGATTCCTTGTTGAGCAAGTTGATCAGCAGCTTTCAAAGCCTCGTGAAGAGTAATACCAGCACCAATAAGAAGTACTTGATCATCGGCTAAATTGAAAAAGATAAAGAAAAATATTAACATTAATAAAAGTATCACTTTTATAGAAACCAATAAATTGTGATCAATGATAACCGATTGGGCAATAAAAGTATCAAAAGCAAAGAGTAATTTTTATTACACTTTGATTGAAAAAAAACCTCGATAAGATTGTTGATAAAATTAACTAACCGCTTTGTTTAACAACTTTAGCCTTGCCAACTTCAAAAACGGTGTCATTTGAATAAATGCAAGGAGTTGCTGGTCGAGAAGTACGAATAAAGTCAATTCCTTTTCGCTGAGCAGCTAATTCAGCGGCTCGTTCCATACTAACAGCGTCAGAGGGATAGAAAACATTACAACCAGGAATAGCTCTAAACATGGCTAAATCTTCAAGAGCCATTTGAGATGGTCCATCTTCACCAATGCTAACACCACAATGAGAGCCAACACATTTAATATTGGCCTGAGAAATTGCACCTAAATTAGTTGGAGAAAAGAGAGAGAGAGAGAAAGGTAAATAAACGATCAATTATATTTATCGATGGAGACTAAGTTACCCATTCGGAGTTGATCAAAGGCACGGGAAAAGAAAGCGGCAAATGTTGAAACAAATGGAATTGCTCTTCCTCTACATCCTGCACCGATACCAACACCAATCAAGTTTTGTTCAGCAATGAAACACTCGATATAACGATCTGGGAATGCCTTCTTGTAGGTTTCAGAGAAAGTACTGTTCTTGGTATCACCATCAAAAGCAAGAACTCGAGGATTGGTTTTACCAAGTTTCACCAAAGAAGTACCATAAGCTTGACGAGTAGCAACCTGATAAAATTAATCAACAAAATTAAGAGTTAAAATTCATTGTAAAGTCATTTTCATGATTGGAAATTACAGTCTGTTTGATAATTGAAATTGAGAAGCAATTAAAGTACCTCACGAAAGGTTGTGAAAAGTACTCATTACAATGAGTTAATTCAAATGATTAAGCATAAACTGATATCCCTGATAAGAGACTTACTACTCTCTCAGCAAGAGATGTAACATTTATGCAAATACAAAAAGTAATCTAAAACTAATTTAAATATTATCTATTGACAATGTCTAATGAACAACGTTTCAGTAATAATTAGTTTAGGTGGATTGAGTTTGGTGGCTGGTGTATTTGTGATCAATAGACAGAGTAATCTGATTCATCCATTTGTAAGGGAACTCATTTTCCCAGTGCAAATGTGACAACGATAAAGAGATGAGAAAAATGTAACAAGATAAAGTTAATTGTTGATCACGTGAAAACTGTAGATCAACTCACTTTTTCCCCGAGTTTATAGCTGGGTGGTTCACATAGAGAAACCTTCATATCGACTTCAGGGGCTGATCCATTGAAAGGTTTGATAGGCAGAGACAGATTCTTAAGTTGACTTTCCAAGTGTTTAATGACAACGTCGGCTTTGTCTCCGAGAGGTTTACCATGCCAGTTATCTTTATCTTCAATATCAGGAAAACCTAACAGGAAAAAAAAGAGATATTAATAAAATCTGGTGATTAGCAATAAATGATTTTCATTTACCTTTTCCTTTGTATGTTTGAGCAATTATGGCTGATGGACGATCCTTGGTTGCTGCTGCTTTAGCGAAAGCGGCAACTAAAGCATTCACATCATGTCCATCAACAACGATCGGCTCAAAACCAAAGGCACGACAACGAGCTTCATAAACATCCATCTGATGTTGTAAAGCGGTTGGTTCACTTTGTCCAAGTCGATTAACGTCAAAAATAGCACAAAGATTGTCCAATTTGTAATAAGAAGCAAAAGCCATCGCTTCCCATATTGATCCTTCAGCTGATTCACCATCACCAATTAAACAATAGGTTCGAAAATCGGTCTTGTCAAAATATTTTCCAATCACAGCCATACCAGCAGCACAACTTAAACCTTGACCCAAAGAACCAGTGGCAACATCAACAAAGTTTAATCTTGGTGTTGGATGACCTTCAAGATCAGAGTCAATCTTTCTAAGATTAAGTAAATCAGATTGAGGGAATAGACCAGCTTCAGCCCATGCTGCATAAAGAATAGGTGCAGAGTGTCCCTTACCTGTAGAAGAGAGAGAAATGAAAAAATCGAAAAAGATTAAGACAAAAATTTCACCAAGAAAACAAGAGACTGAAGTTCAGTCACTGAACAACTTACTCAAAACTAATCGGTCAGAGGCAGGATGTCTTGGTTCCTTGAGTGAATATCTCATGGTGTCGAAAAACAGAACAGCCATGATCTCCGCCATGGAAGCACATGATGTTGGATGTCTGGATAAAGAAAAAGAATAGAAAATTCAATCGAAAAAAAGGTTAAAATCAAGAGAAATCCAACAGAAAATGGTTCTACCATGTGTAGCCCGGAAACCGGTTTATTATACAACCAGAAAAAAGAACAAAAGTAAACACGTAAACACAGTTTTCTCTTTTCTTTTCTTTCTCTTTTTCTATGTTAAAAAGGTTATAACACAATTCATTTTGTAATATTTACCACAAGGTTTCATTAAATGTAAAAAGAGAAAATGAAAAGTTCCACAAAGAGAATAGAAAAACAAGCAAAAACAAAAGAGAATAAAGAATGAAACTTACCCTGATTTAGAAGCTTGGGTGGCTTTAATTGAGTTAATTCGGAGACGATTAGCAATATCCTTAAGAGAATCTGAATTAGCCATTTTCATAAATTGTCGACTTGATGATCTAAAGTGAATTAAATATCAAAGAATTAAAGAAAACGATAATGATTATAAATCCAAACTGCTCTCAACTGAAAAAGAGAATAGAATAAATTTTGTAAAAATTGTTTCTAGTTACCTAAATGAAGGGAGAAAAAGAGAGAGAAAAAGATGAAATTAGTGAGACTGATTAACGATTAATGAACGAATCAACTAGTGTTTCAAGTTAATTGTTGATAAGAATAAACAAATTTACCGGTTTAATTGACACAAAATGTTTGGATTGACAAAAACAGAAACAAAGTCAAACAAAAGGAAATTTAATTTCTCCGAAGTGAAAGTTAACAACAAGACAGACGATTAGAAATTAACTTGTTCAACCAATTGACAAGCTCCTTTTCATCATTTTCTCTCTCTCTCACATTTATCTTCTCTTTCTAATTATCTTTCTTTCTTCAAGGTCGCCATGTTTTCTTTTCAATAATCAACCAACACCATTAATCTCTTGCAATTAATTGGAGTCTTTTGTCCCTTCAACTGTATCCAATACCAGGTCTTGACTTCTACTCATTGTTTTGTTGTTTTCTATTCCAAGTTAATTGTTATCTCAATTTTTACATTCTAATTGGTGATGATGGTGTAATTTTCTATTCATGAGGACACATAACATGAGGAAATTCACTGATTACAATTATTCCTGTTTTCTGATTGGTACAGGAAATTCATCAAAACAAATGGGGATTCTAAATGGAGAATTTTTTTTTCTCTTTCTAAACAATTGGTTGAATTGGCAGAATTAACAACAATTAACTTGTTGCAATTACCCTTATTACAATGTTTTCTTTTTTTTGTTCTGTTGTTTCTGATTCATTGAAATTTCCTCGGCTCACTCAACAAAAGATAATTACGTAAGTCGATTTAATAATAATTAACCTAATTTGATTTCTATCTTGTCAACAAACCGTTAATCTAATTTAGTAATTGTCTTCTTCTTACCTTGTTTTTTTCCATTTCATTATTAATTGTCAATGTCAACCTTTAGATTTTAACTTAATGGATACTCCTGATGGTTATTTATCAATTGGTGGAGTTAAATTAATGGTAATTATTTAATTAATCACTAATCAAATTGAAACACAACAATCAAAAAAAAGACGAAATTTAAATTATCCGAACAAGGTAGTTTGATTGGTCGACAATAGATGGCGTGACCTCCATTGATTATTTTCCATTAAATTTAAATTGTTTCATTAATCATTTCAAACAATTAGATAACAATTTAAGATTTTTTTTTCTAATTTTATCGTAAACCTAATGAATTTAGATTCGATTAGTTGAAACATTTACTGAGAAATTTGATTTTATGAACTAATCCAGAGTTTTTTCTAACTTCTTTCATTTCAGTTTCCACGAATTCTGTTGATCAACTATTAGAACTTTTTTTGATTTCTAATTCAGTTTGTTTCGAGAAAACAAAAATGATGTTAAATTGTTACAATTCTCAAGCATCTCATTTGTCAATTCTCATGTAACTTTCATTGGAAATAGTTGATCGATTTCTGATTGGATTATTAATCATCAAGGAAAATGAATATTATTTTATTGCTGATAAATGGCTAATAAAATTTTCCACAATCAACCATTTGATTTGTCAAAATAATGTTAACAACAAATTACCCCAAGGGCTTGAACATTTTCTTAATCATTGAAACACCACTATGACCGGACATTGATACAGATTAGGATCAAATTACCGATGATAAATCATAAAGTATGGACTATGCAACTTTGTTATCCCTAATCAATTGATGACAAATTGTATTAATAATAAAAGTAAGTTTTCTCCGATCAATCAATTAGAATATAATATTATCATCAACTAACTGTTATTCTCTGTCCCCAAATTTCACCAACAGCAAAGGATAAACAATCAAATATTCCCAATGATGATGATGACGATTGTAACAATATTTAAATTTCACCAAAATCGTATTCCTAATGGACGCAAAAAAAAGCATTTTGAACGACAAGATTATCAACTGTTATTTTAATTGATTTTCAACAAACATAATCAACATAATCATCTTGAGATCCATGAAGATACCAAATTACAAGAATCAATTACACACTGGAGATACTAACAAAGAAAAGGCTTTAAACAAAGAGAAGGCATCAAATTGTGAATCACATAATTGGAGAGATAACCTGATGATGATGATGATGATGATAATGGAATAGTGAACAAAAAAAAATGGAGGAGGAGGATAACAAGGATGAGGATAAAAGAGGAAGAGACTTGTTATTAGCCCTGTGGTCCTTTTGTGAATTGGGAGAAACAATTATCTTTTACAATACAATTCTGAGTGTGTAAAAGCGTCAAATCTAATAGAGACATTGGATCCCATTGATGAGGTGAATTACCGTTTGCTTGAATAGATGCAAATTGTATTTACAATCGTTTTTGTTGCCTGTTGATGGTTCCTCCGGAAAGATCTTGTTACATCTCTTTTTTTACATCATCATCTTCAAAATTATTTCTCTTCTTTCTCTCTCTCTCAAAGTAGATACCCAATTCAAGAAAAGAAGAAGCAAAAAAACGGTTCATCATGATGAGAAACAGTGGTAACAATATTCAGAGAAAGGAGGAGGATGATGAGGATGAGGATGAGGAAGATGCGGAATCATCTTGATGATCAAGCCTGAGGATGAGCAAAAGGCAAATGAGGAGGTTGGAGTGAAAGGAAAGTCAAGTGATGATGGTGGTGGAAATGATGAGCTGATCGGAAGGCGATCATGATGATAATGATGAGAAAATTGGATGATGAAACAGGAAAGATGATCGGAAGGAATCATGCAACAAATATTTATGTGAAAAGGTTACAAAATGGATGAAGAGAAGATGATAAATGAAGATAATAATGATTAGATATACTCGATGGTTTCAAAGTTGATGATGATGATGATGATGTTTGTTTTTGGTGAAACTTTTTTATTTTTAATTCTGTTTCCGCAATTTAACGAGTCACATTCAATTCTGTTCATTGATGCTCATTCAAATTAACCTCATCATGTTGGTTATTATTTTCAATCATTATCTTCACTAAATTAGACAGTTAATTTGTTTTCCCTTTTAATGATAATTAACTTTGTAGTTGATGAATTTTGGGTGAAAATGGTTTATAGTTAAAACTGATCAGTTTTTTACTTAACTAATTTTATCGATCCATCAATCAAATAGATGATTAATCTTTGATTGAACTGTTAATTTAATTGTTGTTGTTAAGATGAGTATGTATATAGATTGATCTAACTGGATTAACTAAATCATTTTGATCAATGAACGTGTAAACATGTTGTCGATTTACAAGAAAAGGTCACTAAGGTTATGAAAAGATGTTAAATCATTTTGTCAGTGATTAAGTTAATTGTCCATTGATGATTAGCTGAAATCTGTTGAATGAATTTCCAACTGATGGACAAAGTTTCGTGTTAATTTGAACCTAAACAATTGAAGGTTGATTAAATCACGATACAATCAAATTGTAATTGATGATTAAATCAGATATATAATCTATCGTGATTAAGTGTCTCTATCATCATCTTTAACTTGGAGAGAGACAGAGAGATTAATTTATTATAAAGGTAATTATCTAATTAACTGATGATCATCATTGGAACCAGTTGAATGTTAACTAACAATACAATTAACATGAAAATGAATTTTCAATAAAGGCAAACGGAAAAAGATGAAGACGATGACAAAAATAAATCAAAAGAATCATGAGACGAATACACGGAAACGGAAATGATGCCCATGGATGGAAAACAGAATCAATATTAATATTGGAAAATAAATTCTGTTGATTCAGTTGATTAACTGGTTAACAAGAGTATAGTTTTTTTTTGTTGGAAACTTGTTCCGGTCTCATCTCATTGTCTTCATGAGAGATTCAGAGAAATAGGAAACAATCATCATCCAAGTGATTAGAATAGTAAAAGCATCACGAATGTCCTTTTTTCTCTCTCATCATCATCTTCATCTTGATTGTGACAATAATAGAGAGAGAGAGAGAAAGAGAGAGGAAGATGACAAAAAATAGATAAAAGTAAAAGTCTATTTCCTTCCGGTTCAACTTATCCTTTTTCCCTTCATCTTGATCATCATTATAATCATCTGATGATCTATTTCAATATAAATGATAACAAATTATTTTATTCCCAAGGTTTGATCATGTTGATCAATTGCAAACACGAAATCAATTGTTATCAAGACAAATTAGTTAATCCATTGAAACTAATTGTTTTCACAATCAACTAAATCATCAAATGTAACTAACCTTTATCATCCTCATGCCCATTAACTTGATCATTTGGTTACCTTTGTTATTTGTGTGTATTATAACATTTTCATTGTAATAACAATCAGTTAATCAACAAAGGTAAGGTGAGACATGTTTATGTTAACACTTTGATTTAACTAAATCAAATTAATCATTGGCCTTGGATTAAAGTTAATATACAAAACAATTGATGGACCAACATAATATGTTAACAATGATTATCATTTCAATTGGTAAATTGATTTACTTATACAAGTTAATTGTTGACCAATAGAAAGGAAAATTATTACTCCAACAATTTATTTAATTTACTTCAATTTTCTAATCACAATTAACTAATCAACTCTTTTTGATTGAGAGAAAAAAACTTTTCTAATTAAGTTCAAAGAAACAAATTCACTTTGATTTACAACGTAAACATATTGAAAATACATCATCACAATAATCATCCATTATCATCATTCTGTTAACCATAAAAGGATGAAGATGATGAAGATGAAGATGAAGATGAAGATGAAGATGAAGATGATGATGTTCATATTATCCTATAGTTAGCATTGTATTCAACAGGAACAAAAAATCAATTCCTATAATAAAGATGCTCAATAATCAATGATGATAATCAAGACGAAAATGAAAAAAACAAAATTTCATTCAACTGATTATCCGATTGATGAATTGACTAGAAACCAATTGAGATTAAATTTTATAAGAGATCAAGTTAATTACTATGATTTAGTTATTAGTATCAACCAAATAATTCAAATTCAAATTGTTAATGATATTAAATTGTTGATGGTCAGTTTCAAGGTGTGATGACCATTGAGAATGTGCTTGTTTCTCATCAATATCAATTTTTATTTACACTGATTATCAGATAGATGATTTAATAGTAAATCTATTCAATAGTCAAACTGAATATCCAAATGTGAGTATATATTGGTAACAATTAACTTAATTGTTACTACATTTTCAATGGATTAGATAGATAGGATCAATGAGAAAAATTAAATCACATCTAATTCTTGGTAAATATAATTATTATATCAATATTTGCTTATTTCAAGTGGGTGGTGGTTGTGGGAGTTGATTGTTGTATTATTATTACAATAAATGATAATCTATTGTGATCATTGAGACTTGAATAACAATTGAATTAATTGTAATTGTTATTAAAGTAACTTTTTTGTCATCATTACAATTTAACCGATGCTTTTAAGTTAACAGTTATTATTATAACCATTAAATAATATTGACAATCAATAGCAATTGATTGTCAATGATAATCAGGTCATTAATTTATTTAAATCTAATTCTTACCCTGTAACAATTAACACTGAAAAGTAAGAAACAATTAACACTTGGAATTGTTATAATTTCAATTTGAATTGATTACCATTTCTTTGGTTAATTGTTTCAACAATTAGACTGATTAACTATTCAGGTAACATTTAGATTCAATTCAATTCAATTGGAAACGTTTTTCTTTCACATGTTCTCGTAATTAAATCAACCAGGAGAGAGAAATTAACAATTTAAATTGTAATTTAAATTGTTAACTTGTTACGATGATAAATTGATTATTATTTCCAATGATTTTCCAGAGAATTGAAATGATGATGAGAATCAATTCTTAAAATTGTTGAATCAACTCACGATCAACATTCATACCCATGAATACCCACACTCATAGATACACATTTAAATGGATATAAAATGAAACAATAATCCAATTGAAAGTAATCAACTTGAAATAACAATTCGAATTTAAATATAATCGTAACAATTGAAGGTAACACTTTCCGTTTCCTATCAACTGAATATCCTTTTGAACAATAAATAAATATATTATCATTATCATAGTTGATTAACACTTTAATGGTTATCATCATATTTATTCATGATAATGATTAACAATAACAACAACAACAATTACCCTTGAGTGCATATGAATATGATATTAATCAACAATTAACAACAATGGTTGACAAAATCAATGATCAACACCTTTGGGTCGGAGGAATCGGAAAAATCATCATTACAATGATAATAATGATTGTTATCGACTTGCGGTCATCAGTCTTGCCGTTGGTGAATGACCACTGCCGATATGGACAATGCTGTTGATATACTGGTCAAGAATCAATATGTTCACAATGGTCAAAGTCAAAGGAAAAATTAAAAGATAATCACAACAATAACAACAATGAAATCATATTTTGAATCCAAGAGAGTGAGAGAGAGAGAGAGAGACCAAAGAGTTTGCTTTAAGAAAAATACTCCTTTCAAATAGTTTCTTACTCGAGAGTTTGGGATGACAAGGATGAAGATGAAGATGAGGATGGAGATGGAGATAATGAAAGCGCCTCCAGTAATGAACACCAAGTAGGGAAAAAAAAGTTGACCACCAAATGAATTAACAATGGACCTTAGTGACCGCGTCACTTATGATAACAACTCTCATGGACAAATATACTTACAACTCGGTATATAATATTTTGAGCTTCCCTTTAGCCTTTAACCTTATATATATATTATACAGAGTGAACCAAGCGTATTAATGGCTTACAAATTGTTACCATTCAAGGGAATAGGGTGGTGGTAAAGGTGAACGGGGTAAAGGTGAATATTTGACAATAGGTTTAGTATTTGAAGGCCGATCGACAATTGAGAAAAAGTATCTTAATCTTTTATCGTCGATGTATTTTAACATAAATGAGAAAAAAAATTTCGAAGTGATTTCTTTTCTCCCTCTCCCTTTCTCCCTTCCTTACCTGTCCACTTTAAAGCATCTTCATCATCCTTATCATCATCATCATCGTCAACAACATCAACTGTAATTGACAATTGAATGTTTACCTTTACCAATATTACTACAGTGTTATTATAATAATAACATTAAATAGAGACTAAGGAAATATCAAAACAACAATAATAATAAAGATTCACAATCAGAAATTGATTCATTGATAAAAAAAACTGTATCACTTTGAGTCTATTATTGTGAATTACTTTAAATTGTTATCATAATCAGTTGTCAGTTATACATTTGATTGTTCAATTGGCTCTTGAATTTAATATTTCCTCATCAATTGATCATTCAAATGTTAACCACACATACAAAATGTATTAACCTTGTGTCTTTTTAATCATCTTCAAGTATGGGAAACTAAATTAACTGTATAATCCTAATGAAGATTTAAATTGTTATCATAATATTTTCATTTCTAAAGGAGATGATAACAATTAACACCTTAACGTTAATCCAATTATTTGAGAGTAACAATTATAATTGTTATCGTTGTTTGTTTGTCAAATGAATGATTAATGAGAATTGATTAACATAACTGTTTAGTATTTAACAATTGGTTACAATTAACTGAATACTTTGATTATCACCGTAAGGTATTGAGTTAAATTGTTACTTTTGATTATCATCAAAACTGTGAAACAAATTAATCACATCAAATTAATTGTTGAAGTACAAATGACAAGGTTTAAATTTTTTTCCTCTTCTTTTTCTGTTGACAACTAAATTAACCAAGTTAATCAACTGATTGTCAATTGATTCATCCCTTTATTTAATGGTAAATAAATATTATTTCAAACTAAATGTGACAATTTATGATTAGTTTTGATGAAATAAATCATCAACAGTTTATATTATTTACCCTTAGGGTAAATTGTTTCACTTGTTATATGAGCTGATATTTAATTCAGTTCAACTACTCACCTTTCACTTATATTTCAAAGTAAAAACAATTAACTAACGATAATGATAATTGTCAGAAAATAATCAACTAAATTGTCGTAATCAATTTTTTAACTCTGATAAATTTCATGATAATTGAATAAAAATCAATTAGAATCATTTTTTTCATCGTTTTATTTTATCGGTAATCTAATTATTAATATGATCAGAACTCAGCTTTCAGCCTATTGGTCAAGCTTCAAGTTGGTCAGTTTGAAGAGAGAGAGAGAGAGAGAGAGAGAGAGAGAGAATCGAAATCAGAAATTCTAATTCAGAAAGTTCTGGATTTCCATTGATAAGTTTCTCAGAATAATTCTGATTCTAATGTTGATCATAATTAACTGGGAGTGAAAAATATTATCAATGTTAATCTTTTAATCTGATTACAATTATACTTGAATAAAGTCATTAACAGATTATTAGTAACCTTTGACTCTTTTTCACCTTTTTCATTTTCTATTATTATGTCCAGTTAATGATGATGTAGTGTCCAGTTTTTGTATTCATTTATCTTTCTACCATCTCAATTTTATCAATGGTCAGTCCAAGTTTAGTCCATTATAATCATTTACTAACCTTGTCCACTCACACAAACACACACATTGTATTGATATTTTTACATGTGGCAAGTTGTGGTCAACTGGTAGTTATTTTTTTTACTTCCTGACAACAAAAGAGTTGACCGATCGGTTGATTTTCATCATTTTTCAAAACTAACTGTTGATAATGAGGGTGATAATTACTGACCATTTTGTTAAAAAAATAGTTTTCAATTTAATATAACAATGACAACGAGAAAAAAGTTTTCCTTGTGATTTTGTTGCTTGTTTTTTTTACTATGTCACATTTTCATTGTTATTGTTGTTGTTGTTTATTTCATTGTTGTTTTGTTGATGATAATGACCAAGATGATGATGTTGATTATGATGATGACCATGACAACTGATGTGTTTACCACCTCCAATTTGTTTGTCCAAACCTTAATGTCTCTTCATTCAATTCTAGGCTTTTGTCTCCCACTCTTTTCATCGTGTCCACATCATTTTTACCTGGTCAAGATATTACTGTGATATTGACCACTTATCCGTTGGAGAAAAAAAATAAATAAAGAGTTGACCAAAGATGATTTCTCTCATTCATTGGTTTATTAACTCTTGACCAAAATATTGATAAACAAAGTAAACTTTTACTATAAGAGACTTTTGGATCCATTGAACATGAACATGGTCAGTATTAAGAAGCAAATTATTGACCAGTTATAGTGAAGTTATCATTAAAAGAAAAAAGATTTTACAACTTGAATTTCAGAGAAAAAAAATTACGAAAAACGAAAAGCTCAATGGTCACTTTTTCGCTTGGCCATTGAACGGATAAAAAATATTCCATCAACAGGTAAGATGGGAAAATGAAGGTTAGATAATTGAAATCAAAGGTAAATAAAGGTTAAGAAAATTAATGTTACCATTGAGAAAAGGTAACATTACCTGTGTAGCTTTTGAACCTCTTGAGATGAATAAAAAAAAGAGATGATGATGGGAAAAGAAAAGAAAAATTAAAAGTGATGGATTTTCAAAGTTAATTGTGATCAGTTGATGAGAGGTTTAGTTAACGTGTATTACAAAATGAAGTGATAATAATAAGGAAAAATGTACTTAGATTACAACAATCAGGGAATCTGTGAACAAGAAAAGTTTTTTTCGCAAAAAAAAAATTGGTAACCAGGTAACTTAGTAGGTAGATATCATAAAGATGATACATGAGCTACAATTTTGTAGCATCTCAAAGGTAACAAGGGTTTTAATGTGCTAACGATTTAACAAGTTACCTGTAGACACCATGAGATTGGTGGTAATGTGAGGAAAAAGGTAGCTATTAACTTTAAGAGCTCTTACCATCTCTATTGGAGGTTAAGATGATGATGAGGATAAAAAGTAAAAGATGAAGATGTAAAGAGCATAATGATTATCTTCATCATCTTATCATCATGAGTACAATATAGGAAAAGATGATGATGAGGATGATACACCTTCTTGAAGGCGGGTTGGAAATACTTTTGCATGAAATGGGCTCATCTTTCAATTGGATTCCCTTTAATGGATTACAATTGAATGATGAAATGGATTTGAAAAGATGATGATGATGATGATGATGATAATGATTACCTTGAGGGCTTTTTCATCTTCCTTGTCATCCTATTGTCTTTTTTTTCTATTTCATGTTAACTTTGAACAATATTGATCTTGGATACCCTGAAGGCTTTTATATCATTATGTATATTTGGCTTTTTGTGTAAACTGAAAACTTTTTTTTGCTTCTCGTATTGTTGTTATTATATCATCATTGATGAGGTAACATGATGTTCATGATGATGGTGATGATGATTGTTCAGGTTCAGTCTTTTAAATTGCCAAATCTTTGCCAACTAATGTATAAAAACCTTTTCCCAACAATTTGATCAACAATTTACTTCCCATTTATCATCATCATCACAATTTACTTTCTATTATCAACTGTTATCATTTATGACACAAGAATATTGTTCAATTCAGAATCAATCAGAACTTTTTTCTTCATCTTCATCTTCATCATTTACTCTAACATATTGATTGATGTAATTTCACTTTACCTTTTTTTTTCATTCACTCCATTGTTGATTTAATCTCTCACCAATACAATTAATAAATTATCGTAATTTTGATTACCAGTAGATCGTTAATTTGTTTGATTGTTGATCAGTTTGATTCGTATAGAATTGATAATAATTGTGATATGATTTAATCACAATCAAGGAAAAACAAATCAAGGTTTTCGAGAAAAATTAAAACCTTAATTACTTTGATTAATTGTCTTCATTTTTATGAAAGTAGTTGAACCCTTAAGTTTATGGATGATGATTAAGATTGAGATTGTTAAACAATTAATTGATTAAGGTTGCAATTGAAATTTAAATTGTTTTAAAATAATAATAAGTAACAATCAATTGAAACAAATTGTTGAATAATTGAAAAGTTGATCAAGTAATGAGATGATAATTTGTGTTAAATTGATTGTTAAGTTGTAATTGTAATCATTTACTTTAAACAATCAACATTGAACACTTGACACAACACAATTAACCTAAATTGTTAAGTAACAAATTGTTAACTTAAAGTAATCATGATTAAAAACCTATATGATTGTTCAATTGATCAATTGAACAATCCTCCTACTTAACAAAGTACCAACCTCCTTAATCATGATGTTGATTATCAATTGTGATCATTGATTTACTTTGATTTTTTTCACTCAATCTAAACAATTAAGCTTCAAATCAATTGTCCAATCATTTGTTGATGTAAAGTGTATAATTATTGTAAACTTTAATCAACACAATAATAATTGTTTGATCATATTAGCAACTATGATGCTGGGAACTTAATTGTATCCAGTTAATTGTTATTAACTGACTTAGGTTAATATTAAATTAAAAACCAAGATCTTGAGATCAGTTGATTGTGAGTTAAATCAAGATAATTACACAAATGAATGTCCATTAAGCTATTGACGAATACAAACTCTAATCAATAACTTTCTATATGTATTACAATACAGGGCATTTCACCAAGTTTCCAACAAGTTTTTCTCGAATAACTTTTTTGTTTTTGAGCAATGAGACCCAAGACTCGAGTTATGATAGTTTCGAACATACTCAATTGTCATATTAAAATATCAAGGTCATTTCGGTCATATTGACCAGGATGTTTAGGAGCAGGTCCTGATTCTTGACCACTTGTTGGAGGAGCATTTGTGGTTGATTCAGAGGATTCATTTTCACTTTGTTGTTGCTTTGGTTGTTGATGTGAATGAGGAGGTTGATGGTGAGGATCATGAATGGAAGGGAGAGGAAAACAATTAGAAAAGATGCAATAAAAACAAATAATTTAAAATTCATTATTAATAATTTAATCAAAAAAATATTGATGTCAACTGAAAGACAAATTAAAAATTAACAGTTATGTATAATAAAGTTAAATTCATTTTAAATAATAATATAATCAATTAGTAATTTAACAAATAAATGATTGTCAAGTCAAATGAAAGACAAATTTAAAATTAACAGTTAGAAGTAAATGTGCAATTTAAACTAACTACATCTAATAGATGATTAAACAACTAGAGTAGAAATTAAACTAAATTAAACTAAATTGTTACCTTTTTTACGTCGATTTTATGTAAACTCATAAGTAAATAAACAAAGTTATCGAGCGGAAGAGCTTCGATAACCATGATAATGAGAAAACACATTAGCGAAAACTGAATAAATTTAGACATTCCGTTTGGTTCCAACGTTTAATTCCGGCAATCATACAATAATGTCCAAAAGTTGTAAACTCGTATGGATGCTATTGATTGCAAGTTAATTCGATTGTGACCACCAAATGACCTTGAAACCGTATCCTAGCAGAATGACCGGAATGACCTTGATATTTTAATATGACAATTGAGTATGACCTAAACTACCAAAACTCGAGTTTGGGGCCTCAACGCTCAAAAACAAAAAAGTTATTCGAGAAAAACTTGTTGGAAACTTGGTGAAATGCCCTGTACAATCATCTCAACAATTAAGGTACTAAATTTGATCAATATGATTGAGAAAAAAAATGAAACAAAACAAAACCAAAATTAACTTATGATTAAATTGTTACTTTGCTCAGTATGTTTTTCTTGATTGTGATTATCCTCCAAGTGATGACGATTAATTGTAATATGATTGCGATCATATTTCACCATTTTATCATCATTATGATGAATAATAATAATACAATGTTACCATAGGGTATGGAAAAGATTACAGGGTGATCACGCCTTATGGGATAATCCATTGGTTTACATGTAAGGAAGTTTTTAACTTCTCATATTTCAATAAACATTAGATTGAAAAAAAGACATCATCATCATCATCATTAGGATGAAGGTGATGATCAATGGAAACAGAGGAAGACAAAGCATCCTCATCACTTATTAAATCTCGTGTTAATCTTGATCCAAAACTATAAATACAAATATAATGGTTTCGATGATAATACCTTGGTCACGGGTATAATCATCATCTAGTCTCACTCGAAACATCATCATCATCATCATCATAAACAACAAATTACTCTGTCAAACTGATATAATACCATTTGCATCAACACCATTAATCCCTGGCAACCAAATAACACTAATCCAACCTTACTAATCCTTTTGCTTTTGTTATCTAATCTTAATACGCTTTTTGTTATGTTTTTTTTGTATAACCTACTTTCATTTTCATCCTCATCTTCATCCTCATCATCTTACACCTTAACCAAAAGATTTGATCATCATTTTAACACCTAATTACATTGATTACGACAATATGATTAATATTAATAATAATGTTATTGGAGACAATGTATTGTTGATATTAAATAATAATCCATCTTATAAATTGAATAATCAAAATTGATCAGCAATTATGATTAAACTAAACTGTATGTGAAAATGTCTATTTAATTGTGATCAAATATCAAATATTATCAGTATATCATATATAATATATAGACTGTGGTTTGTAAAATAACAATTAGTTATCAATGATAATCATGATTAACATCAATGATTAATTTGATTGAAGGAAAAAAACTTCAATTGAGTTTAGGGTTTAAGATTCTGATCATGTTTCAATGTTAATCATGATAATATCATGATCATGATTAGTATTTATTTATAAATTGTTACTTCAACCTGATGATGATGATGATTATCATGATGATCATGTTTTTGACACCTCATGAAACATGATTTAAAAAACTTATCAGGTAACAATTTAGTTGATTAACTTGATTAACAATTGATAGTAATCATCTTATTCTGGTGTAATAGTTGAATTTGATTATCAACTCATCAAATTGTTGATCAAATTAAACGATATTCAAGCGATTAAGGTAATTCATTATTTGTTTCATTCATCAATTGAGTTTATTTTTTTTTACAATTTAAAATTTTTACATGAATTAATAATAATAATTGATTACTGATAACTGATTAAAAGATACATTTAGATTGATGTTTAATATATTGATTAGTTAATTGCAATCAGGAGGGATGAAGATGATAACAGGGAATCCAATTGTTTAAATTGATTGTAAGTTCATTTGGAAAGTTAATCAATGCAATTAACAAGAGGAAAACTTCATTGGATTAATTAGATTGGCGAGTTAATTGTTGAGAAAAAAAGAAAAAACTGGAGAATCAAATTTTAATTGTTAGCAAATTTTGGTGATTAAAATTTAGTTGATTGTGATGATTGAAGATTTAATTGCAATTAAATTGTCTTCCTTTAGGATTTACTAGCATCAGGAGCTAAAAGTGATTCAACATCAAATGTCCGCTTATTATTGTTAATTGTTGTTGTCTTGATGGAATCATGATTTAATTGTAACAATTTATCTTCTAATTCAATTGATTCATTGATTCCTCTTTCGATGATTAAATTTTCAGGATTTTCTTTCTTAATCTTTTTATTGGGATAATCATTACCTGTTAAAGTAACTGTTGTTGAGCAATTTTGTTGATTGTGATGATTAATGAAAAGTTGATTGTCATCATCATGATTAACTTTTTGTTGATTTACTGATATTGGCAATTTACTTGATTTTTTGTTTCTTGTTGATGATTTAGTTGTTGTTGATGTTGGCGAGGTTGATGTGTCAATTGTTGGTGATGGTGATGGAGTTGATTCAACTGGAGATGATGTTGATCGTGTTGATTGAGTTAATTGTAAATTAATTGGTGAACATGATATTTGATTGTTGATTTGTTGAAGCTGTTGCTGTTGCTGTTGTTGTTGTTGGTGATGGTGGTGTTGTAGTTGGAGTTGAAGATGATGTTGATGTAGTTGATGTTGAAATTGTTGATGGTAAGAGTAACTAATTTGTGGTCTAATTGTTGCTGATATTAGATTTTTGTTATTAGTTAAATTTTGAAGTGTAATAGTGTTTGAATTTGGTGTTACCGTTGTGATGATTGGTGAAGGTGTTGAAGATGAGGTGGAAAGTGAGATTGATGATGAAAGGGAGGATGGAGATGAGGTTGAAATTGATGTTGATGGAGGTGATGGATTGGGTGATGTGGGTGGTGAGGGTGAACCAGTCAGACCAATTGATGTCTCTGTTGGTGTATCAGTTGGGGTTGGACTTGTTGACGAAGATGAATCATCTTCCCTGATCGCATATCCATCATGTTTAGCTGCTTTTCGTTGAGCTTTTCGTCGGCGAAAATCACCCTTTTTAAAATCATCCAAATTCGCTGGATGAATAGTCCAATAATGACCTTTTCCATTGGCACTTCGAGTTGATTTAATGAAACAAGGATTAAGTGATAAATTGTGTCGAATTGAATTTCGCCAACCATGACCTCGATGGTGAAAATAAGGATAATTGTCAAGAATATATTTATAAATATCACTTAAGATCATCCGTTGCTCTGGTGTACTAAGTATCGCCATAGCGATCAGGCCAATGTAAGAGTGTTGAGGTTTAGGTTCCTCATTGATGAATCTGAAACGGCCATCATACCGACCGAAATGGGGTAAACCATGATAGGGAGAAATGCTATTGTCACTAAAGGCTGGATGAGGATAACCATTGATGGTGGCAAAGTTATAAGCCGCAGCAGCGGCCACAGCAGCCGGATTACCTGAGGCCGCAGCGGCAACGGCCAGCGAGGGATGAGCAAGTCTCAATCGAGCTGCAGCCGCTTGAGCATAAAGTTGCAATTGAATCTGATATTCAACGACTGAATTTGGTGTCTCTTTTTCACACATGATGATTAAATCACAATAATCACAATTAAAAAATGTCCAAGAACAAGAAAACTAATGATTGATGAGGAAAAAAAAACTTGGAAAACTTTTCCTTACTTATTATCAAGTTTACTTATTGTTGGATGTAAATGTTTATCGACTGTTTGGAAACTATTGTCGTTTGTTGTTGTTGTTGTTATTGTTTAGATGAAGATAAAAATGAGATGTTATGATGAAAAGAGAGAGAGAGAGAGAGAGCAAGAAAATAGAGATGAGGATGATGAAGAGGAAGGAGGAGGTAATAACTATGAATACGAATCGATAATTGTAACATTGGGTTGAGCTTAATTTTCAATTGGATTCCATGTTATCATTATTATTATTGTTTTGTTATTATTATTATTATCATCTTCATCTTCCCTTATCATCTTTGACTCAATCTCTTTGTTGTTCTCATCCTATTTACTTTGAAAAGTTATTCAAACAATAAGTTAAACAACCAATCAAGTTAAAGGGAACTCATCGAACTTGCTTCTCATTGGTTAGAACTTGTTTCAGTACAAATGTTTGCATGACAAACAGTAACAACATCGAGTAACAACCTTTAGAACTGTTCCCGCCCACAAAATCCCCCAATATCGAATTTATCATCTTCTTTTTTTTTGTTCTCTTTTTGCTTCTGTATTTACAACAACAATTTACTCCAACAACAGAGTCAACATCATCATTATCATCCTTATCATCTTCATCTTTTTCTCCTCCTTCTTTTCTCACTATTTTCCATCTCCTCTCTCTCTCTCTCTCTCTCTCTCTCTCACCCTGGCTACTTTTATCATCCTCACCACATCCCCTCTATTATCAAGTCATTCATCATCATCGTAATCATTATCATCCTCATCATCTTAACAATAATGTTTCTTGATCCAATTATTAGGTGAATTTACTTTACTACTTTTGCTCATTTTGATGAAGATGAAAGTTACAGGTAAAGGTAAATATTTAGTCTTCCTCCTTTATTTTCATACCCCAAGTATCCTCATCATCATCTTCAGCGCCATTGTGATCATATTGATGATGAAGATGAGGATGAGGATGATATAACTTCACTTACTTTTTTTTACCAATTGTAAGTGTTTCCAATATTTACTGTTGCTTTGTGGTAAATTTTGTCTTAATCTTAATCCTCATCTGTCCATAAGTGATACTTTATATCCTCTATTTTCATGTAATATACTTGACACAATCACCAGAATTAAATTTAAATCTAATTGTAATCAAAGTAAAAGGTAAATTCATCTCAATCTATTTACAATAAATACAAACCTTTTGTATTGTATATCTATTGATAAATATTGGCACTTTTTAATGTGTCACACTCACAACGAAACGGATAACAGATAATTGTCACTATTATTGTGACCATTAAGTGGTAGTGACAATTTAGAATCAGCAATTTAAAATTATTGTGTTACTATTAAAAAAAAGTATATATAAGTAACAATTGAAATTGTCACGATAATTGAATTTATTTTGATAATCTACTCGATGACAATTCATTTGTTGATTGTTGATCAACAATCAAATGAATAAAATTAAATGAACCAAATTCAAGGAGAAAACTCAATTTACCTTTGATGATAATTTAACCTTTTATTTTGATTATATAATTGTAAATGATTGATTGATATTTTCACTTTACGAAACCAATTAAAATCATCATTATCAATGATTACGTTTATATAAAATATTATCACAATCAAATGATGATAATGATGATGAGTGTTAATCACAATGATGATAACTTCATTTTAAAACCTAATCCATTTACACTAACAGTACATTAATCATCATCACGATTATCAATTTAATCAATAACAAATTGATTCAACAAAACTTTTCTCTTCATCTTGATGATCATTATTTTTACTCATTCACAAAAGGTACTAATCTTGTTGACTTAATGTGAACAAAGACCTTTACCTTTAGCTACTCTTATGGTCAACAAAGGACTGACCCTTTCAATTCAAAGTGAAAGTATGAAAGATGAAGATACTCATCAGTCACTATTACTACTAAATATACAACTCTTTAACCACCTTATCCTCCTACTCTCTCATCTTGTTTCCTCTTTCACCTTCTCTAACATCATCATCATTTTGACCAACAATAGAATGGAAAAGTAGAAGAAGAAAACTTTAAAAGGCCAACATATCACATTAGAACATTTCCATAGCTATCGAACTTAAATGTTCCATTTCCTCTTATTCGGAAAATTTTTTCTTCTTCTTCTTTCTCTTGTCTTCCAAACGCAAGTAATCATTATATCGTCTTCGTATTGAAATCCTCCCACTTTGCATCTTTTTCTCTCTCAAATCACCCTGTAGATGTGCTTGAAATAACAAAGGGAAACACTCACTCCCACTTAGTGTCCTCCCAGCAAGATGAAGGCCGAAAAAAACAAGAAAACAAAAGGGCAAAGTTGAAGACATCCCTTTGACCTCCAATAAAAGTAAACAGTTAAAAGCAATTCAATTGAAATCGCAAATGATGATGTTGTTGTTGTAGATGATGATGACCAACACCACAATTACAATTCATTGAAGATAAAGCAGACTTGGCTCTCTCTCTCTCGCTCCCAGTCCACCAGTAAGAAAACCACTCACCTTTTATTCATCTCATTTGACACGTAAAAATCAAGTTGATTTTCTGTCAAAAAAAGAGATGAAGATGATTATCAATATGAATATGAAACCACAGTCAACTTACCTTTCACCTTTTACCTTTACTTGATAGTAATAAAAGAGCAACACATTGACCAGTTGATCATTATTATTATTACTCTATCAACCTTGGAGGCCCACTTAGCCTCTTCTCCCTATCCTTTGACCCTCTTTCAAAATATTTTAATATTGAAAACAATTGAATTCAAGTTGAGAGTTCATACTCTCTATTCAAGTTACCCTATTATCATGATCACCAACTGAATGGACAACAAAATGATATTTACTTTTTTTTCTCATATCAATTTTATCAAAACAATTTGATAACAAAAGGCCACAATTCACATTAGTTTACATGTCCATCCCTCAAATCAATAACCTTCGACCTCCTCATTGACTCCTCTTTCATTGCCCTTCATCCTTACCGATCCAAAACCCACGATTCAAATGTCCAAATATAATATTAACTTCAAAGAAAAGTTTTCGAAAGTTCTAACAAACTATTCTTAAAGGGTTATCAAAATGATATGAACGGAGCGGAAAAGTGACCTGAGTGAAGAATTTTGAGTAAACTCTGAACTTTCGCATTCGATCATCATGAAAACTGACCTCAAGTATGAACAAGAAACTGTTTTAATAAAAACACTTTTCAAATGCTGTGGTTGATCAACTTTCGAGTTCGCCTTGAACTTTTTCCGCTTTTTCGTGAGATCGACACTTTTTTATAACGTGTACTTATTGTGACTTTTGGCCTTTTTCACAGTTAGATATCGAAATCCTTGATCAGCATTTGCTTTTTATCCAAGTGATTAACTGTTTTGGCTGATAGATATTGATTACTTGTGATAATCCTGATCTTTATCATTTGTTTTCATCTCTCTGTTGATCAGAGATTGAAATTCAATCTCTGATTTAAATGACACTTTGAGACACGTGGTGAAAATATTTGATTATCTTGATTGTTTATCTTAATACTGATTAGTCTGTTGATCCAACTGGTTTCCAAGTTAATTGTTTTCTTTCATTCAATCCAAGAATGATTTTATTTTAAGATCGTTATAAAAATATAATAACAATCAAAGTTAATTGTTACATGATATAAATTCATTTGGCACAACTATTTACACTAAATTATAATGTTAACTTTACATAGGATTTATTTTTGATTACAAAAATATTCAGTTGATTTAGTTATTATATTAAATTTAAATTCCTCAGGAATTGACATTGGCAATGGTTATGATAATTACGATGATGGTCATGAGGTTGATGATGATGATGATGAAGAGGCGACTGATTAAGATGATGTTATATCGAGAGAGAAGGTCGTTTTTTACCGTTTCTCAAGGCCTTCGAACCTGTTTTGCCGAAAACGATTCCTATCATTTTACCGATCATCGCTGGTGAGGTTTTCCGTCTCATCGGGGGTAAATTTTTCAACGATGCCGATGATTTAGCTTCACGAATTAAACTTTGAAAGGCCAATGAAACACCGATGTAACTTTCGGCTGCTGAAACTTCATAGAATTGGCATTGCCAGAGAAGTGATAATTCTTGACCATCGTCCACTGGAACCTTTTGTATGATGAATTATTTTTATATAGAGAAAAGAAGGAAAGAAAACTCAAAATGTTAACATAATTTGGAAAATTTCAAAAAAAAAGGTCAACTTACCTCTCGACTGTGCTCTAAATCTCTTTTATTACCAAGTAGTATTATTGGAAATCGTCTTGGCCCTTTGTACATTGCGATTGATTCGAGCAGCGATCGGGCTGCATGGAAACTGTCCTTGTCGCAGATTGAGTAGACAACGACAAATGCATCGGCCCAAGCGATATGGTCATAGATACACTGGTCAAGTACATATACAAAATTTAGAGAATGAAATTTCAAACAACAACAATCAAATCTAAACTCGAACTAGAATCAAACTCAATCGCTAAGATCTCGTTGAGAAAAGCAAATAAACTGACCACGAACATTAAACTCGATCCTAAACACCAAACCAGATGAACCTCAAAAAATCGTCGAAAACAGACCAAAATAGACAACAAAAGGTGGCACCATATTCACACAACAATCAAGAACTGATTAACAATTAAAAAGAAATCAAAACAACCAAAAAAAACCAGTTATCTAATTGTTATCAAAAAGATGAATTGAAACTTTTGCGAAAAAAAGAGTTCAGTGGCGCCATCTAGTTTTTCTCGAAGTCACTTCGAGAAATTTTCCTTTTAAACAATTTGATGATTAAGGAAAAGTTTTCGTATTTTAATTAACCACTAATCGAGCCAATTAATTACCTTAATTGAGATTTTTTTTTCTTCTTTCTTTTGAATAAAGCTAATATAAGGTTTACCTTGATACAGTTTTAACTAATTAATGAAAACAACAACAAACTGTAAGTTTATTGTAACAAATTGAAGTTTTTAATCAAAGTGAAATAAAAATAAACAAAAATCTAATCAAAATGAAAGTTTTAAATGAATAAAAAATCAATTAATCAAATGAGATGGTGATTAACAATCAAGTTGAACGAAAGATAAATCAATCAATGAAAAGTAGATTTAATCTGTTTCTCAAATTTGTAACAATGGAATCAAGTTAATCATTAATCAAATTCAAATTGGTTGACCAATAGAATCAAACTAATTATAATTATAAAAAGAAAGCATAACAAATAATAACAACGGAAATGATTTATTTTTAGTAATCAAAGAAAAACAAAAGAAGAAGAAGAAGAAGAAAAAATTAAGTAACTTAATCATACAATTGACCAATTTCATGATGGAAAATAATATTGACCATTCAATAAGTTATCATGAAGTAAACAGCAAACAATCAGAATCTATTGTTATCATGTTGTTATATTGATTAACTGATTGGTAAACACAAAGTAAACACAAAGTAAGTTAAGTTTGTAATGATTGTTATGAATGAAATTAAATTTAGAAACAAAATCAAAATAAATCAAACTCAATGAAAATTGAACAAGTTACATACATTTATCAAGAAAGTTTCCTCATCATCATCATCATCTAATGAGCATTAACAACATGATTATCCCGAGGTCAGGTCATATCATCAAGGACGATTAAAATATGATGATGATGATGATGAAGATGAAACATAATGGATGATGATCAGAAAAGGGAGTCAACATGATTATCTATTAAAGGGCAATGATTATTATTATTGATACAACAACAAGACTCATTTCCGGATTTTATTTATTGATTATCAAAGGTAAAAAAATGGGATGATGAGGATAATGAAGATGATGATCATCATCATCCCGATAATCATGTTGGTTTCAGTGAAAAAAATAGCTACAAAAATAAGTCAAAAAGTTTGAATTTAATAATATAATCGCATCAGGTAATGATCAGGATGAGGATGGTTTTTTGTTTTTGTTTTTCATTCCGGTATCATCACAATCATCCTTATTTTCATCCTCATCATCCTCATCATCTTGAATATAATTTTTAGTCCAATAATGATCAATAACAATAACGAATCTGAATCTGAATCTCTTCCGGTTCCCACTACTTATCATATGAGATTGGATTTCAATCAATTTAATATAAAGCAAATTAAGTTATCAGAAATGAACACTTTACTTATCATCATCATCATCATCATCTTACCTTTTTTAATTGTTATCAACAATTAAATCAATTGATTTATTGGTTATTTGTATTATTATGATCATCAGAAAATTAATCAATCCTTAAGAAAATTGCTCAACTGTTTACTCACAACAATGATGATCAATTAAACGGTAAATTGAATTGATTTACAATTAACTACCATTTCTTATTGTTTATTATTCTTATAATTAAATCAACAACAATTAACTAAATGATAATGTTAATTACATACCTTACAACTTGATGTATCCATAATTTCAACATCAGTTTTAATTTCATCAACGGTTAAGGTATGATGATAAAGGAAATCTGAAAGAAAATTAAAAACAAATATTAAACAATTAATGGGGAAACAAATGAAATTGATTGTGTTGATTAATTAATTGTAAATAGTATCAATGGGGAGGAACAATTAAACTACAATTAAAAAGTAAACATTAGTTAATAAACTTTGTTTGGTTGTTTGTTTTTACCTTAAACTTTTGTTTATTAAAAAGTGAAAGTTGATTGAAGTTTTTGTAAAACCAATTTCTTGGTTAATTGTTGTTTAATTGTTTCAATAATCAATAGAAAATTATTAATGTACTCAAATAAATTAAAGGTAAACTATTAAAACAATTGAAAGGAATAGTAATTAGCTAATTAACAGTGTAACATGAAACAATTTATCAACAATTTAATTGTTAACTTAACATTAAGATGGTAAGAAAATAATAATTGTAAATGTTAATTATGATTAAGTTGATTATCCAGGAATCAAGATTAAGATTTGTGTGTTAACGTGTTGATGAAGATATTACAATCAAATCCTAATCAGGATAATGATGGTGATTGTTAATTGTTGATACACTGATCAAGTTAAAAGGAAATGAAGGTTTCCAGGTTCATTTATCTTAATCATGATCATTATCATGATTGTAACTTCCTCATATGTTATTGATTTAATTCAGTGAATCATAATCATTATCAGATATTAATTATTATTAATAATCTTTGAAACTTTAAACGACAAATCATAACGCTAATTAATTGCTGTGTGAGAGATGAAAAAATTTCATGATTAACTGAGAAGATGAAGAAAAAAAAAAGTTAAAAGCTTCTGATGGATTCTGATTGAAATGATTAATTTTAATCTGATTCAGGAAAGAGTTAACAACAACATCATCATCATCATGGTGATAACATATTAATTAATTAATATAAGTTAGTGTGTGATCTTAGATGATGATAAAAAATCATCATCTTAATCTTGAAATCTTGTTTTTTTTGTTATGTTTTCATGATGAATCCTGAGTATGGATTTTTATTCAGAGTTGGAACTTTTTCTCTCTCTCTTTCCTTTCAGAAAAAAATTCTTTTTTTTTGATAACTCAGTTAATTCATGACGATGATGATTATGATTATGATAAAATAAAACATGATGTATTTAATAATGTTGCTATTATGTCAAAATAATCAAAATTCAAACACCAATCCCCCAATCATTTTGAAAATCATTTGAAAATCCTATCCTGACATTAAAAGGTTATCATGAAAATGATAACCAATCGGAATTGAAATTAAGTTCAAAATCAACTGACCACTAACAATATGTATTCATATTGAAATGTGCTAATGTATTTACCTTATTAACACATTGACACATTAAGATAACAACTTGGTAATAAACTCGGCAACGTCAACAATTAAATTAATTGTTACAATGAATTAGATTATACGATTAAAATCAATCTATTAAGCAAAAGGAAAATTAATTTCATCTCCTAACTTGGTTTTATTAACCCAAAAACTTTTTTGTCTGTTAATAAGAAATCAATGAAAAAACTGTTTCATTTCAATTGAATAAAATTACAATTGCAAATTGTTGACAATTTGTTGCTCATGATCATGATTACAATCACTACACCATTGATGTTAATTGAAATTGTAAATCGTTTCTGTAATAACATTGCAATTAAATTTCAAATAAATTGTTCAATGTACAGTTTGATCAACATTAAGGTGTAAAAGTGTCAAAATTGACCCTACATCATTAAAGATCAACAGTTAATTGCATAATATTTGTTTACAGTCTCACCCTTAACATGATGATGATGATGTTGTTGTTGTTGTTGATCATGATGATGATTAAAGCCCAACCATTGATTTAATTGCTTTAATTTTTGTATATACGTTTAAATATATCAACTATCAGCTGATAAACCCGTCAGTTCAGGTCAAAATGATGAATGCGAGTGAGATGTTGTTTTTTTATTACATCAAAATGCAAAAAAACAACAACAATCAAAACAATCAACAAACATGAGAAAAAAACTAACGGTTTCTGTTTTTATTTTCTGGTTTTCTGTTGCAATTGCTTCCGATGACTCCCAATAAATGTATTAATTAACATAATGAACATGATGAACATGATGAAAGTGATAATTTTAAAAAGGTTTCTATCATTTGTTTGTTAATTTGTCTTTCTCTCTCTCTCTCTCATCATCATCATTTAAGGTGTTAAGGTGTTTACTTTCAATTGATGCTTTTAAAAACTCAACATTCTTGTTGTTTCATGCAAATGAATTGATAAAAAATTTGATGCTTTTAAAGTCTCCATCAAATGATTAGCAATCCTGCTGTGACTATGTATATGTGTATGTGTGTGTGTGTGTGATGCTTAGAGTGATGTTTTATCATCCTCATCATCTCCATCATCATCATCATCATCTGAATCATCCTCCGACAAGGTAAAGTGAAGGTAGAAACAGACAAAAAAAAGAGAGAGGGAAGAGGCACCCGGAAGCATAAATTTGTCCATCAATTTTTGATGCTTTTTCATCTTTGGCTCTTTTGTTTATTGGTGATTGGTTTTCATGATGATGATAAAATAAAAAGATACGCAGATCAAGATGAGGATGAAAATGATGATGGATATAATTTAATTGAATGGTAAATTGTTTTAAATAATAAATAGCCAAATATAACAACATCAATAATAAACAATGTAAAGTTTTTTGCTGGTAAACAAATTTCATCACAATTTTAAAACAAAACAAAACTTTTCCCATATGATATCAGTTTACTGTTGACTAATTGTTACTGTAAATCAGATGATGATCATCATTAAGAATCGTCATTAATTATATTAATGATTCCAATTGAGTACAATACTATATATATTATGATTAATTATCATCATCATCAAGGAATTGGGGGGTGGGAAGGAGAAAAAAGTAAAAGTTCTTACCTTTACTCGAACTGTATTCACCGATGTATCGTTTTGTCAGGTATCGAACTGTCACCGCTGCGGAAATGTAAACAAGAAGAAAATTTCGATTAAATTAACAATCTAACAATTAATTATCTCTCTCTCATTATCAGAGTAATTTGATAAGGTTGATCAACAATTAATCAGATCAATTTATTTACAGTTATCACTTATCTCCTTATCATCAACAATCAACACTATCATCATGATTAATCTTCATGTAAGAATCATAAACATCAGTAATTGGAAGCAATTAATTGCTCTTGAAGCTTATTTAATTTGTTAATTTCTTTTACTTTGATTCTAAATTAGTAAATTGTCAAAAAAGAAGAAGAAGAAAAATCAAACAAGAACAAAAATTTCACCAAGAATTCTGAGAATTTGATTTAAAAAAAAAAGTTCTGATTCAATTTCGTTGATTATTTAAACTTTTTTCACCCTTAAAATTAAATTTTCACGATAATGAAAAAACTTTTGATTGTTATCACAATATAAAACTAATAATGTCCATGTTGATGATAATCATCATGATCGTCATCATATCTTTAATTGTGATTAGTTTTTTTTTAAATCTTAAATTACCTGATATTAGTTTTTTCCCTTCTTAATCGTAATGGTCAAGTTACTTTTGCTCTGATTATAAATAAACAAATGGACAAGCAGATTAACAGTTAACTTTAGGAATGATGAAGAGATTTAATTTTTTCATTTACTGATTTAATCCCCTGATTGTAAGTTAATCTGGTTCAGACAAAAAATTGAAAATAAAATGTTGATATGTTATGAAACTTGAAATTAAAACTTTGATAATATTATTATTATCGTGGTCATTAAAATTATCATCAATTTCAACAATTTAATAATAATAATAATAATAAAATGAAACGATAATAATCCTAATCGATAATTATAAACATCGGCTCAGAAAATGAATCTGAATTATATTTATATAAGTTGGACGGTGTTTTCGAGTCTCATGAGTTCAGGTTCATTCAGATTCTTGACACTTGATGATTGTTCAATTCTTCATTCATGATAATGATTGAAATAATTCAACAGCAACAACAAAATATTCACAGTAAATAGTGATTAGTGATTAGTATTATTATTAAAAGTTTAAATGGTACATTAAACTTAACTTGACCCATTAACGATAAAAGGTTAAGATATAATAATAATGATGAAGATGAAGATTAAGATGAAAATGATGAAAGGATGATGATGGTGATGGAGAATGAGTGAAATAAGTGATGAGGATGAAAAGTTTCATGTTCGTGTTAATGTGTGATTTTAAGAAGGGAAAGTTTCTAATTGTTGAAACTTTTTTCTTTCTCTTTTCATATTTATCATGATGTTTGTTTACCTGATTTTCCCGATTGTGAGCTTCCCAGAATTGCAACTCGAAGGGCTCGATTAGCGTTCGGATTATTTGTCATGTTCAACACAAGGATAATTCACTTAATCGTACCGATGATGGTGAAGATGGTGATGGTAATTGGTGGTGGGGATTATGGTGATTATGGTGATGATGATGTTCAGTCACTATGGTTATATGATGTTCACAGAATTGGAAAAACTTTTTTTTATTCCCGTTTAACTTTCTGAATAAACTGTCACTCGCATTGGTACAAAAGCGTTTGATGGAAAGGCACTTTGCTTAAAACACGCTGAAAGGTTTTACAAAACAAAATAAAGTGAGTAAATTAGTAAGTGAGTGAGAGGGAGAGGGAGGCAAGATGATGATGATGAAAGAGAAAGAGATAGAGAGAAAGAGATAAATTAAGGAAAAGAAAGAGAAGAGAGAGATAAAATGGGGCATAAGAGTGAATGGAGGCCAAAAAGAGAGAAAGAGAGAGAGAGAGAAACTGGTTTTTTGTTCGAAGATGATGATGATGATGATGATGGAGAAGATGGAGATGATGATGAGATGATGAAATGATGATGGAGAAGAAGAAGATTGAAAAAAAGGAAAGAGAAAGAAAGAAGAAAAAATTTCAGGTTAATGATAACTGAAAATCACTTTTAGTTAGATTTGGATACTTTGGCCCTCTCATAACAATCAAGATATTGTTATCAACACGATTACTATCATCATGATTATGGTAATCAATTTGTTTTCTTTTCTTTTTTTTTTGTTGATTGTTGATTATCGTAGAGGTTGATGAAAGAGGTTAACTAAGGGGTCCATTTAACACACAACACAAGTAGCTAAATTTAATGGCCCAATCTGGGTCTAGGTCAGTCCCGTTACCTCGTTGAATCAACTCTCTCATGGGTCGGCTTGATTTCTCATTTCAAGTTGATTAAAACAATTATTTTCTAAGTGAGATCAACATGATTAATAGACGAGAGAGAGAGAGAGAGAGAGAGAGAGAGAGAGAGAGAGAGAGAGAGAGAGAGAGAGGAGAGAGAGATGGATAGAGAGAGTTAAAGAGATCAACCTTTGGGTAAATATTGTTGGCTTAATTTTGCTCACAATTTAGTTAATTGTTTACTCTTATGAACAACATAATCTAAATTGAATTTGAATGAGTAATTAACTTGAAAATAATTAACTTAATGACGATATTAACCAAATGAAATATTGTTATTGTTGATTTTTGATTAACTCGCTAGTAGGTTAATTTAATTGCTCTGATTTTGTTTTTTTTTATTTACCTTTAATTTTGTGTCTCTTTTGATTTATTTTTTTTGTGAGCAGCCCTTTGATTGCTCCAATTGCATTGGGCCTGGAACAATTAAGAACGAGAAATTTAAGAGAGAAAAATAAGAAGAGCAATTTAAAGTAAATCTATTTGAAATTAGATGATGATTAATGATTAAAGAGCTGTTATTAAATTAACTATTTACACTATTCAAGTGTACAATTAACGTTTTTCTTGTTCATATGCCCACCGGTCACTGGGTAGGTTCAGGTAATAAAGAGCGAGGTTAAGGGTCATTGGTCAGTGAAAATGAGACGCAGGTAAATGTTGAGGTCATTGGTCTCTCTCTCTCCCTGGTCAGTGTAATAAAGTTAATTAGATTTTGCTTTCAGTTATTATTTTGCCAGAGGATTTAAATCAATCAATAAATTATCCAGTTTGGCTTTTCATTGTTACTTAATCAATGATTTCAACGTCAATTGTTTACCCTGGTACTTGATGTTACCTGGTAATACAAATATTAATGGTCAGTAGTGTTCCAGTGAGAGTCCAGTTTTGAAATTTATGGTTACCGATTTGGAGGGTGGTCCACTTTAAATTACTTTCTTTTCATAAAAATTAGTCTCTTTGTTTACCCAAAGATGGAGTTTAAAGGTACAGGGGGTTCTTGGAGATCGATTCAAATGTTTTTTTTTCCAAAAAAAGTTTCATTTTGATTAAGAGTTTCAATTCATTTCGACCACGATTAAATGTCCAAATCTTCAAGTGAACTTTTGAAAACTTATAATCAGTTTGCTGCTTGATAATTCGACAATCAATTCTGATTTACAGGGCATTCACCAAGTTTCCAACAAGTTTTTCCTGGATAACTTTTAGGTTTTTGAGTATTTAGACCACAGAAGCGAGAAAATATCAAGGTCATTCCGGCCATTCTGCTAGGATACGGTTTCAAGGTCATTTGGTGGTCACAATTGAATTAACTTGCAATCAATAGGCTCCATACGAGTTTACAACTTTTGGACATTATTATATGATTGCCGGAATTTAACGTTGTTGGAACCAAACGGAATGTCTAAATTTATTCAGTTTTCGCTAAACATCCTGGTCAATATGACCGAAATGACCTTGATATTTTAATATGACAATTGAGTATGTTCGAAACTATCATAACTCGAGTCTTGGGTCTCATTGCTCAAAAACAAAAAAGTTATTCGAGAAAAACTTGTTGGAAACTTGGTGAAATGCCCTGTACAAGAGGAAGAACAAATTGAAACAATTTCAATTTGTCACTCAAACATCATGACAGTGGATTGAGTTTAAATCGGTGACCAATTAGTTGAGGGATAGTTCAACAAGCTCAGTTTGGCCAACAAGAACAATATTCATTTTGGTGGTCCACCTCAGTTTGGAAATTCTACCTCACTAGGAATCATGGAAAATATAAGTTCTTTTTCTGGTGCAGTGAAAAGTGTCACCAACATCGACCGATAGCTTTAAGAGATAATTAACTAAATAATTGTAGAATTAAATTTAGAATGAAAAAAGAAAATTAGACCAGTTTGATAAAAAGAAAGAAAAGTTTATCTTCATCATTAGAAATTATATACAAAATAATCAATGGAGGAACATCGATAATACGATTAACGGTAATCGATACATGGAATCTATCAAATTAGGTTAACAATTATTTTCCAATTAATTGAATAATCTTTTCAACAGATTATTAAATTGTTTTTACGACGAGAAAATAAAAATCACAACAATCAATTAACTTTTGTAGGAACAAAAAAACGAATAAAAATCGAAATATTAATTGTTCTAATACTTAGAACTTTTTATTTTTTGATTTTCAAAATTCTAATATAACCTTCGATATCTTTTATTTTGACATTTAAACGTCAACGAATGAAAACAAAAGTGATTTATAATTAACCTAGAAAATAATTAAACTTGAAAGTGATAAAACAATTAGCAAACTATTATTGTTTTTACAATTGTGATATTTGTGTTGCTAATCAGCTGATTACATTTGTAATCATTAAATTCTTGGATGATGGATCATTATCATCATGATGACGATGAAAAGAATATCAGAAAAATTGTGAAATCCACCCAGAGAGAGGGAGAGAGAGAGAGCCATTAAGTACAATTATCGATTAATGGATTAGATAACCTTGAATATATCGAAATTGCTGTGAAAAAGGTGAATGAAGAGAGTAAAAAATGAATTAAGATGAAAAGGACCAAAATAATGAACAATCAAAGGGAATCGAAACTAATCCGATTTAGCTTTGGAAAATTTTCTTTTCCATAATAATATTATCATTCTCATTATTCGGTGTTCTCATTTAGTTTTTTGACCATCGAATATGAAGAGAGAGAGAGATGGTCATCATGTTCTTCTCTCCTTTTAACCTGCAACCTCACCCACTTTTCCAAAGATTTTCCATTCGATTGAAGTCGTTCCTTAAATGATTCATATGATTATTTCCCTATTATCACCATGAAAAGATAACAGAATAATGAATTTCATGGCAAATGGATTAACCTGTAAAGAGATCAAAAGATGGCGCAGTAAACCCCATCAATTTTGGGTAACAATGAGTTAAATGTTTTATTGTTGTAATACCCTTTTTTTACAAGGTGTCATGATAACATGACTGAGTGAGCTCAGGCCCACCCTCTATAAGAGGTCATGTTGATACAAGTGAAACAGTAAGAGAGAGAGAGAGAGAGGAAGAAAGAGAGATAGATAGAGAAAAGAGTTAAAGTGAGAGAGAAAGAGAGAAAGAAAGAAAGACAGAGATGATAAAGAAAAGAAAGAAGAGCTTTGAAGAAAACATTTTAAGGTGGGGTCACTGTGAGCGCATGTATTTTTTTTCTTTAATTTCATATTTTTCATTTGGATGTCATCATCGTCACAAATTCTGTATAATAAAAAAAAGAAAGATAATAGATAGAGATGGATGGAACAGAGAGAGAGAGAGAGAGAGAGAGAGAGAATAGGGGATAGAGATGGGGAGAGAGAAAAGAGAGACCGAGGTCATTAAATTGTCAGGTATAATTACATAATTGGAAATAAATATGAAAAGGAATTAAGGAATTGTGGACTTGAAGAACAGGATAAAGCCTGAATAGATTGTGCAAGAGCATAGGAAAAGGTGAAAGAGAGAGAGAGAGAGAGAGAGAGATTCTCAGTGAACACAAGGACTCACCTTCATAATTTACTTGACCATCGCCATCAATATCAGCTTCTCGAATCATTTCATCTACCTCTTCATCAGTCAATTTCTCTCCCAAATTAGTCATTACATGTCTCAATTCAGCAGCAGAAATAAAACCATTACCATCTTTATCAAAAACACGGAAAGCTTCACGAATCTCTTCTTCAGAATCTGTATCTTTCATTTTTCTTGCCATCATTGTCAAGAATTCGGGAAAATCAATAGTACCATTACCATCGGCATCAACCTCATTGATCATATCTTGAAGTTCCGCTTCAGTTGGATTTTGACCTAGACTTCTCATGACTGTTCCCAGTTCCTTGGTTGTAATAGTTCCATCACCATCCTTGTCAAACAGTGAAAAGGCTTCCTTAAATTCAGCAATTTGCTCTTCTGTTAATTGATCAGCCATTTTTCTTGTAGTATATTAATATAATTCGATTATAACACAATATTATTTATTCCTGGATCTTTGAATAAGAAGAAAAAGAAAACAATGGATAGAATTAGAACATAATTTCAAATAAACAGAGAAATGGAGAGCTAAGGAGAAGAGGAAAAGAAATAGAGAAAACCAGAAGCAAAAGAGAATAAGGTAAAAAAGAAGAACAAAAAAATCCTGGCAGCTTTTTCGCAAATAAGAAAAAGGAAAACATGAGAGAATCAATAGGTAAAAAAGATCGAGAGAAAGAGAGAAAGACAGAGAGAGAGAAAGATAATCACAACCACATACACTCACACAGAAACATACACAGGAGAGAGAGAGAGAGAAAGTGAAATATATATAAAAAAAATAACATTAAATCAAGATATAAATATATACACACTTATTGTAGATGTGATGACGACTCTACGATTCCGATTGAAATTGAATGTTACCAATGTGTTGGCGATGTGTAGGCGATGAAAGGCGACAGAAACACCGATATAGAGACAAAACGAACACAGGAAACACACCACACAGTCGGTGTTTTTAAAAGCCAAAGAGGAAGAGCAACAAAAAGACACAAAAAGAGAGACAGAAAAAAGAGATAGAAAGAGACAGAAGAGAGAGAGAGAGAAAAACACACACACACGAACAAAAAAGAGTGAAAGTGAAGACGGTTAAATAGAAATTTAAAGAGAAGAGAAAATTCTGAATTGTGTTGTGTTGGTTGAGAGAGAAAAAGAAAAAAAAAGAAAAATAAAAATCAACACATCACATGACATGCGCTCCAATTGACCCCACCTTAAAATCTTTTCTTCAAAGCTCTTCTCTTTCTCTCCTCTCTTTCCAACAATCTCTTCTTTCTCTCTCTCTCTCTCTTCATGACCTCTTATAAAGGGTGGGCCTGAACTCACTCAGTCATATTCTGATGACACCTTGTACGAAAAGGGATAAAAACAACAATGAAAACATTCAACTAATTGAGTCACATTGTTACCCAAAAAACGATCGATTTTCTGGTAGATTGAAATCAGCGCCATCTCTCGGTGACTTTTCCAACTAATCGAATAGTAAATTTTTCTCAAAAAATTTTCTTTTCTCAACCTCATCATCATTACCACCAATTGTATTAAATTTAGTTCAACAATAAAAAGTTATTCTTAATTGTCTGTTAATCAATGGAATACACAATTTTAATGATTATTTTCTGAATATCGGCCAATTTTTGTTTTCTTGTTGTTTTCTTTTTCTATTACTTGGAAAACAAAAACTTACTAAATATTAGATGAGAGGAAGAGGAAAACTTTTGAAATAGAATTTGAATTTTTATAATATTTTATTTTCTCGTTTCTCATGATCGTATATTCATACAAATATAATATATATTATCTTCATGGTGGTGATGATGATTAATTTCAGTGTGAAAATAAACTCATTAAATGAGAACATGAATTATATTGATGATAATGAACAAAGCTGATATATAATAACAATTTCAATTATATCCTCTGAATATCAATATAACATGAATGACTGAATCAAACATCATGAAATGAATACTAAGTTTATTGTGTTACCTTTTTTTTATTGTTGTTATATATTCATGATAAAGATAAGATTGAAATTGTCTTTTTGGTCTTGATTTTCTTGTATTCAATTAGACTAATCATTAATTCTGATCATCTATTTTACTCACTTAAACATATAGATATCATGGATTCTGATTGTAACGATGATAATAACAACCTTGTTAACTTAATAACGATAATAATAAAAAGTTAACTAACTAACTAGTTACGATATTTAATCAACTTCAATATAAATAAACACATGATAATAAAAACAATGGAATCATTTTCATGAGAAACTTTTTCTTTTCCCTGCTTCTTATTGTTCATGGTGATGACACTTTAATCAATTTAAATTGAATCGTAATCTTGATGATTATGAACAATTAAGATGACTGATAATATTAAACGATCTGTTTGATACAAGGTTGATTAATCTAAATTAACAAAGATAATCTCATGAGTTATCTCATGGATAATAGTTGATGCTGAGATTGTTTTTTTCAAACTTCATCATCCATGATTATCATTCATGAATTCATGAAGATGATCATGATTATGATGATGATGAAATATGGGTTAGGTAAAGTTATCATTGTCTATCATTCCCTGTCAGATTTTTTTTCTCTTTCACGTCAATTGAATTTTATCATGTGAATTCCCTATGAATTTAAATATCTCCTGCAAAGTAGAAGAGGAAGAAGAAAAAAGTTCTCAATTCTGAGTCAATTGGAACACATCATGAACATAATCAACTGAGAGAGGAAAAAAAAACTTAATCAAGTTACATTAACCTTCTCAATGTATGTTGATACATTTACAACCAGTTTACATTGATGTTGATTAAAAACATTGTCTCCATGTGAATTAATGATGATAACGATTCATATGATCAAATTGAATTGAAACAAAAAAAGTTCTCAAATAGAATGAAACTTTTTTTCATAAACATTTCGTATTCCATTCATGTATCATACCAATTTCTTTGGGGAATCTACTGAATTCATGGTGTACAATTCCCTGTGGTATATTTTGTCCTCCTTTTCATCTGCATCTTCATCATGCTCACTCTTGAATAAGTAAATTCTGGGCTTTATCATTAAGTATAAATAAAAATCTCTCTAGATGATGATCATCACGAAAGAAACTGGAAAAAAGTTCTGATAAACAAAAAACTAGAACAAAAATCAGAAAAATATAGAGAAGAAAATTTTTCTTTCTTACTTTTAACATTTTCTCCCAGTTTTTGTAAAGATTGATCAAAATTACATGGAACATGATGATGATGGTTATAGAGAGAGAGAGAGAGAGAGAGAGAGAGAGAGAGAGAGATTATCCTCTTAAGAATATGAAATATGCATGATAACAACTTTATCTTTCATGATGATTATTTCAGAGAAAGAATCATTTACTTCAGATTCTGAACATTCATTTTTTCTGTTCTCTTTCTCCATGGAAGGCAAATGTTTTGAAGGACCTTCGATTGAATAATAATAAAATCATCATCATCTTCAGCACTAGTAAGTTAAGAATGATGATGATGATAAGATGGAGAAGAAAATTTTGGGTTAAGATTTGGTTTGGGTCTTTTGGAGTACATTCAGATGAAGAAAAACATAAATCGAAGATAAAATCATCAATCTCTCTCATCATCAGAATCATTTCCTCCCACTCTCTCTCTCTCTCTCTCTCTCTCTACACACTTCACCACCACCATCATCATCATTATCATCATCTCTCTTAACCCTGTGAGATTTTACTTATCTATCTATCAATTTCTATCTCTTTCTTATTCTTTCATTTTTCTTATTCATTTTCGATTTCATTAGTTATTCAGTAGATTCTTCTTCCCTTTCCTCTCTCTCTCTCTCACACTTCACCACCACCATCATCATCATTATCATCATCTCTCTTAACCCTGTGAGATTTTACTTATCTATCTATCAATTTCTATCTCTTTCTTATTCTTTCATTTTTCTTATTCATTTTCGATTTCATTAGTTATTCAGTAGATTCTTCTTCCCTTTTCCCTCTCTCTCTCTTTCTCTCTCACCTCATCTTCTTCCTACTTGACTCTCAACTATTGACTTTCGTTCTTATCCTTCTACACGAAGAAGAAAAATCTTACTCCTCCTTCTTTATTTTCCTCTCCTCCTTTTACCTCCTCCACAACCTCCACCCTTTCACCTTCCCTCCTTCTCCCCAGAAAAAAGTTCTAAATCTTTCATGTCTCTTATAAAAGAATCTCCAATTCCCTGTTACTTGATATTCTTTCCTTCAACTCTTTCCTTTTATTTCACACAATTCTTCATCTACATAAAATATATTAGATTCTTATCCAGAATTCATATTATTTGACAGTTTCCGACTTAGTTGTCTTGAGAATCATCATCATCATTATCATCTCCTTTTACTTGTCCATCAATTCAGTCCTTTTTCCGGTCTACTTCATAAAACAGTTTAGTAAACAATCAAAAACAACAACGACAACAAGATACAGAGTCAAATGATGATGATGATGATGATCCTCATGAAGATAGCAACCAAAGTGTAAAGTATTATCAATATAAAATAATACACACTGACCCACATTACAACTGACCAAACTGACCAACTGATAAATGGTCATCAATTTTTCATGGGCTATGAGAAAACAAAACAAAAAAAATCGTTTACATGACAAAATATCAACTGAAAACTTCAACGATATAAACAAATATGAAACTACCTTAGTTATCAGATTTGAAGCATTTTATTAGCTAATTAGTTATTTTTCACAATGCAAAATTGTAGATTTGTTGATTAAAGTAAATTAACAAACAATCAACTTGAATAATCAAAATTAACAAAGTACAAATATGAAATAAAAGGTTAATTTAAATGAAAAATGATTCTAAACTTTGCTCAATGAGTTTTCATGTAAAAGGAAATGGATGATAATCATGATGACGATGATGATGATGATGATAATTATCATGATGATAAATAATATTTTACATTCTAAAGCTTATGATTCATATTTAATTCATAATTTGATTACTATCAATTGGTTACTGGCAATAGTATAATTATAATGATGATAATTTGTTACCAGCAAGAAAATCAAAATATGATGAAAAAAAGTCAAAATTTAGGTTAAATTGATTGCTGGTTGTTCATTAGTTGATTATAAATCAATGTAGATCAAATTAAATAATAATGGTAAATGATAATAATAATAGTAATCAAAATAGTGACATGATCGATTGTTAATCATTACAATTTACATGAGCCATTTACTATTATGATTATTATGATTGAAGAAAGTGATTAAATTATTAACAATCAATCACAATCAAATGTAAACTTATCAATATGAATATGGAAAAATAATATAATAAACCAATTAGAGAACGAGAAGAACAAAAGTAAAATCGAAAAAAAAAGTTCTAACTATCGAACTTGTTTATCATAAATAATTTTACTCCATTTCCTTTGATATTGAGATTTTCTTTTAAAACTTTATCTTCATCATCATGATGATAATTTATTTCAATCAATTCTGATATATCATGTTATCTGATATAAATCTCATGAGTTAATAATAATTCAGGAATAATTTTGTGAGAATGAAAAAAAAGGTAAATATAAACATTGTAATGAATATAAACAAATGAGTTCGAAACTTTTTCCTCTCTCTCTCTCTCTCTCTCTCTCTCTCTCTCTCTCTGTTATTATATATTTTGTCTGTTATTGTGTTGGAATGAAAATTAAATTTAACTGAAAATGATCAAATTAATATTAATTTAAATTCATGGTACAGTTGAAACTTAATCAACTCAATTGGAAGGGATAATTTAGATAACCATCCATGAAGAAGTGTGTAAAGAAAAGTGCTAATGATAATTATACATATTAAGCTAATGTAATGATAGTGAATAATATATATAAATTGTTGTTGGGAGTTAATCAGTATCATGATAATAAAAACTTTTCCTCTTTCGTTTGAACATTTTGTTAGAATCCTCGAATTGGGTTAATATGTTTTTCTTTAAAAAAAAAGTATCAACAACAGCAAAGAGGTTGAGATAAAGGTGGAAAGGTGGGAGTGGAAAAACAATGTCATTCTTATCATGAAGAAGATGATGATGTGAATTGTTAATCTCTCTTTCTCTCTCTTCCAAATGATACTTATCATCATCATCATCATCTTAGGTTCATGATGATGATACTTAGGAAAAGAATGATGAAAATCGTTGTTTAACTTGGATAATAAACACAAAGAACCTTTTTGGTAACAAGATTGAAGATGATTTCGGAAAAGGGGTTGGGGATCAGGGAAATGGCTACTTGAAGATGACCAGTGTTTGATCTTTAGATGGACAATCAATTGATTTGGATGAGGATGATGAGAATTGATAGGGAATAGAAAATTTAGAGAGAGAGAGAAAAGAAAAAAAAGATTAAGATTAAATCATTTCATTCGTTGTTTCCTTTTCTTATTCTTCTTCTTAATTGTAATCTTCTTTTTCGACTCATTTTTATTTATTTGTATTCTTCTTCTTTTGTCATCTTCTCTTCCTAATCGTATACTTGTAATAGGTTTTTTTTCCTCTTCTTCGAATCTCAATTTTACGTTACATGACATTTCGTAATGTTCAAGGTCGGTTTATGATTGATCGATAACTGTTTAAATGTCTTTTCGGGTTCTGGGTGGAATCACAATTCTTTTGAAACGGATATTCTTCTTCTTCTCATCATCATCATCATCATCATGAAGATAATGATAAGATGATGATGATGATTATGAAACAAAAGGATAAGAAAAATAATATAAGATACAAAACTTTGCATGTTAACATTTTGATGATCGTGTTTATTTCATCAGATTATCATGATTATCATGATGATAATCATAGTTTTATGTCTCGCCTAAGGTTCAGTTCATTCATTCATATTACTATTATTATTGTTATTACGATAATTAAGATATGCAAATGATTATCACCATTGAGAAAGCAAAATATTGTCAATGAGTTTCAATGACAATTCTCACCTTGTCAAGTTGAAAATTTTGCAAAATTATACTCGAAAGAAAGGGAAAGAGAAAGGTAAATAAATATCATCTTCCACAGTGATTTATTGCTGATTAATTTGATTAGTTAACCAGTTAATCGTTGAGCAATTTTAATTGTAACACTGTTGAAATATTTAAACATTCAAATCAGTTTTGTAATTGGATTGGAAATTTGGATAAGTAGTGACAGAGAGAGAGAGAGAGAGAGTTAAATAATCAATGATTATCAATGAATGAGTGATTAAATTGTATAGTGATCAATTTGATTTGATTGTTGAAACTTTTTGAGGTTTCATATTATTCAATCAATGGATATAATTTAATTTGATTACAAACATCAGCTGATTACAGATCGATCACCTAAATAAGTTAATAACCTAGTTTGATAATTATTATCTTTTCATTATTAATCGTTTAATTGTTGGAACATAGGAAATTAATATAGATTGAGAACTAAAAAAAAAGTTTAATTGAAATTATTTTCTTCTCAAATGTGAATTAGTTTTAATTGTGTTAACTGTTTTTCTCGATTAAATTTTTCCAAATTTTTACCATTAAAACAGAGATTGAGAGAGATTTTTAACTTCCTGATGTTCTGGAGAAAATAATGATTCTTCATTAGATCAAAATTTTGCACAAATTAATATTTAATTATCATCATTTAACGAAAAGATAATTAAGATAATTTATTAATAGATTAATAAGTTAATTGTTTTGAATTTTTTTCGCACTTTAGGTGCTTCCATCTAGCGATCGTTTTGTTAACTATTTTTCGGAAAATCACGTGACTTTTTTTTAGAAAATTGAATTGAATGAATTGAGTTTTTTTCTTGTTTTTTTCAGTTGACATTTAGTTTAAAGGAAGAAGACAATTTAAATTATTTATTTCTATTCTTCTAATTTGTTTGATTATTTTCTCATTTACATTCTGTTAGTTGGTAACTGTGATTGTCCTTTGTTTGTTTGTTAAAAAAGTAATACAATTGAAGGTCAAATGGAAACAAGTAATGATGGAACCCTTAACACTGAGAAGGGAATTTTGTCAATTTTAAATTCTCTTCAAGAAACCTTTTTATCATCACCTTTTAATATTTTTCTTACAGTAATTTGTGCTTTTCTCATCTATCGTTTATGGAGATCATCATCACCACAAGATTCAGTTGACAGAAATGCCATTAGGTTACCTGAACCATTAAAGAAACACGATATGGATTTGGAGGAATTGAAAAGATACGATGGTAAAGGTGCCGATGGAAGGGTTTGTATTGCCATTAATGGTGTGGTTTTTGATTGTTCAAAGAGTCACTTTTACCAGCCTGGTGGACCCTATCAATCATTTGCCGGACGTGATGCTACCAGAGGTTTGGCCAAGTTTGATGTTACAGCGGTTTCAGATGAATGGGATGACCATGTAGATCTGACACCTTCAGAGATTTCAAGTGTCCAGGAATGGGAGATGCAATTCCGTGAACGTTATGAGATTGTTGGTAAATTGGTTAAAGATTTAACTATAGTGACAGAGAAAAAAGATGATATTAAAGAGAAAAGTGAAGAAGAGACCAACGATGAGAAAAAAGGTAAAAAGGTAATAGAAGACGTAAAATTATCTCAAGAAAAATCAACATCATCATCATCATCATCTACATCACAACAGGAAAAACAAGCTGAGGAACAAGAAACAAGTGAAAGTTGAAACTTAACAAGAAAATAAATCAACTGAAAATAAAAATTGTAAAATCTATTGGTTATGGAATCTACATTTCGATTAGTTCATTGTGAAAAACACCAACAATTTCCATCATCATTAAGATCTTTTTCTCTCCTTTATATATACATCTCTCTCTCTCTCTCTTTCTCTCCGCCATCCATACTTCATCTTGCAACTACTACAATTCAAATACTGTATCTTTAATTTTCCTACAAATTATCAACACAATTTACCAACTAATTACCATGTTCTCAGCTATTGGAAAAAAAAGAGACCGATTTTTGTACGAATTGATAGTTAAATATAATATGTTTCATCCAAAATGTTAAAACAAACACACAACAATCAAACCAAGTAATCCAAATGTTATCTACAATTTTATTTGTACTTAATCACGTTTTCATCAAATTTACATATACAATTTTAATCTTTTAATTAACGACGAAAGGAAAACAAAGAAAAAAACTAATTACAATTGTTTATCCGAAAAACAAAACAAAAACAAAAACAAAATTCTGTCTCAACACTTTACTTTTAACTAGCAATTAACTTAAATACGATGAGATGTACATGTATATTTTAAGATGATTACAATTACCAATCAATTTTTGAGTACAAATTGAATAGCAGGTTAATCTGATTGTTGATGATAAGAAATTAACTGAAACAGTTTACTAATCATCTGCACTTGAATTGATTGTTAACTTGATAAGTTTCTAGAGTTTTCTTTCCAGTTGATTAAAAAGATGAGAGAGAGAAAAAAAATTGCATGACAATCACATTGAAACTATGATATTAACAGTATTAATTATCATCATGGTTGATTATTATTACAATTGGAATCAAACAATTTATATATTGTTGATGGTCTTGGAGATAAAATTTGATTTGATCAAAGTTTCCAGTGACAAAATTGATATTTCAAGACTGAACTTGTTTTGACGTTATGATAAAATATACATTTCTTTTGATTTAAATTGAAAAGGTAATAAACAATTATCGTTGATTGTTGGTGGACAATTAGGAAGCAGGAAAAAGGTAAAATTAAGAAGAAAGTTAATTGTTGAGATTTAGTTAAACGTCTGCATGTCCTTCAGAATCGTCACTTGTTTCAATTGGAAGATCAATGAATCTTTCGTAATTTTCTCGTTTACAAACACCATCAGAATTGAATGAGTACCGATGGAATGAACCATTTTCACAGACAGCTGATTGTTGGAGAGAAAACAAATAACAATTAATTAGATACAATTAAGATTAAAAAACAGAGAGAGAGAGAGAGAGAAACAAGTGATAAATGTCATAATAATAATAATCGAATGAGGGATTAATAATATAATTAATCAACTGAAAAGAAAAAGATTCCAAATCTTTTTCCTCAATTAAAGATACATGATTTTCAAGCAACAGAATCAAGGGTAATAATAAACGAATCGATTAACTGATTAACTCATTATACCCTCAGAGAAAATTCAATCTCAGGGTGAAATTCATGAGCAATTTAAGTAACAATTGATTGAAGTTTGAAAAAACAATAAACGATAAAACAATTAACTCATTTTCTTGATTATAACAGTTAATTGATTGTAATACTTTTCTCCTCATTTACTCAAAATAATCAGATTATCTCCTAATACTAAATCAGACTATTAGTTAACTAATCTTTTTCGTCTTGTTATTGTTGTTTTTCACTGTTGAATTAAATCATCGTAATGATAAAACTTTTTCTTTCACTTTTTTATATAAATATTGTTCAATTAGAGTTAATTCCTAGTCTATTGGTGATCTATAAATCTTTCTGTTGATTGGTTACTAATCGATCGATTGTGTTGATAAATTTTCGCTGATTAATTGGCGAATATCAGAAATAATTCCAATTTCAAATGAGCTATCATACCATAGACATTATTTCTCGGTCCAAATGAGCAAATGGAGGCACAATCATCTTTAATCGTGAAATTGGTTAGAGCCCATTGTGATTCGATGTATTGACCAAGAAGTCCTCCCATTTTCGAGAAAGCTGATTTACGATTTAATCGAGTATCTTTAAGAGCAAATATATGCACAGTTCCTTTATCACTTGAAGTAACCAGAAAATCGGAATCTGGACTGAATGCAATCGAGTAAACGGTCGCAGGGTCACTTCCCCGTCTAAGCTCAACAACTTGCGTTTTCTCGATGTTTCATAAACTCTGATTAGGGTTCCCTTTAATGAGGCAGTGGCTACCATGGTTCCTTGATTGTTCAATGCTATACATGCAATGGCTCCTTGGTGGGCAAGTATATTTACTGGGGAAGAAGATGCTCCAGGAGAGGCCATATTGAAGTCCATCACTTGTAAAGAGCCCGTTTTATGACCAGGAAATACCATCACTTGTCGTTCACTCGTCGTATATGGACTCACCTCACAAAGACCTCGAGGATTATCACCAGTCTCTACAACGAACAGTTTCTTAGGATTATTAGGGAATGAGTATACATGGATTTTACTTCTTTCTACAACAATGAATCTGCAATAAGAAAAAAAGAAAACCAATTAATCAAATTAGAAATTTAAATCAATCAGAAAATCTCAAATCAACAATAGTAATAATCTGTTATGTGATCAGTTGAATAATTGAAATAATTTCGATTTGTCCTTTAGGCTATAAAGTGATATGGATATAATTTTCAATGGAACCATTTTTGATAAATTAAGTGATTTACTGTTATGTCTAAGTTGTTCATGAATAAGATCAATTGTAATCTAGTTTGAATTGGTCTCTAGTTATTAGTGTAATCAAGGCAAGTAACAAATTGTTGATGTTGCTTTGATTTTAGCATTAGGCCTAAGGGTCAGTTGATGTTAATCAGACTCGATTAATTGTTGAAATTATTGATTCTTAACAATGGTTTCCATGTATTTCCATTACCTGTCCTTGCGAAGTTTAAGATTAAGAATAGCTGATGAGAATGTGAATTCCAGCATGAAATCGTGTTTGCATTCATCCCAAATTAATACTGTGGAATAGATAAATTGTAAAACAAAATGATTAGCAAATTAATTATTATCAAAAGTCAAATTTCTGGTTCTTTGTTTCTATAAATAGAAAATGGTAACAATCAAAATTCATAAACAAATTCCAAAGGTAACACAATCACCATAATTAGAGGGTTTCTCATTCCAAGATTCTCAAGATTACTCTTCAATTTAATAGACTTTTCTATTGTGATCAAGGCCATCAAACAATCAATAATCAATCAGGTAACACAACAATTAACATGAGATAGGATTTCTGGGTTGTTTTGTATTTCCTGATTCTCACATGATTAGAAGGACAAAGAAAACAATATACAAAAAAGCTCAAGTAAGCAAGAGAAAGAGAGAGACTTTTGACACAATCAATGGATTGATTACAGAATAAGGTAATTAATTAGGAATTAGATTATTGTCTATTTGTTACCAACCTGCATTTTCTGCAAATTTAGGTGTCGATCCACCACCAACCAGAGCGATTACATTTGAAGCATGAAGAACTGCAGCAAGACCAATGGAACCAACCATAGATGAATGAAGCTCAGTTCTAAGCACTAAAGGATCAGCATGATAAATTTTCACACCCGATTCAGTGGCACAGGTAAAAAGGTTATGATCATGACTAAAATCAATATTATTTATCTCTTTCTTTTCGGTCGACATTGGCTCGTCTAATAATAACACATCGGAATCACCATCTAAATTGAGAGTTGAAATATCATCAACTTCCGTCATATTTAAACAAGATGGAGATGGACACTTGGGTATATAGGGTTGAAGGATAAGATAATCCGGAAGTAGGCAAGTAAAAAGAAACCAGAAATTTTGAAAAACCAATTAACTACCAAAGGTAAAGTTAAAACAACAAAGAACCAAAATTAATCCCTTAAATAGTAAACAAAAGTGACAAGAATTTCTGTTTATATGATAGTTCGATTTTCGACCATAGGAGTCGCTTCAGTCAAATTCGAAATTTTTTGTTTACTTTAAATTAATTTTCTTCTTAATTAAATTGTTTCTCTTTTTTTTAATTTCGGTTTTTTTATCTTTTAATTATCTTTAATTCCATTGAAAATTTATTTACCTGATTCAGAGTGTCAGATGTTTATCTTCATGTTGATCAGCTAATCTTTAGAAATGAGAGAGGAGAAAAACAATTCGTCCTCTTTTCCAACTTGTTGTGTTACTTTGGGTCAACACTCAAGGAATTAAATGTTTGTATTAATTTTTTAGATTCTGTTTTTATTAATTAATCATTTTTTCGCCTTTCTCTCTAATTAATTGTTACTCTATTCACCCTAAGTGTGTGTATATATGTTCATATTCATCTCTTTGTTTTATTCTGTCATTGAAGTGAGAGAGAAGTCTGGAAATGATTATATTACATGTTACTGTTTTACTCATTAATTAGATTGGTAATTGTTGATATTGACCTTGATTAATGGTGAAACTCAATGATTATATCATTTGCTTTTTACTTTAGGTTATTAGAGTTACAATAATATAACTAATTAATTATATTAATAGTTATTACATTACCTGTTTTCTATTTCCATTTTCAATTGATCAATTAAGAGCTTTGATTTTAACCATCACCATAACAGATTATTACTATTGTTGATTTGAGATTTTCTGATTGATTTAAATTTCTAATTTGATTAATTTGTTTTATTTTTTTCTTATTGCAGATTCATTGTTGTAGAACGAAGTAAAATCCATGTATACTCATTCCCTAATAATCCTAAGAAACTGTTCGTTGTAGAGACTGGTGATAATCCTCGAGGTCTATGTGAGGTGAGTCCATATACGACGAGTGAACGACAAGTGATGGTATTTCCTGGTCATAAAACGGGCTCTTTACAAGTGATGGACTTCAATATGGCCTCTCCTGGAGCATCTTCTTCCCCAGTAAATATACTTGCCCACCAAGGAGCCATTGATCTTGGTGTTCATTGTATCCTTTCCGGTTAATTGGGGTCTTCTCGGTGTTCCCACCATGACTGTTGGCGGTTGACATTAGCTCCTTACGAGTGGGTAAGGAGGTAATGGAGGTGGATTAGATCGTGGCCCTTGCCATTTGGCCAGAAACGATGAGGACGGACTCCAACAGGTGATTTTAAAAAATTGATGCGGTCAATGGATGCTGATGATTGCCAAGATTAAAATAATTTCGATATTAAAAATATCCAAAGTATAACAAGATCAACATCTTCATTTTCTTGAGAAATTAAATGATCCCAATTTAACCTTAGAAGTTAACTAAATGTTAATCATTATACAATTATGGATCCAATCAAAGTCTCTCTGTGTTGATTGTGATCAAGCCAAAAAGATGATCAAAAATGGATTGGAAATTAACAACTACCAATCCAAAGTAATCTTTTCAATTTTCGGTGAAATTAAATCACTAAACAATCTGCTAACTAATCATATTTAAAATCTAGTGAAAATTTAGTCACTTTTCTTTTATAAAGTTGATCAGTTTTATTTTTGTTCAATATTTTTAATTATCTATTAATATTTATGAATTTTGATAAACTTTTATTAAAGATCAATAGTTTTGGAAACACAATTCGCAGTTAATATTATCACTTTAATTTCCAAGAATCACAATATTCTAGAACATATAGTAAGAGCTCTGGCTATTTCTGTAACATGATTAAGTAAAAGTTTCGAAAAGTTGTTTCTCTGGTTTATTGAGACCACGTGTTTTATCTGGTTTGAAAGGCGCGATTGGACAAAGACGAACTCTTCAAATGGTCAGTAAATGGCCGTTAGTTAGTGTATAACAGGTTAGATACCGAAGCTAGTCGAAACACTGACGACTGACTCGCAAGTTTTTTCGACTCACTCGGCTCTAAGTCGACTCATCGACCGAGTGGAAGTCCGACTTCCGAAGTCGGTGCTTTAACCACTCACTAGTAGACTCACTTGTAACTAAAACTTAATAAATTAATTGAATTCAAACAGAAAAAAAGTTTGGCCTAAGCCTCGTAAGAAGATTTCTTTTTGAAAACTGCATTTCCACCTTTCTCTGAGGCTAATTGAAACATTTTATACTAAATTCAAAATCAGGAAATCTATAAGTTGTTACACTTGATTTTTGAGTGCCACTCAATTAGTGGACGATATGACTCGAAATTCAAGTTAATTTTGTATTTAAGTCGACTCAATGTCGACTAACTTGAGTCGACCGAGTTGATTGATTTTCGGCTTCGACTCGAGTCGAGCTGATCGACTGGCTGACTCGATCGACTAGCTTCGGTATCTATAACAGGTTACCTATGATAGGGCAAATTTGCAGAAGGACATTTGAATTTCGAACTATCGGATTTTTGGTCAAGAAAAATTCTCTCAGAGAGACTCTGTATCTTTTATCATATGAATCACTGTTTGGATTGTTTCATGCAACTTTCAACAATGAATATCAACGATTTACCTGATGATTGTTTTCTTTTGATTTTTGATCAGTTTTATCAATTGCGCCAATTTGCTACATTGATGAAAGGTAAATGGAAATGATTGATTCCTTTCATAAAGATCATCTTTCTTGATCTCTAGTTTTCCGTTGAATTTATATTTTAATGCTAATAAATTAATGTAATTACAGTTTGTAGGCGCTGGAAAACATTGGCGGAAAAGGGACTGAAGAAGATCATTCACTTAGACGGTAAGAATTATTTTGATTTCTGTTGTTTTAAATTACATTTTCATAATGACTTTCTATCAAATTTACAACCATAGTTATATTGGCAACTACTATAATGCAGATTGATGATTCTCTTAAACAAAGTCATTTTCCATCGACTCGTAAATGTATTATCACAATATATTGTGATAACTTTCTGCTTATAAACAGAAAGCCCTTGAAGAAAATTAAACTCTCTAAACTTCTTCCTAATGTTAAGGTAAGAAATAAGTTTTACAAAGACAAGACTTTTCTTATTCATGATATTAAAATTTAAAATTAAAATTAAATAAAAAAAAATTTATTCTCATTCTATGTTAGATTATCCATCTTGAAAATTTCAGTGCAAACTGCTCTTGTGCTTTCTTAGCTCATTTACTGGCCAACGCAAACCAAATTAAAGGCTTGAGCTGTTTAGATTATCCGTTTGAAATGAATCACGAATGTAAAATTTTAAAACGAGAAGAAAAAAGAATAACATCATTTTTGAGTGATATTCAATTTCTAGGAATTAGTAATGACCTAATAGTTACAAGTTATCTCAGGACTTTTGGTCATTTCAAGAAATTGAAATCTCTTGGAAATGCTATTGGAAATTACTTCCAAAGTGTGAATTTACTCACATGTTTTGAAATTTGCCCAGGATCTGCCGAATCTCGAGCGACTTGTTACTTTTTGTGGTGATGAGTTTGATTATCGTAAGTTTTCATTGTCTCTATGCCAAAATTTGACCTAGTTTCGATTATTTTTTATTAGATTTTGTTCAACTCGGAAGCCAATTACCGATATTTGGAAATCTTTTACATCTTCAGCTTGAAGATACTTCAAAAAATGGATCGACTGTTATAAAATTCTTGAACCTGTGTCCAAATTTACTCAACCTGTCTCTGGGCGCTCATACTCATCCGATGATTCTATTTAATCAAATCAACAAAAACTTCAATGTCCAAAGATTGAATCTATTTCTTAATTGGGTAAGACTTTAATAGCCACGAATTATTTGGTAAACTATCAAGACTAACTAAGGATTTCGCTTCTTTCTCTCAACAATTATAACAGGATCGAGAAAAGATACTAGAAACTATCGAAAAGTTTCCAAACTGTCGATACTTAAGTATATGTGGTTATTATGCTTCGCTATCTTCACATGAGTTGATCCAGATTATGAGTGTATTACCTCATTTGTCATTATTGTATACCAAATATGATACGACTGATTTAGCAGAAAAACGAATCGTGAAAAACTATTGTCACTCACGAAATCCTAAAATTGATGTTTACTTTGGGTCTACAGATGAGAAACTATTGATGTCTAATGAACTTTATCGAAAGTTTGATAATTCATTTCTATAAATGGATGAAGTCTAAGAATTGCACGTTTCTTATTCTCCATTTATAATCCAACCTAGCAAAAAAACGAACTTATTTAGAGAGATCTTAGTAGTAGAGTAGAGAGATCTCGAATCACATAAAGAATCTCAATAGTGTCGCTCAATGTACCGATGCTTTTTGGCTTTTCTAAAAAGATTAATCGAAACCATTTCCCTCACTCAAACCAGTTGTAACCCTTGAAAGTGCTTACAATTATACCAAAGAGGAAGTGACTTATGCTTTGAAAAATATAATCAAAGATCAAATCGATTCCATATTCAAGTTTTACTTTTCTGGTGCCGATCCAAATAACATTTATGATCTAAAATCGCGTTCTATAAGATTAACTTCCGATGTAAACTTTAATTGTCCTTCGTTAATTTTATTCAATCTCTCGGCCAAACCATGCCCTGTACTTTAACGATTCTTCAATTTTAGTGGTTGAATTTTCAGAATTTTATAAATCGTGGTTTTTAAGGACAAAACAAGCTGCCTGTCGGGTCTGGAACCATAGGAAACTCTCCTTCACTTGTCTTTTGTTTTTATTGCAGATTCATTGTTGTAGAACGAAGTAAAATCCATGTATCTAATTAAGTATCTACAATCAAAAATAAATTGAAAGTCACGAAACTCAAATAATCAGTTAAGTTTAGATCTTCAACAATTACAATTAATTTCTTTGATTGTGTGCAAAGTTATGATCAAATTAAATAATTCATAGCATTCATAAATCTCAAACAAAGCATAATTAATGAGAGATTAATTTTTGAATGTAAAACAATTAAGATGAGATCATAAAATGAATCTTGATTGGATATATCGTTAATTTTGTATAATCAAATTTTGGCGATTAATTAATGGTCCATAGTATTTAGGACAATATTGATGAAGGTGAACAATTAATCGAGATTAGGTGAAGGATAAACGATAACAATTAATTAGGACCCATGATAATTAATATCAATCATCAGAGGAAGAAAATGATTAGAAAAAGTTGGATCAATTCTGTCAGAATACTTTTTAATTGTTATATAAGAGAATCTCTGGTCTACTCATTCAGCTTAATTGCTGTTCGGACTTTAATTGTAATAGAGTTTGGTACAAAGTTTAACTAGAATAGTTCATCATTTGTGGTTAATTGTGAACAATCAAGAAAAAGTAATGATCAGAATTGGATGTGAATACGATTTGCTTTTCCAAAAGTAAGTTGATACTTTTTTCTTAGAGTTTTTTTATCTAAATTTGATTTCAATCCGTTTTAATCACAGTCTCTAATTACCTGATTCTTTTTTTGATTGTTGATTATGCCTTTCCCCTTTGAATGAATTCACTTGATTGTCAGGTCTATTTGATCAATTAAAATTGTCATTTGCTAGTGAATATATAATTACACCTGAATGACCATGAACACAGTTGGTTGACCATAATTCTTGATTCTGATTGTTACATGAATAACTCATGTTAATTTTTTGTTGTTATTTCGCTTTAATTATGATCATTGGACCGATTGAAACAATGGTTCATATTTTGATTACTATTGATTACTAATCTAATACACATGATCACCGTGATAATTAGAGGTTATGATCAGTTTCGTATCATTATTTTAAATCAACTGAACTGTTCATAGTATTATTTTCATATTCATCGTGGTGACAGTTAGATGGATTTTTTTTAATATTGATCTTTAATTATAATAATTGAGAGTAAATTAGATTAATTGTGATTTTCCAATTTGATTAAAAAATTTGTATCATTGAAAATGTTTAGATATCAAAGAGACGCTACTGGTTGGAAGGTCCTTCGAAATGGTTACGTTCATGATTCAGACAAAATAGAGAAAGCGGTCAAATTGGTCGGTAAAGATGGACTTTTACACTATGATCAAAGTAGAGTTCGTGTGGCTCTGTTTGGTTTAGGTCGAATTGGAACAGTTTGGATTGACCGTGTCTTGAAAAATTCACGAATTCAATTGGTCTATTGCGTTGAATCTTATGTCGAACGTGCAAACTATTTCGAGTACCTGTACAACCTGAAAGACGTAAAGATGATTCACCCTAATTGTGCCGACGAAGTTTTTAGTGACCCCGATGTGGATGCTGTAATCATCAGCACTCCAACGGGACTTCATGAGTCCCTAACTCTTAAATCTTTGAGCTCTGGAAAAGCGGTCATGTGTGAAAGGCCATTAGCCGAGCGCATCGAAACCATTGAAAAAGTGTTCAGATTAGCAATACAACGAAATCTTCCTGTGTTAACTGTTATGAATCGACGGTTCGATCCCGCGTTTCGTATCGTTCGACATCGTGTCAAAAAGGGAGAGATCGGTACAATTCATGGGGTTGAAATGTGTTCCCGAGATTCACTTCGTCATTCAGCTTATAAAGGATCGACTAATATTTTCCTGGACTTAGCGATACATGACATTGATCTGATCTGTTGGATTGTTGGTCAATATCCAAATGTTGTTATCGCCACGGGGACAGCTTTTGATCCTGAGATTCGAGATTCAGGTGATTACGATACTATTGTTGTGGTTCTTAAATTTACCTCTGGTGTTTTAGGAACCATCGATATGTCTCGATCTTCTGTTTATGGTTATGACCAACGACTCGAGGTTTTCGGTTCTAAAGGTCTGTTAACTGGACCTTCAACACGACCAACTTATGTTACTCTAGATTCTGAATCGAGATCAACTACAGTCCCTTATCATCATTGTCATATTTCCCGATTTACTGAATCTTATACTAATCAATTAGAACATTTTGTCGACTGTATCAAAGGTAAATTATAAACCTCTCATTAGCCCAATACTAATCAACGAATTGCTTTTTCAGGTTTGAGCGCAATTGAAGTAAAACCAATGGAGGTGATGGCGGCCACTAAAGTAGCTCAAGCGTGTACGGAATCAGCTCGAATTGGAAAACCGATTGAATTGACCTGGAAGGAAAGTTGAGCAGAAATTAACGCCAACGAAGAATAATCTTATTAATAATTAACCTCAACTGTTAGAAATGTTTCCCCTTTAAATTGTTAGTAATCTGATAAATTTAAATCGCGAATCGAGACTTAAATTATCAATATGATCTTAATTTCTTAGCTCGTTAATTTAATGATCCAAAAGTATATCCTAAACTGCCAAATACTAGACATAAAAGTATTGTGACTACTCAAAAAGCTTCATGTAATTGAATTTCTGTTAACAGAGTTAAAATCTAAATATAAGTGCAATTAGCGTTGTCGAGATTCTCAGATTATCAATATCATAATGTTCACGAAAATAAAAAATTCGAATTTTAAACTTGGCGCCTTCTTTGTTTTCCTGTGAAATGTTTACATTTTTTCAGTTTTTTCTTGGGGTTGAAACTCAACCGTTGAGTTTAATTAACTCACTTAATTGCGTTTTAATTGTGGTTTTAAATGGTCAATTTTGTTGATTTCTTTTCAAATTGCAATACTTATTAATCAAAGGTAATTAATGGTCATTAAATGTTACTTTTAATCCAATAGATTTCGCTCATTAGAACTGTTTTCCCATTCATTTAATTATTTTCTCACTAATTTTTGTATTTTATCAACCGATTGATTAATAATTATTATTTCTTTTATTTAATAGATTCGGTTACAGTGATGAAATATTTCTATTGGTTTTGGCTCCTGATATGTTGTCTCTTAAGTTGAAACAGATGAGATTTACTTTGGACCATCTAGAAGAATGAAATTTTATTTCTTCTCATCTTCTTATATCAAGAAGCAAATCAGATTGATCGTTAAATTTTCACTCTATTTTCTTGTCTTCTTGGCTCTGTTGGAAGCAATCTATTTCCTGTTTATCAATATATTCTCCAACAGAAACTCCGACAATGGATATGATATTGACCATTACTATGAACCTTTCAGATTAATCGATCCAGAAAATAGTGAAACAATCATCATTGGCAATACTCGACCAACAGCAATTGAAACGGTGAAAGAATGTAATCATTTTAACTGTTTCGATGTTTATCTTTGTGATCCAGATGATGGTCGATTAAAAGTTTACCTTTATCCAATCAAAAGATATCAAGACAACGGTGGTTTAGATATTTCGGCTCAATTTACTGAGGAATTTCATCAACTATTGAAGGCGATCCAAGAAAGTGATTATTTTGTTGATGATCCAAGATCGGCATGTATATTCATTCCAACAGTTGACACTTTAAATCAAAATTATTTACAACCTGAAGAAATTTCGAAAATTTTTGCTTCTCTATCTCATTGGAATGGCGATGGAAGAAATTATCTCATCTTTAATTTTCTTCCATCCTCTGATCCCGATTATAACCATCGATTAAATATTAAACTTGGAAAAGCGATGATTGCCTCAGGAGGTTTCGATAGTTGGTCTTTCCGTCCACAATTTGATTTATCAATACCAGTGTTTAGTCCTTTTAGTAATCAATACATTTTCGTTCACCGATGATGAGGTCAAATTAACCAGTTACGGTCGAAGACATTGGCTTTTAATGTGCCCACAAATGAATCTTTTTATTAATCCGGTTGCCAAAAAAATTTTAATCAAAATGGAGGAAGATAACTCTGATAAATTAATCCTTTTGGAATCTCAATGTGATCTGACAGTTAATATATCTTCCTGGAGATGTAATAACCAAAGAAATCTGAAACTAAAATACCCTGAGATTTTAACCTCTGCCGATTTCTGTTTATTCATGGAAACGCCATTTTTAGGATCACCATTTCTCAGCGATGCTCTCATGATGGGCTGTATTCCGGTGATAATTACGGACAATTATGTGCTCCCCTTTCAAGATAAAATCGATTGGAAGTATATCAATCAGAATTACTGAACATGCTTTTCATCGTTTGATGAACATTTTAAACGATATATCAACCGATCGTATCACTGAGATGAAGGAACAAGGGGTTTCTATTTGGTGACGATATTTTAGCTCAATTAAATCGATTACGTTGTCAACATTATCTTTGATAAATGAAAGGATATTCCACAATCGGTGATTACTCGATCTAAATGGAATCATCTAAAAATCGGTTCCCATTTAAAACCTCTTTCTCTGATTAACCCAAAATTATCATCTAGACCTTATAAAGGCTTCACAGCGGTGATACTCACTTACGACCGAGTGGAAAGTTTGTACCAAGTCATTCATCGAGTTGTTCAAGCTCCAAGTTGTGTGAAAGTTTTAGTGATTTGGAATAATCAAGAAAAAGACCCTCCTCTTGCCGACGAATGGCCTAAAATTAGCGTTCCGTTGAAAGTGATCAAAACTAAAAAGAACAAATTATCCAATCGATTCTATTCATTTAAAGATATCGAAACTGAGGCCATTCTTGCCATCGACGACGATATTATAATGTTAACACCAGACGAACTTGAGTTTGCTTTTCAAGTATGGAGAGAGTTTGCTGATCGAATCGTTGGTTTTCCTTCTCGGGTTCATCGGTGGAATAATTTTACTCTTAAATAT